TGACGGCAATGGTCGTAGCAGCGCCGGCAAGAGTGCGGAACTTCTCGGGGATGACGCTGTGGACGAGGCCGGCCGAATGTTGCCAGACGAACTTGATGGGGCGCGAGACATAGGAGCTGGGGACGTAGAAGAAGACCAGACGAAGCATGATACCGAGCCAAACGAGGAAAGGCACAACCCAGTTCTTGTCGTTGCGGTGCAGGACGAGCGAGGCGATCCACCAGCCGGTGAACAGGCAGAAGATGAACAAGTGGACAGTCCACTTGTGCTTCTTGTAGAAAGTGCGAACTCTGGAGGGCTTCTGAGCACCCTCCTGCTCGGAGGGCGTCATGACACCACCCTTCTCGCCATCATAGTCGGGTGGGCCACTCAGCTTGTCCGGGTTGCCCTTCTCGATGTCGTGCGGCTCACTGTGGTCGTGAAGATGGCTCTGGTGGGGAACGGTCGAATCGCCGGTGCGGGAGTAGACTACGTTGTCGGCGTGGCCCTTGGCATCAACACGGTCGGAGTGGTGCAGGTGGTGATGCTGGTGCTGGTTGGAGATTTCCAGCGCCGGGTCCGAGTTGCGACGGGTCGGGGTGACGGCCGGGCTATTGCTGTCGGAGGCGGTCTTGTTGACCTCGGTGACCTGGGAAGCCATGGCTGCGGAATAGGGTTTCGGGTCGCACCGGTGGCTTTGACAAGAGACAGGACGGAGGGAGAGGGACTTGACGGCAAGCGTTTGCGCTTGGCTTGGCCTACTCGGAAAAAAATCAAGAGAAATTTTTCAACGAGTATCGGTAGTGGCAGAGGGTGGTGGACCACGGGCTAGCACAGTTGAGGGCTTGCCTGGGTATTGTTGAAAAGAAACGACCACCGATCAGACGGCTCTGCTGCTCATGAAGAGGCGGAGGGGGGCACTGGAGAGCTTGCTGCACGAAACAGACGAGAACCACGAGACAGGACCCTGGATTGACGCGTCCTGAGGGGAAGCCCTTTTTAAAAATTCCCAGTGCGATGATCAAGAAATCCGAGAGTAGTGCCGAGGCTAGGCTAGGACGCAACGATCCTCAACTTACTACGGAGTGCTACGGTAGCTTATCAGCAACCCGGGAGCCAGGCCCAGGCCGGGCAGGCATTTGGGAGTGTGGGATGGGGATGGACGAGCAAGGATCCATGGGAGTTCGCCGCCATTTGATCGAGCTGCGCGCGCAGCGGCAGGTGTTCAGGACGATGCAGGCTGCTCACTCGTCGCCCTCTTTCTCCCGCGTCGGTTGCTTGCCCGCCTGGGTGTGGAGGAAGGGAAGAGCCCTCATGTGGCTCGGTGCCTATTTCGGTGGATTGACCCAGATTCTGAACAGCGCGCAGCCAACGAGGGATGCGGGTTGGATGGGTGACAGGGTTGACGGGGGTGGGATTGACAAACAATGGTGGTACAAGAGATACAAGACGGCCAGGGTAGCTAGGGAGAAATGGAGGTCGAGGAGGGGACTTTCAGTCATGGTAAGACGATATCTCGGAGGGGGGGTTGCCACCATCGGTCATGTTTTTCAATTCTTGTCAAACGATTCCCCTCTTCAATCCCAAGTTGCCAAGTCTCTTTGGTGCTGTTGAGAGTATTCCTCTTCTTCGCCTGTTGCGAAGAGCTGAATCTATTCAGAGGAATGGTTCATACACAGCGGTGTTCCTCCCGCTGAATCAGTCGCGATTAGAGATGCCAGGTCCAACAAAAGTTTTGCGCTGGACCCCAGGACTCAGGTCCCGCGACCGCGATAAGGATCGAATTTTTTATTGCGGCGTGCGGGTGGCATGACAAGGATTGTGGGAGGACCGAACACTAGCACAGACTTCGCGCAGACCCGGACCAAGCCAACTAGCTCTGCAATGTGAGTGGCAAAGCCAACGGCGCGCTTCCGCTTCTGGAAGGTTGATGGAACGATGGAGACGCGCAGTGGGGTCGACTGAGATTGGAGAGACGAGACTGGCCGTTGGAAGGCTGGGCGAGCAGGCCGGCTAGCAAAAGGGCAGGGCTAGCTTGTGGTGCCGGGTTCGTTTGCATTTGTCTTTGCCCGGCGTTGGATTGGACTGCCTTGGGGACGACAAGAGATGCTGTATCCAGTCGGACGACACGCATGAATCATGGTTCCGAGTCTGCTTCTGTCTTCGGTGACCGGGTGAGCCAACTCATTATCGTCGTCTCACAGACAGGCACACAGAAAGAGAGAGAGAGAGAGAGCCCAGGAGAGAGACACAAGCGCACACCAGCACCAGCTTGGCTTCCGGGGCAGCCAATGACCGTGTGGCAATGGCAGCCGGGGACGGCGTCGGGCAACGATGATTGAAAGCCTCCTGATAGGCTCAACACCGGCCTTGTCCTGTACGATGAAGGTGTGGCAGATCCTTCCGTTCTCCTGGGCGCGACTAAACATTTTGATGGCTGCTAGGGGCCGAGACCCCAAGACACGCCAGTGCACTGCGACCCCCAAACCGCTGCTAGAGCACGGAGGCATGCGGAGAATTGGGACTGGTTGGAGATAGCTGCTTCAGCCGCCCCGGCGCCACAAACGCCATGGATCGAGGGGAAGGGAGGGGAGAACAAGACGTCGTGGATGCTGATATGGGTTGTCTCGTTCGGTGTCAGTTGCTCGTCTGCTGTTCTGGCCACTGTCTGCTCACATACTCTCCCGATTGTCTGTTCTGTTTTCGACCTTCTTCAGACCAGATACCGGCTGAGCATAGCAACGCAGGACTTGGTCCGCGAAGCTTACGGTAGTCTCACGCCCAGCATGTGGCGGCTGATAGCCAGCGGGAAGGGTGGTGAGATCGGCGATAAGACGTCCTTGGGCCCTGTAATAGTAGGTGCGGACTGAAGCCGCCTGAACCTGCGAGTGACTCGTAACTCGGGGGACCCCGTCCGGTGTCAAGCTGGCATTGAGACGAGATGAACGCTTTAGATTAGCGAACAGTCGCCGTCATCAATCACTCAGCGCAAGCGACGCCAATTCCAAGGGATGTCCGGGCAACGCGTAACAACTGAACCTCCGCGAGTCCTTGTCTCATTTGCAGTCCACGATGATAACAACCACTATCCCTCCCCTTAGCACCATCCTTCTCCCCTCATTTTGGCCTTAGCTGCTCTGTCGGCTGGGGCCGAGAACATAAGCATGAACGGGGGTTCACCAGAGACTATCAGTTGTCACGCATCTTCTAGCAGGCTATCCAAGAGAGGAACGGACATTGAAGCAGAAGCACCAACAGAGGCACCTTGTTGCATCTGCCATCCGCAATCCCAGCATCTCCAGCTGCCACCTCCCCAACCCGGCCCTAGGAACTCGCGCTAGGATGCCATACGCGCAGGATATAGGACAGACTGACGCGCAAACGGTGTGGCAGGCCCCACGCCACCCCGGGGAAGCGATCAGTGCTAAGGTTCCCGGGCTTTTGACAAGTTGCGACTTGCGTCGTATCTCTGCCCAATTCAGTCAATGACCGCGTGCGCTTACAGCCTACAGATTGGCTAGAGACAAAAGTGCCATGCCTTTCCCACACTCCCCCAGGTATCTCTGCATTTCAGCTTCGGCCGGCTCCGCTTCTTGGACGGGTCCGTTGGTGAGCCCCCAGCGTAAAACCGCTGCGTAATTGAAGGCACGTGAAGGGATCAGGGTGATAAGCTCTAGGTGAGCTCCGATCCTCTATTCTGGGTCCTCGATGGTCTCCGTCGGTCTCCGGTGACCTTCGTCAAGCATTTGTCGAATGTGCGCGCGTAGCAGCCACACATCTGGTTCTCAGTGTGGAAACCTTCGTATCTAATGCTTCAAATGGATCGCAATTGGATTGACGTCCAGACAGTAGTCCCAGCCGAGACGTTCGGACAAGGCCCTCAACAGGATAGCATTTCTTGAAAGCTCTGATAAGCCGGTTCATTCGGATGCCAGCGTCGCGGATCCAGAGACGCTACCACGTGTGTGGTATCCGCCCCCAGATCCAGCAGGACGGCTGGGTGCCAGCGGCTTTGCCCTTCTTCTCGGCCGGCTGGGCGACTCCGCTTGCCGGCGTCGCGGCGGCAGCTCGCGGGCGCACATTTTTGAGCGTGGTCCTGGTTCCTGGATGCACGTCTCTCACCCTCGTTCTTTGCAAACATGACCCTACCGCAGAACATTCGTTAGCAGTTTTTCTCCAAGCAGGCGACATTGATCTACGTATGCCACGTGCTTTTTTGTCTTACTCCTGCAAGATGCCAACCTGGAGAACCCGCTTCTCGCAACTATTGATGATTGATAAGATCCGGCCGGCGTCTTTATTGAATCACTGTTCGGCACGGTTCATCTTGCCAGCAAACTCGACAGAATTATAACATACGGACGGCATTCCATCTGCACACTAATCGCTCAATCCACCCATTTTCTCATGAGACTGGCGGAGGATAGACCAATTGAACGGCGCCGATTAGCTGCATCCTCTGCGGCACGTCGCTCCCTTGAGCTGTGCATCCCTGACTATCACCGAAGTCCCATTACGGGCGGTAAGACACCGTCGTGATGCGATCGCACGTCGAAATTACATGAGATAGAATAAACCCAACTCGAAATGGTCGGTCATTGTGTCGTTGTCAGACGAAGAGCGCCAGGTGTAAGAGACGTCGATATTGGCGCACGACAGAGCACTACACCATAGTCTTCACACTATGCGAAACTAAAGGGTGTACGGGTGTACACAAGGCGTTCAAATGACATGTGACTGGATGTCTCGCGCGTGAATATGAGGCCAAGATTCAGTCCGACGACCTCTTTAGGCAAGTTGGGCACATGCTTCACATCTTTCGGGTCGTGCAACTCCTCTCGATCACATCATGAAATTGGGAACCATGCCTTAGGGAGTGCTTTCACACAGGCTCAGTTATTCTGCTGCATCAAGAAGAACTAAGTGGCCTTGTATCATTGTTTCAATCGTTGAGCATGCTTCATTCCAGTAAAAAGATCATATCAGCTCTTCCTTGGGACCAACGTCCCGCAATGTGGGTATCAAATGTTCTCAGCAACAGCGCGCTCGCTCTTCTCCTCAACCTCCGTCTTGTAGCTCTTGAAGTCGCGTGCAGGGACCTTCTTCATAAACATCTCATCAAGCTCCTCGTAAGACCTGCCGGCAACCTCGGGCTGGTATAAGAAGAGGTAAACTGTGGACAAAATGGAGAAGGCACCAAAAATGAAGGCAACCTTCGCCTGCAAGTTCGCTTGGTCGGGGTTGAAACTAGTATTCATGTTAGTGCTCGTCCTCAGCAAAGGTATCTCACAGGTCCACTCACAGGAAGGGAATGACGAAAGCCCACATGGTCTGGAATCATAGCTGTTAGTCAAGGCTAATTGAAGAAGTTCCAGAGGAAAATCACTCACGAAGAGGGCATTCTGAAGAGCCAAGGCCATAGAGGCAGTCTTCGCACGAAGTCGAGATGTGGCAACCTCGGTCAACAAAGAGTAGGCAGTTGCGCCAATGGTGACGTTGTAGAAGAAGCAGTAGATCAGGAGCAGCGCAACTGTTCCCTTCACGGCACCAGGAGTTCCAGCGACGGCAAGACCACCAGTAATCATGAGCAGGGTGGTGAGAATGCACATGCCGTAGAGCGTCAGCCCCCGACGGCCGACTCGGTCGATGAGGAACCAGGAGACAACATTGCCAAGCATCGAAATGACTTGTTGGACGATCGCCAGAATGAAGCTCTCTTGGGTGCTGTATCCAGCCAGCTGTTGGTAATATGTGCTGTAGGCGGACACGAAGTAGACTCCACACAGGGCCTGGATGCTCAGGGGCATGACGGAGATGACAGTGCGACGCAAGTTTGACTTGCGGAAACACTCGGCATAACTTGCGCCTTCAGTCTCCTTGCGCACCTCGGCCAAAGTGGTCGTGATAATGGAGAGACGTTTCTCGGCTTGTACTGCGTCGTAGCCAAGACGGCTCAGGGACTTCATAGCCTTCTGCATTTTGCCCTTGTTCACCAGCCACCACGGGGACTCTGGCATGAAGGCCAATACCAGAATTCCCAACCCACTCACACCATATTGAGAAACGAAGATAGCTCGGTAGGCCCAGCGGTCCTGGCGAGCACCTGTCGCGTTGACAATGAGGGAGACGATGAAAGGTCCGATTGTGAAAGCGATGGCAGCGGCGGCGGTCAGGATACCACGAAGAGCCAGAGGCGCGATCTCGCCGATGTACGTCATGCTGACGGTAATGAAGGCGCCAATGGGAAAACCTGCGATAAACTTTCCGGCAAAGAACATTTCATTGGTCGTGCTGGTAGTCTCGAGTGTGATTCCGACGAAGATGAAGATGTAGCTGATGAAATATGTCCACTTTCGGCCGATGATATCTGTAATATAGCCAGCACCAATGGATCCAATGACGGCACTGTAGATGAAGTTGTCAGCAATTGATCTATCATAATCGTGTATTGGTGTCACTCACGATGCCACCGGCGCTCCACTGTAGGCAGATTGCCATTTCGCGGGAAGTACATAGTCGCCATTGAATTCGTTGCCAAAGTCTTTGCGGAACTCGGGGATACTCAGAATGCTGCCGCCCGCCTGGTTGTCGAAACTGGTGAGGATAAGGACGTAGATGGCGTAGACACACCACAGAAACGCCCAAGGCTGATTCTTGATGGCCTGCAAAGGAGTCTCCACGTGATCCTCGGCGGTGGCAGCGTGGCCAATCTCCTCGACGTGTTCGCCCTTGGCCGCGGCGATATCGTCCTTTTCGGCGACAATGGGCGTCTTCGACGCTTCAAGGTTGTGTTCGGCCATGGCTGGCTAAGTAATTGGTGCGGTGATTCCCCGGGCAAAGAAGTTTAAACTGCTGAAGGATTCTGGGGGTGGCCCCGACGATCTGGGGAAGCTGAGGAGACGAGTCTGGGGAACTGGGTCCGAAGTTACGGTTTTCCGGGAATGGCCCCGGTTCTTATTCTCAGGAACGATTTGCAACTGGATCTGTTTGAGGGAATTGTAGGCACTTCCTCGGATCAAAGTCGTTCGAATGATGGGCCGAACAGAGCCCATTATTTGGGGCTCTTCCTCGAAAGAAGACTTCAGCCCCGAGTCCTGGGCCGAGCGTGAACGCCTCCAGCCCAAGAGTGGCCTGAAAACCCAACCAGATGGCTGACTTCCTGCGGGGGAGGGGCCGGTTTCTGCCCATGTCGGACTGTGTTCGCATGATGCCAGTGCGTTTCAGTGATGGCGCGGAATTATGGCCGGCAATATGTTTACCAAGGAAGAGAGTCAACAACATGCCTGGTAGTTGGGTCTGCCTGAGTCAGTATCTCTTCCGAAGAAAAGCCTTGGGACTCGTGGTTGGCTATCTTTTGATGTTGTCTAACCTATTTAGGGGTGTTGTGAGGATCCTTGAGATGAACTTGGCCGTGGCCCTGGTCGTCAACAGCGGCAGGGCCTGGACCAGACGTGTCAATGACCCGTCTTCTCGGTCCTAATCTGGGGACCCCACAGTAGCGTGCAATTGCCGACGGTTCTTTGTGGAGAATACCACGAGGACGCGGGGTTCGACCCGGAAAGTTGGCTGTCGTTCATGTTACCTTGGCAAGCTGTTGCTCAAAAACGAAAAGCGCGCTTCTTTACCAGGTTTCTGAACGCGATGGTAGTGCGTAAAAGAGTTCTAATCGCGCGTTGTAGACATTTGGTGTCAAATTGAAGACAAGTCAAGCGCAATAAAACCAGGTGCAGATCATTTACAGCAACTGATGATGGCTGGGAAGCCAATGGTGTGACGGCAGCTCGGCATCATGCTAATGTCTAAAGACCCTCTTTCATCTGAAGACCGGCTTCGATCTAATGACCACGCCAAGGAGAAAAATTGGCAAGAAAACCTGAACTAATTCTGTAAACACCTCAAAATAACCTAGTCTTACCGCGACTTCACCGCAGTTTTACCGCAGTTGAACCCTTGGTGTCCGCGTGATCGATGTTCCAGACTCGGCTTGATTCACAATGTCCGAGGTCACCGCATTCTTCCCCGCAAAACATGACTAGGATCTCCCCACGCCGACTTCGCGATGACGAGGCGGGCCCAATTGAGCAATCGGAAGCGGCAGCCACACTTTTTGCTTTGCCGGACAAGTGGGTTTGACTGCCTTTCTCGGGAGGATGTCACACCGAAGCGTTTACGAATGCTGTTTGTGATCGTGGCGTGTCAAAAACAACATTAACCAGCTTCAACCCATGCTTTCAGCTGTAATTCCAGACCACATAGACGGGCGCGTCAACCAAAGCAGGACGTCCAGCACGCCATTCCTTGTCAAGCTAAAATAGTACAACATCCAACCTCAGACCATCATGTCTGATGCACCCGAGGGCATGGTCGCGAGCGTTCTCCCGACAAGATGGAACCGAGAATTCGAAAAGGTCGCCAACGACCTCTGCCCCGAATTGCACAGATGGGCTCGCACACCTCAGCGAGTTATCAAGTTTGACCAAGACGACACCCAGTACTTTGGTGTTCGTGCTGCGCCGGCGGAATGCACTATCGACCAGCTTCCGTCCAAGACTTGGGGAAAGGGAGATGAATTCATTCTCGACTTCGGCGTCCACATGGTGGGATACATATCGTTTCGTCTCGAGTCCCGAGGATCGCACATGGACGCACCTTGCAGGTTGCGCCTTACCTTTGGCGAGTCTCCGTTTGACGTGACCTTGGGCATGGACAACGTCAAGACTTGGATCAGTACCAGCTGGCTCCCGGACGAGGTCATCAACATCGACATGTGCCCTGAGCTAGTGACATTGCGCCGCCGGTACTCCTTCCGATTTCTCCGAGTTGAAGTCGTCGACACATCACCACTGTTCAAGGTTGTCTTTTCGGATATCAAGTGCGAGTGTGTGAGCGCCGTCAGCCAGACGCATTCACTGGAGGCGCTGGACTTTGGTGATGAGCTTCTCCGGAAGATTGACCATGTCAGCATCTCAACCTTGAGAGACTGCATGCAGACAGTCTTCGAAGATGGCCCTCGTCGCGATCGCCGACTATGGAGCGGAGACCTTCGGTTACAAGCTCTCGCAAACTACAGCACTTTCAAAGACTTCAACCTCGTCAAGCGCTGCATCTTCCAGTTTGCGGCCGTGGTTCGCGAAGATGACTCGGTGCCTGCATGCATCTTTGAGCAGCCGCAACTGACGCCTTCATCTGACTACATCGTCGACTACGACGCTCTCTTTGCGGCTATTGTCAACGACTATGTGGTGGCATCGGGTGACACCGCTGCCGGCCACTACCTGTGGCCGACCGTGCTTGGATGCGTCAAACGAGCGATATCACACCTGGACCCTGAAACTCATGCCTTTGATGAAACGAAGGGTGAGGGATGGAAGTTCCTCGATTGGCAACCCGGCTTGGAACATAGCGCGGGCGAGCATGGTGTCCTCCTGTACTGCCTCAAGGCGGCGAATGCTCTGGCCAAGGTCCTCGGCAAGGAAGCCCCTTTTGTGGATCTCGTGGCCCAAATGACCGAAGCAGCGAAGGTTTTTCTTTCACCAGAAAACGTCTTCGTATCTGGCCCCAAGGGTCAAGTGAGCTATGCCTCAGCATCATGGCTGGTCCTGGCCGAGGCCTTCCCAAAGGATGTGGCGCAGACTGCGCTGCTCAATACCCTTTCTCATCCTGAAGCTCTCAAGCCCCTCACACCCTATCTATGGCATCACGTATGCGATGCTCTTGCAACCGTGAGATGTTATGATAAGTGTATTGAGATCATGACAGATTATTGGGGAGGAATGGTCAAGGCTGGCGCTGATACGTTTTGGGAGTGTTACAACCCGGCAGACCCAAAGGCGAGTCCTTATGGCGATGCCAGAAATAACAGCTTCTGTCATGCCTGGAGTTGTACCCCTACCTACCTGCTAAGAGGGAAGCTGAAAGAGTTCGTGGGTGTGAAGGGTACGAAGACGGTGACCATGGGTGGCTTGGATGATAGCTGGATCCAGTCTCAAGTGAGCTGATCGACACCTTGCGAAGCTACCTGAGGCTGTTGATGAATCATCGCGGGACAGGGAACGACACATCAATCATAGACTATAGATCTGCGGAGAACATTATGATCATTTCCCGAATGATATGTGCAGCTTGGCTTTTCCAATAAAATATGTACAGGAAAATATGATCAGCTCAACAGGTGAGCAGTATGACTAGTGTATGTTCTAGTGACAGATCCGCTTAGGCAGAGCCCAGCAGAGCGGTCTTGGGCTTCTGGCCAGGGAAGAAGGTGGTGGGCAGAGCAGGGATGTCGATGGAGGTCGAGAGACCAAGACCGGCGGTGATCTGGCCAGGCATGGTGGTGGCCTCGTAGTTGGCAACAGTCTTGGTGGTAGCGGTGCTGGTGTAGGTACCGGAGCCAGTACGCAGGCAATGTCCAGAGCCGAAGGCGTTCTCGCACTTGTCGACAATGGACGAACCAGCATCGGTCCAGATGTTGATGCTGGAGACGTCGATGTTCTCGCAGGGGACGGCAGCAGCGCAAAGGACGACAACGGGGCCGCGAGAAGCACCGTTGGCAGCAGTACCCTTCCAGTTGGAGAAGGTCAGGTTCTTGTACTCGACACCGCTACCCGAGACCTTGCTCTGTCCGGCCCAGGCAGAGTCGATCTTGAGGGAGTAGGCGTTGCCGTGACCGATGAAGTTCTCGAAGCGAGAGTTCTGGAAGACGCCATCACCACCGTTGTTCTTGATCATCATCATCTGGTTGGAGTTGACGGTGTAGATGTTGCGGTAGGTGATGTCGGAGATGGCGGTGTCAGCGCCGAGGGAGCCGATAGCACAGCCGCCAGACCAGTTGCAGAAGATGTCCTCGATAAGAATGTGGCTGGACTTGTTCTTGACGGTGACGCTGAAGACTTATTAGCCAAAATTCTGCCCATGTGGAACGGTCACGGAGCCTGGAGCCCGGCTATCGGTCCCGTCTGGCAAATGCGGCAGGCACCGCAAGACAGTGGCCGGGTTCAACCAAACCGATCTCACGGAGAAGAGATGTGAACTTACCACTCGTCCTTGTTGGTAACCTCGACATCGTGAACGTGGACGTTGGTGCAGGCCATCAAGTCGAGACCGTCAAGGCCACCCTCGTTTCCTCCGCGGATGATCATGTTGTAGACCTCGCCGTTCGTGCAGGTGTCCAAGATGATGTGGAAAGCGGGCGAGTCAACGAGAGCAATGTCATGCACGCTGAAGTTGGTGACGGAAACGAAGCGCAGGAGACGGGGTCTGCAAAGTCATGGTTAGAATTGCACGAACGCATTTTGTAGAATCGTCGGTCTCACCCATAGACACCCTTGCCCTCTGCATCTTTGTTAGCATCGCGACTACGTGAATGTAGTATGTTGACGACTTACGCTTGTGGAATTCGTATCCATAGCCCTGCATGGCACCCTTGGAGTTACCGCTGTAGAACTCAACATCGGTGGACTTCTGAACAATGATCATGTGGCCACCGGCAGTGCCGGTGCGGTAGATGGTACCCTCGAGGTTGATCGAGACACCCGAACCGCCGGAGAGCGTCTGCCAAGTGCTCATGCCCCATTCTCCGGACGGAATCAGGATCTCTCCGCCAGTCTTGCAGGCATCCCAGGCAGCCTTAAGGGCGGCGCCGATGTCACCAGTGGCACCGGTCTTGGCACCGTAGCTGGTGATGTTGCATGTCTTCTTGGCCGCCTTGGCTTCACGCGTGGTGGACGGTCCGACGGTGCCGGAGAGCTCGGCGGCGGCCCAGCCCGGGAGAATAGCGCCCAGCGCAAGGAGTGAAAGGGAAGCGAACTTCATGTTGGATTTTGTGAACGAATGAACGACTAACAGTCAAAAAAAAATGAGAGACACGGAATGGGAAAGGGAGTGACAAGAACAGCAAAACAGGCGACAGTTACCTACAGAGTACGAGAGGGACTCTTCGGGATGATAAATATGGGATTGCATCTCCTTCCGCTTCCTCCTTTTCCCCTCCTCCAACCCAAGCCGTCCAACAGACCACCGATCTTAGCTCGGGCATTCTTTTCCAGAACCAGCGCCGCGTCCCATTCCCGCCCACAGTCCCCACGATCCGACCATCGCTTGTGGGAAATTGTACGGAGAGCGGTGTTGAAACTCGCAGGCTGACCACAAATGGCACAAACTGGTCTACAGCCGGGATTCTAGCGCCGTGTTAATTAAACCAACAACACAGACAGTGGGCATGCTGCGCGCTCGCCTGCCCAAATGCCGTCCCAAACGGGGGCTACAGGTATGGAATAAAGTACTGAGTGGCGCTATCGGAGCCTGGCCACCAGGCGATTCTCCTCATCCCGGCTCCCCTGTCAGGGGTGTTGCCTGCCAGGTGACTGAACATCAGCATCCCTACTCAGCAACACGCCTTGTAATTCGCGAGTTCAATCTTTCCACGAACGACTTGTTGGAGAGTTTGCAGGGGCCTGCTGGGGAAGAGTGGTGAAACGAAAAGAAACGATGCCGATGAGCCGCGTCATTGTTGCAGTTCGTCCCGTCTTGGTCAAACAAAATCCCATTTGTTTGGCACACGCTGTCGAAGTCATCGGCCACGGAAAGATTAAAGAGGAGATCACGTCGCCATTTTCAATTTCTTGTCTGTTCATCTGCCCAGCGACACCCCGACTATTTGGAGATCACGGCATTGAAGACGATGCCGACCGGTTCAAGCAGATTATCTGACCGGCGTCATGTCCCAACAAAAGAACGGCATCCCACTGCCGGCAGCCTACCCCTGACGGCAGTCTAGCTCCTCGATTAAATTGCGATATGGTAGCATCAAACACACGCACTTTACGGCGGCCTTCTGCTTCCGGACGAGACAAGCTTCTAGCTGCCGTCCTCCCGGGGCCGTCGCCAAGTACCGTGCCGTCACGGTGAGGGCCCGTTGGTTCAGGCGAAAGAGGGGATGATGCATTTCGGACAGATCAAGATCCAGGATCGGTGGTTGATGGACCCTCAGGAATCGGGGAAAATTCTCCGTTCATCGCGCAACCATTTTTCTGATGCGTGCGACTCCATCGTGGAACCCTTTTACGGAGTGTTGGAGCAAACCCCCGCACGAGGCCTCGTAGTTGAAGATTATCAGTGAAATTAAAGTCTAGTCTCCATCGGCGCTGACTCGTAGTGGCCGATGACCACAGAACGACACGCAAACATGTTGTACTCGTACGACGCTGCAACGTGTCGGAGCTGATAACCAACTTATTAATATTGTGCACGCTCCAGTACCTTTTGATTTATGCCTGGCACGAGCGCGTCGCACAGCCCACTCTGCGGTTGAAGCATCAGAGACGGGAGAAATGAGGGCCTCACGGCTCGTTGTCATATTGCTCGTCGGCTGCATTCAGCTTGCATCCTGCGATAGCAGTCTCGTTTTGAGAATCAATGAAGGCTATTTCGAGAATACACAGGGTTCGCTATATAGCTAAGGGACCATAAACAACGCACGATAGCACCAATTGGCTTTTGCAGAAATCACGGACATTGAATAAGCCTCCACCACGCTTCTTCGGCATCTGACCACACATAGCCTTTAAGTGGCCTACCACTAAGATCTCGATAACCTGCAACTCTCCTCAGAATTCTTGTTGCCAAGAATAAGCTTACCATCCTTTCACTGCAGCTTCCGGCAGGCGACGAGCCACGAGGCTCGGAATCGGAGCCCGGGTACTCCTCCAGTCTGTGGCGTCTGACAGCGAGACTGCGCCGCCGCCTCCGAGGCGCTCGAGTTCTTCCTGTAGACCTAATGCAGTCTGGTTACCAAGGCTCTATGCCAGTCCTTCCCGCGTCTCAGCCCCAGAAACTCAGCCAGAACCTGCAGCTCAGCCCAGCTACGCTTATCGCGCTTGTTTGATTAGAGCTGCAACGCCTTGCATCCAGCTTTGGGCGAGTTTCCAAGCTTCCCATTGGATCCTTCTCGTCTAGTCCGGAGGGAACGACTGAGAGAGACAACAGAGTATGCAGGTCATGCAGCAACCCCATTATTAGCCTACTGCCGACACACAATGTGTACGGTTGTTCATCAGCCTCCACGGAGGATGCCGGCATTATGAGTCCCGGCCGGGGGAAGTGTAGTTTTCCGTGGTCAAACACAGGTACTTGAAGTGTGTTGGCTTACACTAGATCACAGCCCCAGAATAGAAGGCCTCACAGCCATAGCCCATCACAGACAAGTGTGCTGTCGCCTCAACATGGCTGGCGATCCGCAGTGTGACCTACCTCCATGTAGTCGGGTCTAGGAATACATGGAGAATAGTTCCCGAATATGGAATCCTACGTCCCTATTCTAAAATGAAGTTTATAAAATGATCGCGTCTTCTCCATTATGATGCCTATCTTCTCCTCTCATCATCAACACAGCTACTCAAGACAACTCAACAACCTCACCAATTTTCCTTCTCTCTTCTCCTTTGTGATTTCCTTATTTCCTTTGTGGATCTATCTCTTTAAGAAACTCGTACAAATATCCGATTATTCTCTTCACAAACTGAACTAGTCGAACCCTGCTTGATCTACTATCCATCCTATCATCCTCACCATGCATTCTTCCATCTTCTTTACCGTCTTCGCCGGCATCGTCGGTATCACTACGGCATCTCCTACCGAGTCAAACACTGATCCTACCGTCTGCGCTCCGGGTACCGGTTTCTTCCAATCCTGCAGCAATGGCTTCAGGGGCTGCTGCACAGCCGACGCTTGCACCATTGGGTACTGCCCCGATGTGACCGTCACCTCATCCAAGACTGCTATTGTTACGGCGACCCCCGTTCCCGAACACAAGGCTCACTGGCAGCCCGAGACCGTCTCCGATCCGACTGTTTGCAAGCCTGGCACTGGCTTCTTTCAGTCTTGCTCAAACGGCTTCAGAGGCTGTTGTAAGGAGGACGCCTGCACTTTGGGCTACTGCCCCCCTGCCTCTGAAAAGCGCGATGAGACTGTCTGCTTTCCCAACACCGGCTTCTTCCAATCCTGTGCCAACGGCTTCCGGGGCTGCTGCAAGGGCGACGCTTGCACTCTTGGTTACTGCCCCGATGTCCCTGCCACCGTTGTCAAGCGTGACGATCCGACTGTATGCGCTCCCGGCACTGGTTTCTTCCAGTCTTGCTCGAATGGCTTCCGTGGATGCTGCAAGTCTGATGCCTGCACTCTTGGATACTGCCCTTCCACCACTGAGAAACGCCAGGACCCAACCGTCTGCGCTCCAGGCACTGGTTTCTTCCAATCCTGCTCCAACGGTTTCCGCGGTTGCTGCAAGGCCGACGCTTGCACTCTGGGATACTGCCCATCTACCACCGAGAAGCGTCAGGACCCAACTGTTTGTGCTCCCGGCACTGGCTTCTTCCAGTCCTGCTCCAACGGTTTCCGTGGGTGTTGCAAGGCTGATGCTTGCACCATTGGCTACTGCCCTGACCTGAAGTTCCGCGAGCCTACCGTAAAGCGCGACGAGACCGTCTGCGCCCCTGGCACTGGCTTCTTTCAGTCTTGCAGCAACGGCTTCCGCGGATGCTGCAAGCAGGATGCGTGCACCATTGGCTACTGCCCGGATGTCAAGAGCTTCGAGACCGTTACGATTGCTCCCAAGACTTCGCCTACTCCTACGCCTGAAGCTAACCACGAGTGGCACGCTGAGCCCAAGAACACCGACCCGACTGTGTGTGCCCCTGGAACTGGCTTCTTCCAATCTTGCAGCAATGGCTTCCGTGGTTGCTGCAAGGCCGACGCCTGCACCATTGGTTACTGCCCCTCCAACTAAACATATACATGATTGAGGAGTTGTGGTATAGGCAGACTTTGTTAGATGATGGTATAAATTGCATTGCACCGGAGGGTTAGATCAGCATTTTGGCGTCTTTTAGGGATTCGTTTTCACGGCGTTTTGGCTACACATAATAGAACCACATTCCTTTGCATTTCGACGGCCCTGTTTTGCATGTGAGTCGTTTTTTACGACTGGATTGAGCTATTAGACCCCTCCATTACGCCAGATCGCACTTTGCCGACTTCATTCGTCTGACTTGTGCCTTGAGCGAGTTTCCACTTCTGAATAGGAGTTTCTGTTTTATGACCAGGCGCAAGCTCATTGGACAGACTAGTTACTACATCTTTGGTATGAAGAGCACATGGATACCATGATAGACTTTCGCCTTGGCCTACGTGTAGACCTTGTGAGGTTTCCGAATAACGGTGGTCCAATAAGGGTAGCCTCCTATGTCGTGATTGAAGAAGGAGTACAACTTCTCTCACGTGGTACTCCAACCCAGTGTACATATTAAATGACAGAATGATGACTGCAAGTCCCTCTGTAGTTGTTGCGACCTGCCGGACCGTTTAATACATGGGACGTTGTAATTTGTAAACTCTCGACCAGTCGCGGACGTCGGACACGAAGTGCGCGAGCTGTCCCCGCAAAACAAGATTAACGAGTTTCAAGTTGACATCAGCTGAAAAACCTTATCTATGCTTCCTCTAGGACCGTCTGTCAGATGACAAGGCTTGGTTAACATTTCGGACGATTGATCTGATGGACGAGGTCCCTTATTGGAACAGCAAAACGTCTGCATCGGGATATCACAAAGCCAGGTCGATATCTTAGAACTTCTTGTGCATTCTGTCATTACATTATACTAATATGTACTTTGCATCATCTCATGACTTTCAATCTCTTGTCGAGATGATATTTTTCCTCCTCTGATCCTTCTCCACCGTAGCAATTTCACCCATTTAAGGGAGGTTCTGGGGAGCGTAGCTCTGGTCGGGGTTGACAGCCTGGCCGTTGACAAGCTGCTTGTCGGTGTAGGCGGGCCAGACGATGAGCTTCTGGTCGGTGACCGAGAAGGTGGTGAAACCGGCATCGGGGCCGAATTGGCCGCTCCAGCCAGAGGTAACGGTGTAGGCGCCGCACTTGGCGTTGGAGGCAGCTCTGCTGGCGGGAGAACCGGTGGTGGTGAAGGCGCAGGCAGTGGCGTCCGCCGTGTGGGTGTTGATGGAGAAGCTGTAGTTGCAAGAGGTGTCCTCGGCGTTGCAAGAGCGAGTGAACTTCTCAATGGTCCACTCGGGAACGGCGGCCATCATGGACTTGGAGTCACGCTTCTCGACGGGGGAAGCGGAGGCGGCGGCAGCAGCCAGGGCAGAGAGGAAGATGTTGGTGATCTGCATTTTGGAGGTTGGGGGTTGTAGAGAGTTGAGTAAAAGTAGTATTAAGGTTGTGGATTGGTAATTAAGGTGGTAGTGATTGTCCTGTTGGAGTGATGATCCAAATAGCTGCTTCTGGGGAGGAATCTCTGGTCTTTAAGTATTGCTCTGGATGTCAAGGGGTGTGCCCTTTGGAGGACTGCACGTGAAGGTGCCTGACAACGTGAACGCTCTGCCGAGAGACTCGAACGATTCGTAAAGTGACGTTGCCATCGTGTTCCGGGTCGCATTCTGGGAACCGAGAAACCGTGGAGCATTCGGCCGCTTAGCCACCCAGTCACCGCTTCCTTCGTGCCGTCATTCCATTATGACAACAATGCCAAAGTGACATGACCTTGAAGGTAGGCGACTATGCGATCAGGAACTTGGAAGTTACTCCGGGTGTCCAGGAACCTCGCTTAATTACGTATTGAGTTCATTCTGACAGCGAAAGTGGCTCAACCGGGTCCAGCGCATCGCCTAGAAGCCAGGTTATCCAGCCACCAAAGCCCGTTTTGTTGAATGGTGGCTAGTGAGGCTAGGACAACACAACTGACAACCCAGGACTGATTCTCGTATTCAAGGTCGCATGCATTCAATTTCTGGGGCAGGTGGACATCAACTCCAGGCGCATGACGTACCGTGATGAGACCCCGAGATTAATACGAGCGCTAACTGCCGGGGCCAATTAACCGTAACAACACGACTCCACGTACTAATCTTCTTCCGGGGCCCCGATCCCTCCGACAATCGTCGCCTTACTGTGCCGCCTCCGCTGATCTGCCTGTATTTCGATTGATTCTTCCTAGCGTTTCTTCTAGAATGCTATGTTTAGCGACCGGCTGAGCCGAGCCGATGCTTTCCTCTGGTTGCTGCCGGTGCCCGAAGAGCGCCCAGCCGGAATCGCGGGGTAGCGGTGACCCGTGGGATTCACCGATGGGCGGCTGAACGCGACGGACTGGACCTGCATTTTCTCCCTTGAGTTGCTCGGCACCTGGGCTCGCTATGTATCGCCACGCGCTATGAAGCAAGCTGCCCTGATCAGCGAGGAAATTGACGGGACCTGCAAGCTGCATGCATGAACTAGACAACACTAAGATGCAATCAGACAGGAGGATCCGTTAAGGCCAGGTATTGCCCCTCCCTTCTGAGACTGGTAAGGGCCTTGTCGACGAACACGAGAAGGAAGCGACCGTAGATGGGTCAAGTTCATCCCACATGCATACTCAAAAGTTGATAATCAGGCTGTTTTTGCGATTCAACGAGAGCAACATGAATGGATCGTCAAGTGCTGACATTTGGGCAGTGCTGCTGCCTGGGCACTTGCGATAGTAAACGCAAATCCTGGATTTAAAGTAGGGCTTGAATGCTAGCGGTGTCTCGCAGACAAGTGATACCGCTTGCTTCCGCCAGGGCGTAGTTAAACGTTACAACGACTTTCCGTAATTGTCAAGTGGCCGCTACTCATTGCCACCATCTTCAATTAGGAAACGGATTTACATTTCCGACACTTCAACCCGTCGCAGAGTCGAACACCCGAATTCGTATTCCAGTAGCAAGTTGCATTGGCTTTACCCCCTGCGCTCCGTGAATTGAATGTTGCAATTACTCAGTCACCGCTTTCTTACAAATGATTTAAGATGGGAAAACAAATCAGCCCATTATTGATGTCATGTTGACCCTGCAGGGAAGTTTCGTCAGATAATAAGGCGATGAAATGATCTTGTCTAACCTCCCATCGCTTGGAAGATAAACTGGTGGTTGACTCTCATCTCAAAGTATAACCTTAACTTCGTAAGCGTGAGATATGTGATGCGGGGCGCGAAAAAAGAAAAAAAAAGAAAAAGAAATGCCAGGTCATAAGCTTACTTGAGCTGCCCAGAGGCGGATTCGAACCGCCGTCAACACGGTATCGCTGAGTGACGGAGACCACAACGTATCATCCTAACCAACTAGACGATCTGGGCGACTGGAATCGTGGCTGATTGGAAACTGCCCGAGGTTGCGGGACTCTAGTTGGTGGCGCCAATCGCAAGACGCATCGTGAAGACCAATTCCCTGAGAAGTGGAGCACATTGTGATTTTTTTTTTAGGGTGGGGTTGATTTCGACTCAGAACGCTACGGAGGAATACTACAGCACGAGAAGTCTTTCGTTCTCTCTGAGTGCAGACTGCAAATCTCGTCCGTGCAACTCTTGAAGAGGCAGTCCGAGACGCCTCGCTTCGACAGTGTTAAGGAGTTCTAGCAGTGCATTCCAATCCTGTTCAGTTGTTCCCATGTCCCAAAGCCCTCCATCCTCCTGCTGCTCTCCCTCCTCGTCTTCTTCCGACCACTGAGTCGGGCCCATTCCCATGTCATACTTGTAGTATCGAAGGAACTTCTGTCCTACTTGATCAAGTCCAACACCGTTTTTGTACCTCACTTGTGGCTCACGAGTCCCAACAACCTTCTGGTGCGGTCCTGGAGAGGCGAAGTTCAGAAAGACCTGGTCTTGAAGTTCTTGTCTGAACTTGGAACGCTCCCTCCTGTATTTCGGCAAGGCAGTATCCACTTCGTCCGCGTTATTGTTCGTGTTTTGGTGCCAAAATTCCGCGTTGTAAATGGCGTCGTTATGCTCTCCGTTCCATGAACCTGAACCCACTTTGAGAATCTTCAGGCCTTGCATGGTGTCCTTCCAACGTGAGAACACAGCATGCCATCGAATGTCGAATTGAACAGTAATATCGTTCCAGTCTCCCGCACCCTTGTTTACAAACCATTGCTTGCTTGGATAGTTGTCGTTGGAAATCTCCATCGAGTTGCCATCGCTGTCTGTGCCAATGACTGTCGTACCTGTCTCGAGTGGTGCAGCAATATCAGCTTGAAACAATATGATGCAGTCATCGAGATATAGCTCCTCAAGTCCTCCGCTTTCGTTCTGTCGCCCAAGAGAAGCGATCCAATCGATCTGCCATTCGTGGCTGAGAACGTAGTTTCCGAGTGCGAGGACCCTCAGAGCAGGAAATCCAGAATCAGGCCCAGATCCGGGGTTCACGGCTCGAAGGTCTAGCCGAGGGCACCAGCCCCAATAATCCTTGCAGTAAAGAGAAAGAGTCTTGAGATGTTTTGATAATTCCGGGGAAAGCCACGTGCGTGGAAGGCAGTCAATGTCGTATCTCTCAGGAAAGTAAATGTTATTCTCTGGGGAGGCTTCTTCATCCTCGTGGGCGATGAACAGTTTCAGGTCCCGTAGGTCTAGGGACGAAATGACTGACTTGAATGCAGCAGACTCCGTCAGTCGTTTGTCATTAAAGTCTTGGAGGTTAGACACGGTGATCGTGTTAACGTGAATCGGCTGAAGGAGCTGCTCATCTTCGTCGCTTAACTTAAGACCCAGAGATGTCTCCCATTCAGATGATTGGTCTTCGTGCATCCTTGAGTGTGCCCTGTTCATCCTGCGTTCTTGACGGTTCGCATCCCACGTGCCTGCGAGGCACCGCATGACAGTGTCAAGAACCCAAAAACGAAAGTCGCAAGTCTCTTCAATTCCGTGGAAAGATGAGTCACCATTGCCGACATTTTCGTTAAAACGGATATTGACCGTCTTGACATTTGCAAGCATTCCGACAAATGATAGGGCGGCAAGAAACTCTTGTGGCAACGGGTATTCTTTGTTGGTGTTGTATTTGAACGACGGCCCAACCCAGGAGTCAAGAGTGAGCTCTCGGACCATTGTACGCAGATGTGTCGATCTAGCGATCTTCGCAAACACTGTGCAATCGCGGCTCGCCTTGAGTGCAACATGGCGAAATGCGAAGGCTGTCGCGATGTCTCCGATTTTCTTGTTGAGCTGACGGCACGTCAAGAGATCTCGCTGAGGTAGCCATGAGAAGATGAGGCGGTGGATCTCATTTGGGAATGGGTGCAAGTTTGACATAGTGGAAAATAGACTGACGGCGACCGGCTGAATACCAAGGATCTGAGGAAGAGAGAGAGAGAGACAGAGAAAGAAAGAGAAAAGGAGACCTCACCGTCAGGAAAACCAAAACAGCGCGTGGTATGTTTTTGTTGGTTCAATGGGGTCCACATGCTGCGCCGCAGACATCACCGGTGGCAGCAGGCAGCGACGCAACGGTTCACGATCCATGTAGCTGCCACCTTGTGGTCTGCCAATGTACTCTAATTGTTGTTTTCTCACTGAGTACAGCGGTACATCGGGCGATTTCCATTTTACCGCCTTGATTTCCAATCCGTTCCGGATAAGAAGATAACAACAGCATTGTAAAGCCCATCATCACCAACACCAAATCTCGTCGCCGAAAGGGTGTGCTACCGATGATCATGAGTTTCGATCTACAAAAATAGAAAAGTTTCAGAGGGGGAAACAAGCTCGCGAATGATGACAAACTTGCAACAACTGCCTTCTCGTTGTTGAGGCTTCAACTGAAAGATCCTTGCGAGTGTGTCTGTCCGAGCACCAAGGCAAATGCACACTGTCACCTGACATCCTCACGACACCGCATTTTCATGTCGCTACGTTTATGGACAGTGCGATTCCGCAGAACTCTCATTCTCACTGCCACACGTCATGAACTCTAATGCCCGACTTTCTCACGCGCTCCTCGCTCTTTTCGATCCCTTTCCTTCACACGTCTCCCAAGCGGCTGGAACCACAAACGGCGGCATCATGTGTTCAATGTCTCCGTCTTGAAAGGCGCCTTGATGTTCATATCTATATCACTCGACAGCCTCAGCGCGCAACGGCAATATGAACGCGATGATCGACGACGACACTGTGCAGCTCGTCCAGAGTGCCGAGCTAGCCGTGAGGATCGGGCCTGACGAGACCGTTATCCATGCTGGCGCCGACAATGGACCGGGGAAGGAAGAGCACTGGAAGAGTGAATCGTATCTGGGAAGCGGCGGTGTTGGCTTGGTTTTCCGAGAGAAGTGCATTGTGGGACCGTCCTTCGGCCAACTGAGAGCAGTCAAGGAAATCCCGCGACCTAGGACCAAGAAGGACATTGATGTGGACATCATGAATGAGCTGAAGGGACTCACCATCCTTTCTCAGCCCCAGGTAATCACTATTCCATGTCTATTGCAGCAAGGCTGACCGCTTACAATTCAGTACGAGGCATACTTTGTAAAGACACTGGGTTGGTACCAGACGCCGTCCAAGGTGTTTGTGGCCATGGAGTTCCTTCCGCATGGAAATCTGCATTCGCATCTAATGGATCAAGGGCCCATACCGGAAGCCCAGGCGAGGCTCGTCATTCGACAGGTGTTCCGCGGGCTAGCATATATACATCAACATAATCTGGCGCATCGCGGGCTGAAACCATCGGTAAGCCTGACACAGTCTTCTCCCCGTAATCAGTAAGTTGACTAGTTCTAGAATCTTCTCATCCGAACTCAACCTCCCGGGAACGAGTGGTGGATAAAGATTGGCGACTTTGGAATTAGCAAGCGACCCAAACGTACAATCAGCATGTCGTTGGCGGTCGGCGACACAATAGGCTTTATGGCGCCCGAGATCCTCGGTCTTTCTGGTATAACTGATGATCTTGCGCCCGACATCGCAGCTCAAAAGGGTGACATGTGGGCGGCCGGGGAAACACTCCACTTCATGCTAACATGCGCACACTCTTTCGGCGAGGACCTCGAAGCACTTCGCGAATACTCCAATGATGGTCGATCATTCCCCAACGAGAGGCTCCAAGGCCAAGGGGTATCGTCCCCATGTGTCTCCCTAGTTCAAGACCTCATGTGTTCTCATCCGAAGCTCCGTCCCGATGCCGAACAGTCCCTCGACCACATTTGGTCTCGCATGATAAATCACTACTCAACGTCCTACTCACGAATATCCAGTCAAATCCGCTGCCGTGGACTGGAAGCGCCGTCGGTTACTTTCTCCCGTGACGGAGAGCGTCTTCTCGTAGTTTCTCCCGAGAAACTGTACTTGATCGAGTCCAACAGCGGAAGCGTAATCAAAAGCTACGAAGCTTCGGATCGAACATTTGCGAGCGCAGCAATATCTCCCGACGATAAATTCATCATGGTGCTGGAGGATAGTGGTCGACTCAGTCGATTCGATGCGAAGAAGTTGAAGCTGCTTGAAGAGAGGGGGCCATTTGGCAAGATGCCAGCCGGTGATTGCTTTGTCTTGTACTCACATGACGGGCATTGTGTGGCAACTGCACATACCGGCAACTTCGTTATATGGAGACTGAAGGGATCTGCTTTGCCAACAGCTGGTACTTGGCGGACAGGCAACTTCACCGTTCGATCTATGGCTTTCACCACGGACGATAAGAACATTGTGCTGGCACTCGACAGAGCTGTGCATATCATACCGCTGGAACCCGCCATCACCGGGACGGGCTATACTCGGGGAGAAGAGATGATCAAGTACCCGGTCTTTGGGCCTGTCACTGCTGTCTCTCCGGACGGGGCCGATTATGCCCATTGTGACTCGGATTACATCTATCTTTGGCGGGACAACGCCCAATGCTGGCGTCGTCAATACTATCACTCCGTGCCCACCTCTGCGGCTTCATACTCTGCATCTGGAGCAACCATCGCGACAATCGACAGCCGAGGAGGAGTCACGCTATGGCGAGCCCGGAGCATGAGCGAGGTAGGATGCATGAAATTTCCGGAGGAGATGGTGGCTAGAGTTGCAGTCTCACCACCGCTAGGGAAGTATATCGCGTTAGGGTTAATGGATCAAAAAGGCCCCAGAGTTGTTGTTCGGGAGATTCTCAGCTTCGTGCCGTCGGATTAGAGGATATTGATCAGGAGAATGGTTCCCAGCTCATACGTTTATAATGAATATAAAAAAAGGAACAAGCTTGCCTCATGCCTGAATCGAACAGGCGATCTTCTCATTACTAGTGAGACGCTATACCACTTAGCCAATGAGGCTTTTGATTGCTAGTAATGATGATCAGCTTCTAGAAGCTCATTTCGCCTCACGATGGGGATGTGTGGATGTCCCACTTTGGGGTTGGGGCTCGCGATGGGTCGGTCCAGCAGGTTGCAGTGTGGACCGCGTGGCACTGACGTCGACCTCAGATTCCGTGAAAAATGTCTGACCGTTGTTTCCTCACAGCAATGAGTAGAGTAAAAGAAACTTCATGTTTGGACTGGACTAGCTAGGTCAATGAACCACACTACTCGCGCTCCCAGGTGCCTATACGGCTCATGCTCTCAGATGCAGACACCCGACTACTGACTTCTTCCCAGCTGTCCGTACGGCAGATGCAAATTTGCCAAGAATCTGTGCTCGTAAACTCATCAAGTACATCTTGGCGCATCCAGAACGTGGCAGTGCATGTAGCTGTCGAGAATCTGAATGCCGTCACAATGTGAACAGAACTCTCCCTGAACTTGCGTGCCGAGTCCGATGAGTTGCCGTCTTCGTCGTCCGAGAGGAGCTCCCGGAGATCAAAGTTGCGCGGATCGACTTCAGTTGTGTTGAAGATCGCGAGGACGAAGTGCATTATCCGACCCTGAGCCTCGAAGAATCCAGGAAACGCTACAGTGCATTCAACGACCTTTTCAGCAGGAACCAAGGCACTTTCCGGAGTGATGATACCGAAAGGGAATAAGCCAACCCAGAGACTGAGTAAAGTCGTGAACTCGGCTCTCCAGGGATTCAGACAGATCTTGCGCTGCGGGTAGGATGTGCTCAAATTTTCAGGGCTGACAACAAGTTCCCAAGGGGCCCGCGCGGTTGTACTAATGCTTCCTTCGCATACAGAGGATAGCACGCCCGATAGCCAGTGCGCCGGGTAACCGACGTCGTGCATATGACCGACTATCCTCAGGAACGTCGTCAAGTTCAAAGGGGCGTGGACTGGACGATCCGACAACTTCGGCCGAGGGTAGGGAAGGCAAATCTTGAGCAAGTGAAGATATAACCAGCGCTCCAGGGCAGATCGTGACATCAATCGCTTGCTGAGAGTGGTCTTAGTGCTGGACTTGGCCCAGATGAAGTAATCCTCAATTGCAAATTTGTTGCCCCCAAACATCTGCAGTAAGGCGGCTTCATCCACCTCAGGAGGGTTAGGATTCTTTTCCCGGGTGACACCAAAATTGCTCTCAACTTCCTTAGCATCGTGCATGAGAACATACTCCGCGAGGAACTGATCGTGACTTTTGAACATGGGAGGGTTGAGGAGGTTGTTGAACCTTAGGTTGGAAGGTCGATCCTGGCGGAGAAGAGGCCCGCCGGTGAGAAAAGCAGCCAAAGGCCCGCCAATATAGTCGCTAGATAGTTCAAGTTCAGCAACCTCTGTAAGATGTGATAATTGGCTGTATGGAATACATTATTTGACTTACGGTATATTGTTCATGTGAATGCGGTCGTACTCCCGGGGAAACTGGGTAGGGTCAATCGCTTCAACATCGTTGGGTCGCTGCAAGCGATCCTTCAAGTTGCCGTGCCTAATGCGGTCCAATACGTCCGCCATCTCTCCGGCAATCACCTCAATTTTGATGCGGCTATGAAGGTTCATCATGACAAGTGAGAAATGCTCAAAAACTTCGCTCACAATTTTGAGAACGTCTTCTTCCTTTTCAGTGCTCAAGATACTGCGCAAGCTTTTGATCATCTCCGCAGGATTCCAGTCAAAGCCCGGAGGCACTTCCGATAGACCTTGCGACGCTCTGATTTCTTGCTCTCGCCGGGGCTGGTAATCCATGTCAAGGACTGTAGGGTTCGTAACCCAGTGAGTGTCGATGTGCTCCAGGAGCTCCGCCTTGGAACCTTGCTGTCCAGATCGGAAAGCGTCCAGCAGTGGCAGCAGTTCCGGCTCTCATCTTTTGATGAACACTTGGTTGCCAAAGACGACACCTAACTCGTTGAACTCTTGGTCACTTCTGTTCTCGTACGGAACTTTTGCAGCATCGAAGTTCAACATCATGCTCCTCCGAAACTTCTCTATCTCAAGATTTTCCATCATGAGAGGACGAAGCCTTTTCGTAGCGTACTTTTCTCCTAGAGGCTCAGCCCATTGTTTGAGCTTGCGGACAACTTGTATCCGTGTCTCCCTTGGAAGGTAAAACATGCCCATGAAGTCAGACCCGACTCCGTCGCCTTGCTCCTCCAGCTCATCAATGACTGTTCGAATGTGCTCAAGCATCTTCTCGGCAGCGAATGATGGCATGAATGCCGAAGAGAACATGTAAGACATGACTGTGAGGGCATCCTCAATACGCGGCATCTTCTGGGTTTTCATGGCAGCGTATCGGAAACCCATATCGAACATGATTAGAGTCCTTGCCAAAGCAGCGGCGTTGATGTCGATGATGGTGAAGTATGCTTGCGTAAAGGCTTTATTCTTCCCTTTCCGCTGATTCATCATGTCCTGGAAAAAGAGAGTGGCTATCGATATGAATAGATGACGAGCATCACCGCTGCCACAAAGGAAGAATTACAGCGTGTCTTTTGGTCCAAGAAGTTCCCAGAGTGGCTCATCAAGCTGGAGCAAAGGCTCTGCGAAATCATGGCCGACGGCGTAGTACTCAGGAATGTCTTGTCTGGACAATGAGCGTAAATAAGCGGAACTTTGAAAACATTGATAGAACGTACAGAGAGGCTTTGTGTCTTGCCACGCGGTCACAAGTCTGCGTGCGCAGCTTGTCGCCATTTGGTACAGAAGCCCTCAGACCTTTGAGATCCTCGAGGGAAGCTTTCAAACTCTGACTTGAGGTATCAACCCCAAGATTCTTAATGGCGCTTTCCGCAGCCTCAAAGGACATTAGGTAATTTGGCCATTCGAGTGTACAGCTTCTGCTTCTTTGGCTCGTCCTTCGCTTCGGATGATGAGAGAGACAAAGCTTTCTCGAGATTCTGCAAGCAGCTGGTGTAGTCACCCTGCTCGAACTTGATGGCAGAGATGTTGGACCATGGTGCGGGGTCCTCAGGGGCAAGCGCCGCCGCCTCCCTGTACGCTTTCTCTGCTAAGAAAGATCTTCAGTACTGGCGTCGACACAGTGGACTCTGAATCACAAACCTTCAGTGAATTGACCTTTGCGATAAAAGCCGTTCCCGCGCTCTCGGGCCGCCGAGGATTCTAGTGGTGGACTGGCAGACGCCATTTCGGATAATGGTCACGCGTCGCGTCCTGTGTGTGTTCCGGTACTGTCGTTGCTCAACGTGGCAGGTTTCGTCCAAATTCTCGACCCAGCTGGGTGCCGCACACTAGCAGGGTTAATGCTTCGAAGTATTAGAGGACGAGACCCACTGTCTCGCACTTAGTCATCATGTCGTCAAGCATTTCAATTCTATTATCCGTAAGGGATTCGGTCTTCACCTTTTACCTCAAGCTGCATGTATCTGACGGCGGAGATCTAGTATCGATAAACCCACTTGGAAGGATTCTTCCCTGTGCCCGCGGGCCCCGACCGAGCTTGTGCTTTGATAGTCCAAAATACCGGTGTGAACGCCACCCTACAATCATGCAGCCCCGATCTTGATTGCCGGCTTCCCCCCTGTCCTGGCAGTCCATGGTGCAAATGCCCCGATATGATTGGCGGGTCGACCTGCCCTATTCAGGCAAAGGCTAGCAGTCTGTACTTGACGCTCGCTAGGATGGCATCTATCTGAACATCATGTGAAGTGAAGATGAAGTTAGGTATTCGGGAAAGTATAAATGAAAACTTCTTCAACGACTTTTATGGTCTTATTATTCCAATGTTCAGTCAAAAGCTTTCGAATCTTCCTCTTGAAAAATGACATCGAAACTATCTTACGCGCATCCACTCTCCCCCCTCAGCATTGAGGAGACCGCCTCTGCAGCAAATGTTATTCGCGCCTTGCACCCTGACACAATTCTTCACTTCCGGGTTATATATCTTCGAGAGCCTGATAAGGCAGATCTTGTCAAGTTTCTTGACATTGAACATGCTGGAAGGCTGACACCCGAGACACCAAGGCCTCCTCGTCTGGCCTCAGTGCACTATGTTGTGGTGGCCAACCAAGAGGAGCCCCAATCAATAGAAGCCATCGTCGACCTGGAAAAGCTTGAGCGCGTGTGGGAGAAAACTGTCAAAACCGACGTTCACCCGAGCTTCACATTGTATGTCTCATCATGTGAATACCTATTGATGCATTTAATCCCTTAGGCAACTTACTAACCTGCTTACAAAATAGGCATGAACTTCAAGAGACTGTCAGAATCTGCAATGCGTCTGAAATTCTGCAGTCCAAGATTGCGGCCCTTTCACTTCCCGATGGGTTCGAAGCGGTCATCGAACCTTGGCCCTATGGCGGTCTCGACAGTCATGACGAGAATCGCCGATATTTCCAGGCGCTTGTCTTTGCCATTGACAAACGGAAGAACAACCCAGACGCCAACTTCTACAGCTATCCACTTCCTTTAATTCCTGTGGTAGATTGGATCAAGCAAGAGGTCGTCCGGGTTGACGAATTGGCCACTGGAGGCGTGGATGACCCTTACGTTGCGCAGCCCAGGGGAAAGGGCATTATTGACCATTGCCAGCCTTCCGAGTACGTGCCGGAACTTCTCGTAACAAAGATGCGAGATGATCTGAAAGAGCTCAATGTTCTTCAGCCCAACGGACCTAGCTTCAGTGTCAAAGACGAGAGTCTGGTGGAGTGGCAGAAATGGAGGATGCGCGTCAGCTTCAATCCTAGAGAGGGCGCCGTAATTCATGATGTTCTTTATGATGGACGCAGTGTGCTGTACCGACTATCCATCAGCGATATGACGGTTCCCTACGCCGATCCTCGCAATCCATTCCACCGCAAGCAAGCCTTCGACTTTGGCGACGGGGGTATCGGCCACTGTGCGAATAATCTCGAGCTTGGATGCGACTGTCTCGGGGTCATCAAGGTACGCTCTTGCGTGAAAAATGCGTGGTTCTCTGCTGACATTTGACAGTATTTAGATGGTGTTCTGAACCGCCCCGACGGTACAGCTCACTGCTCGCCTAATGTCATCTGCCTCCATGAGCAGGATAACGGCATAGGCTGGAAGCACACAAACTGGCGGACAAACAGAGCCGTCGTGACCCGGCGGCGAGAGTTGGTCATTCAGTTCATTTTGACCGTAGCCAACTACGAATACGTTTTCAACGTGAGTGCAAGTTTTCTTAGTTTTGAGTAGCAGCTGACCTTTCTTTCTAGTACAAATTCGACCAAGCTGGAGGTATCACAGTTGAAACAAGAGCGACCGGCATCTTGTCTGCAGTCAACATCGATGCTGGCAAAACGGCACCGTGGGGAAATATCGTATCCCCTGGCGTGCTTGCTCAGAATCACCAGCACATCTTCTGCGTACGGATCGACCCGGCTATTGATGGCTATGAAAATACGCTGGTACAGCAAGAATCGCTCCCACTTCAGATTGACACCAGAACAAATCCCAACGGAAATGCGTACAAGGTTGAGGAAACGCCAATCACAACATCGGTCGGTCTTGATGCCGCTCCCCACAATGCACGATTGTTCAAGATTCAGAATTTGAGTAAGCGTAATCCAGTCAGCGGAAAACCAGTTGGCTATAAGATCGTGCCTCCGCCCACTCAGCTTCTTTTGGCAGATCCTCGGAGCCGCCAGGCTCAAAGAGCACTTTTCGCTCATCATCATCTTTGGGTGACGAAGTACAAGGATGACGAACTTTACGCTGGAGGTCGCTACACCTTGCAAAGCACGATTGAGGAAGAGGGAGTGTCAGATGCAGCTGCGCGATGCGATGATGTCTTGCAGAATGATATCGTTATTTGGAGCGTATTTGGGCTCACTCACAACCCGCGTGTTGAGGATTGGCCCGTGATGTAAGCCCCAAACAACTTGGTGTCGGAAATTACCACTAACCATATGTGGGCAGGCCCGTCGAAACCATTCAGCTGCACATCAACCCGGTGGACTTCTTTACGTCGAATCCAGCCCTCGATGTACCCTCGAACCGTAATTTGACGTCTAAGTACGCAGGCGAGACAACTTCAGTAACTGTTAACGGGAAGGACTCGGGGGCGTCGTGCTGTAGATAAGAGCAGCGACTGGAATGAATGTTGGACATGGTAGTTGGTTCTTGCGCTTCCCGCACAAAGTTAGACTCAAGGTGGCTGAAAGAGGCCTGCCGTGTATTATCGTTGCTTTTATTCATTATCATTATACGGTCCTAGAAGACCGCAATCTCTACTCCCCTAGTCTGGGCTGCAGTCTCAGTGTCGAAGCTATCTGAGCCCTCCTTCCAGGCCGCTTCAAGGATTTCGTCAATCATCTTCTGGACATGGAAAGAATCCTTCTTGTTGAATGATGCCCTTATATCGTCCAAGACCTCCTTCCACTCCGGGTGCGCTGCTAACAAGGGAACCTCTACACTGGCCGTAACAAGTGGATAGATGAGGCCATTGTGAACCAGTAAGTGGTGATTGGCGGGTATCTCGACTGCTCGGAATAAAGAGTAAATGGACGCAACAAGGCGGCACATGACAACTTCCGTCGAAGGAGACAGCGCTGAATCGGTTGATTTGTCATGTGTCGGCGGTACCTTCGGCGCTGCATCCGCAGCGACGCGTTTTGTCCGCCTCCTCACATCCAGGACAGCTGAATATCTCCAGCAGTCCCACAGAATGCATTGCGCATGCATGCCTATCTCGCCAGGCCAGGCCCAGAGCCGCGCCTCTAGGTCTTGTCTCTCACTATCTTCGATGTCAGCCAAAATGTCCAGAAATGACCTCGGTAACCCCGAGACCACTTCTACGCCCCCGAGTCTCCCCCCTTCCCACTTGTCTTGATGCTTCCGCAGGTTGCGCCAAACACCCATGCTCGGACTTATCCTTCCTATCACTGATGTTGGTAGGTCCATGATAGATAACACCTCGATGGAATGGCGTGTGGGGAAGTCGTGGTCGGCAGACGGCACTAGGACGTCAAGCTTCGTGTCAAGATGATAAAGGTCCGCCATGAGCTGCAGATACATGGTGAAGGGACGAGCTTGAAGTAACTATGCAGCCAAAATTAGTTCGCGACCATAAATCGCGGCAAATCACGCAGCTTAGCAAGGACTTACGCATAGAGTGCAAACGAGGATGCCCGCCGACATGGTCGAGACATCCAAAGAGCCATGCCGGCCTTCCAGTTCCGCTCGGAATGTTTGCAGGGCATGGTCGACATGTTCCATCGCCAGTACCGAAAAGCCATCATCCATATACGCTTGGATGGCGGTGCAGACGACATAAAAGGCCTGGCTCTTTTCTGCCATTGCCTGGAAGTGTGACTGGAGCCAGATGTAACTTTCTGTCGTATACAAGCGATGCAAACCGGCATTTAGGACTTGGTACACAAGTCAGCCGTGGATCGTATCTTGGATCTAGACAACTGGGGAAGGACGACGACTTACACTTATTGAACAATTGCCGTTTTGGGTCAATGTTTGCGCCCGGCGACGGCGCCAAGGGAGAAACAACCCCAGACTCGGAGGCGGAGCCGGTCTGCGTGATCCCTTCGGCTCCGGGAGGGGAGGTAGAAGAGGAGGTGGATGGGGCGCTGGCCACCTGCAAATGTGGATCCTCGGTGCTCGGCAGATGATCTGAGTGTGAGAGTTTGCTGGGCTCCGAGCTGGAACTGTAGAAAGAGACATCAGGGATTGCGGCTCCAGCAAAGCGACCACGCGAGGCTATTCCGTTGGTCCACTTGAGCGTTGTGTTGTAGCCTTCGCACTGGATTCCGCGCCGTTGGCAGGCCCGACAGTCTGGACGCGTCTCGTCACATTTCCTCTTCCGCCGCTTGCAGTTGGAGCAGCCTCCCCTGGAACGAACCATGTTTGCCCGAACGATGATCTGTGAGTGGACAGTGGAAACAGGCCCTGCGGATAGTGGGCGTCGTGTATCTTGTTCGGCGAGCTGGCTGGTCCCGATGTCCGTCGGGAGGGGGAATGTCTGGTCGACGTGTTGGGCAAGTTTCTTTTTAGGAGATAAGCTACTCCGAAGAGGCAGAAGGAACCGAGGCGCATATATATGCCCTAAGGGGCATGGCTCAGACGCCTCAACCAGGGGTCTGAGCACGCTGTTGCAGCTTTACAAAATGCGGGGACTGACAGGCTAAAGCGAATAAAGTTCCCGGTCGTCATGCTGAAGCTGCTTTGGAAACGGGGTCATGACAAGCTCCTGCAGGGAATTGCTAGTGAAGGGTGTAGCATCAAAATTGATTTTCACGCGGCGGCTATCCAAACGCGACTGCAGACACACGCGGGAATGCAGCCAAGTCCTGGCATCAGATGCAGTAGGGTCGCTACACCTCTGGCCCTGCAGGCCTGTACGCCCTTATCATTTGACAGATGACTGGGGCTAGGCTACGGATGATCGCCAATAAAGTCTAACACGTCTGAAGAGGGTTAACCTGTGGCGCATGTCTTATCGCTGGACATCCTCCTGGGTTGAGAGGAGGACAGAACGTCGGTAGTTGCAACGACACCATTTCAGGGTCCTATCAATCCAAGATATATCGAATGGCTGTCTGCCTCATTTTCTAGAACTTCTGGATCGTCTCCAGCGAACATCAACAGTTAGGCTGGATCCTAGCACTCAATTTACCTACGCTACCGTGTTTCTCTGACCTCTTGACTCCCAACCAAACCCTCCTATGGATAACACCTCTTCTCCGGGTGTCCAATCCACCCCTTTACCCCCTGGAACTGTTCACTTAATAAGCCGTAAGACATACCCACCGCCCGGAACGGCTTCATGTTGACCTGAACTCAGATGAACAAGCCACAGATGCATCCACGTTCAATCTTTCGCCCGTCCCATCTTCGGACCCAAACGACCCCTTGGTACAGACCTACGTGAACTCTCGAGAAGAACGCGGTTTGCTGACGAGTGTGTCTGGCATCAGAACTGGAGTAGATGGCGCAAGTATCTCAATTATGGCTTGGCCATGGGGGTGACAGTCGCTGCTTTCACCAAGTAAGTTCTACTTCGACAGTGAAGTTGCTGGGGAAAAGGCTAACGCATGGATCACGCGAATAGCCTATCAATCCAGACCGTCTTCTGGCAACAAATAACCGTCGATCTTGACGTGAGCATCGCCCAGCTTAGCAACGCACAGTCAGCTCAGCTTGCAGGCCTCGCAACCGGCTGCATCTTCTTCATTCCTTTCACTATCAAGTACGGCCGACGACTCACATATTTGGTCTCAACGGCCATTCTGGCCGCTGCCGCTTGGTGGACATCGTCGATGCACTCATACGCAGAGTTGATAGTCACAGCAGTTATAACTGGCTTGGCTGGAGCGATCAACGAGACCGCAGTCCAGATGACAGTACGCTTGGATACCGCAGCCAAGAGAGAAAAGGGAGCATACGTTTGCTAACTAGTTCTAAAGATTGCCGACCTCTTTTTCGTACACCAGCGAGGCTCTGCCAATGGCCTTTACTTCATCGCCGTCATGGCGGGTAGTTTCCTCACGCCGCTGGCTGCTGGCGTGCAAGCCGTTTCTCAAGGATGGCGGTGGTCATACTACGCTCTTTCTATCGCGCTCACGATTCTCTTCATCATGTTCATCTTTCTCTACGAAGAAACGAAATACGTGCCGATTACCGTCGGCCAGAGCGAAGAGATCGAAACAGAGCCCACGGATATTGACAACGGTCTAACCAAGATCAAGAGCACGGAGAAGAGCGGACTCGAACTCAACTACACACAGTCGAACGTTGACCGGACTATCCGCATGAACACCTATCGCGAACGCATGCGCCTAGTGACCCCGACTTCGGAATCCCTTCTGCGCGTCTTCATTCTACCCCTACATGTGATCACGCTCCCTCATGTCCTCTTCACCGCCCTTCAGTTCGCGTCAGGGGTTTGCTGGCTGGTGTTGTTCATGTCTGTTGTATCAGTGGTCTTCTCTGCCCCTCCCTACAACTTCGACACTGCTGCTGTGGGGTATATGACACTTGGGCCGTTCGTGGGGAACATCTTTGGCAGTCTCTACGGCGGACCATTTGCTGACTGGGCCGTCCTTCGCCTGGCGAAGAGAAACGGTGGTCTTTTTGAGCCTGAGATGCGACTTTATCCTCTTTTCCTACCGGTAATCACCATGGCCGGAGGAATCGTTATGTTCGGAGTTACAGCAGACAGGGTAAGCTCAGTCTCAGCTGGGTCATTACAATGGCAGAAAACTGACAAGAATAGGGGATGCATTGGATCTACCCCAGCATCGGCGGGGCCTTTTTCGCCTTTGGGCTGGGCGCCAACGGAGACATCACCTTCACGTTGCTTATCGACACCTACCGAGAGGTAAAGTCACTGTTACCGTCAAACCGTACTAGATACTGACTCCTGTTTCCCAGCTTACCGCTGAGGCTTTTGTGGGCGTGGCCTTCATCCGCAACGCCGTCAGCGTTGGTGTTCCCTCTGCTCTCGTTCCTTGGATGTCGAGCATGGGTCTCAGTAACATGTACATCCTCAGCGGGGCGATTGCTTTGGTTATTGGACTCCTGTACGTGCCGATGATTATCTGGGGCAAACGGATTCGAACGGCCCTCGCGCCCCGGTACTGGCGACTTGTGGAGAAACGCATGAAGATTTAGTGTGCAATTTTATTTCCTGGTTGGGTTAGGAAGATGTTTGGGGGCTTGGGCGGTTCGCACCCGCACACACCCGCATATCCACCCGCAGCCTGCAGGACCCTTGTCTTCCATCCTCCTTGTTGCAAGCCATATGTCTCGTTGTATCTACTGTCGATAGCATTGGTGCCCTTAAACTTGGTAGCCTGTATTATATTCTTTGGGTTATGAACAAAACATGAAGGTTTAGTTCCATTGATTTCTCCTCAGAGCTTTTCAGCTGGCTTGCCAGGAAAATTTGTCAACCGGTAGCAATCAATGATTGGCTTCCCCTCAAACATCGTCATAACACCGATAGCAAAGACTCCATTCATCCAGTCATAAGGGCTGCCTCCAGGAGCCTCAAAGTTGATATGCGTGAAGTACTCTACGTCGTCCTGAGACGCCGTGGGGGTCAACTTCTCTGTCTGTCCCGGGCCGCTTCGATAGATACCATGTGCGTTGACCAAGATAAACACTCCGTCGTTGGTTTGGAGTGTGTATCGGGCATTTAATCTCGAAAACACCTAATGAAATCATGAGACCCGCGATCGATAACGCGTATCTGATATCAGTCACTGACCTTCCCAGGGCTGACCTGCTCCGCCCAGTCTGCGCCGCTGCGCTCCACTATCTTGCCATCAATTCTGGGTCCTTTCACCGAACCGCTCAAAATGGGCAATACAAGCCGCGTGGTACCAGTGTTGTCCACGTTGCGTATCTCGGACACAGACGGATCCATATCGCAGACGATCCGATAGATGAAGTCCAGATGCGGCATGCGCATGGGTGGCACATCAACCCCGCTCGGGGTGAACGCGTTCCCCGGGGATGGAGTGTGAGCGGAGTCTCTTCCTGACGACATGTTTGGGGTAGTGTGCTTGCCGGATAATTCCTGTGTTGCAAAGAAATGAGTGATCGAGTCGGGTATTGACGCAATTCTGGCGCTAATTGGGGGGACAGATGATGGCTGAAAACGCCGCCCGTTAAATAATTGTTTGTAACACGACCAATGCTGACACAGATCACAGAGGAGAACCTTTTCTCCCGACTCCATTTGCCGGGGTTTGAGATGCGGGACACACACCTCACCGTGGCCTCGGCACTCGGCCGGCATAGCTCCCCCAAGCTCCGGCGCCATCTCTTTCCCAATCGAGACAATAGACGCGCCGCCACTTCTCCGAGCTTTCTATTGATAACATGAAAATGATCCCAAGTTCGTTGATCTCTTACTTCCTGATAAGCGAGCGCGGCTGATGTACAGTTCCGAGAATCGTTCCGCTGCCTGCATAGTTGTCATCTGAAGTCTTGCATCAGCCATCAAGCCATCCCTTCCCTCGCCCTCCTCCTTCTTCGACCAGTAACCACCAGCATTTTACGATGCCTGCAGCCATGGAGTGGGAAGTCATAGCTTCTCGTCACAGAGAGAAGCAACAAGCTTCGATACCCCAAGAATGGGTGTTGTCAGACCAGAAGCTTCAAGAGCTTCGAGGTGCTGGAACACCCAAGGAGGGTCAGTTGAACGCTCTCGATGTTGCACGAAAGTCAGGACTATTCACGAATAGCGAACTTGAAATCACCGAGTCTTACAGTGCAAAGGAACTCCTGGGCAAGATCCATGCCGGAAAGCTCACCTCTGAGGAAGTCACAGTAGCATTCTGCAAGCGGGCGGCTCTGGCGCAACAGCTTGTAAGCGATCCCGACAGACTTCATACTTTGCAAACTAACGAGGATTAGATAAATTGTTTGACCGAGATATTCTTTGCTGAGGGTATCGCGAGAGCTAAAGAACTCGACAAACGTTTCAAGGAAACAGGAAAGCCCGCCGGTCCTCTGCACGGTCTCCCGATCAGTATGAAGGTCAGCTGCCTACCAATAAAAGACGTCGAGCCAACCAGCTAACAGAGACAGGACTCCTTCAAAGTAAAAGGTCATCATGCCACGGTCGGCTATGTTGAGTTCCTCAAGCGGCCTCCACCAACGACAAATTCGGCGATGGTTGCCCTTTTGCTGGACGCGGGAGCTGTATTTTTCTGCAAAACGAACGTTCCACAGACGATGATGGTCTGCAATCCCTAACCCCCCTGAAACCTCTTTACTGATCATCCAACTGACGGGGCAATGGCACAGACCGCAGACTCTGAGAACAACATCTTTGGCAGAACCCTGAATCCGCACAAGACCTCCCTCACAGCTGGCGGCTCAACAGGTGGGGAGGGTGCTCTCGTATCGTTCCGCGGCTCTGTTCTCGGCGTCGGTACCGATATCGCAGGCTCCATTAGAATCCCGTCCCTGTGCTGCGGCATCTACGGCTTCAAACCGACAGCCGATCGGACGCCTTTTGGGGGCCAGTCAAACTACCCATTCCCAAAGGTCCACCTGCCTGGTGTGGTGCCCGTGGCGGGCCCCATGGCGAATTCAGTCGACGATCTGTTCTTGTTCATGGAAACTGTGCTCTCGCAGAACCCATGGAGATATGACGCCTCCGCAATCGCCGCACCGTGGAGTGCTCCCAAATCTGGCAACGCCAAACATTTGACAGTTGGAGTACTTCCGGAAGACCCGGAGTATCCCATGCACCCCCCCGTTCGTCGAGCCCTCGAGGACGCAGTCTCCGCTTTGCTGAAGGCGGGACACAAGGTCATCAGGCTGCCGCAAGATCCTGACTGTAGCGCCGGACTTGGCGGAAGATTGGGATTCCAGTACTTCTTCATGACTTCAGATGGCTTGGACGTCCTCGCAAACGAGATCGGGGAACCTCTCGTCCCTTCCGTGAAGCGAGGGGTGCATCCCTTCACGAAGACGAAGCCTCCGGTTTCTGCAGATAAGCCTGTTGCACACCAGCTCAGCGATTTTCTCGGTCTCCGTGATGCCTATGCCGATAGCTGGCGAAAGACGTGGCGAGAACATGGACTCGATGTCGTTATCGGGCCAGGAGCCATCAGTACCTCTGTGCCCCACGACACGTATGGTAACCCAGTTTACACATTGATGTGGAATGTGTTGGATGTAGGTTTATGGACTACTGATGAAGGAATTTGGTCGCTGACTTGGGACAGTATCCTGCTGGTATCATCCCGTACGGCTTTGCATCTAAGGAGAAGGACCCCTCGCCCGAGAAGGCTGTGGCGGAATTTGAGGCAGACTGTGAGTTTGAGAGGCCCTAAAACACTGCCTAGCGCCAAACAGAGATGCTGACCGTTGTAAGACGACCCGGAAGCGAGCGATGGAGCTCCATGCTCAATCCAAGTGGTTGCCCCTCGATTCCATGATGAGCAGTGCTTAGAAGCGATTCGGATCATCGACAGAGACATCAGAAGGTAGAGCGTTACCAAAGGCACCAAGAGCAAGCACAGAAAGATGACCTCAGGGTTGGGATCATGTTTTCTCTATAGTCTTATCTTGGTCACCCTTGATTTCTAGACCGTGGCGGGTTCGAAACTGCGCCAGCCATTCAGAGTTATCTGCAACTGTCTGGTTCCACTCGTCGTCACTGTCATAAATGACCCGTCTTGATTCCTGCCTGAGCATATCGTCTGTAGGGTTAATCCCCTGCGCCACATATTCGTCCGCGAAGTGCTTCAGGTGTCGCTCCAATATCTCGGTAAACGCTTTGGAAGTCGCGGCTCTCGAGGTCAAAACCGATGGCGAGGGGAGTGGGTCGGGTTCCCTGAGCTCTGTAGACAATTCCTCCGCAGTGTCCTTAAATCCATGTGTCCGAGAGGATATTTGAGCAAAGTGATCTTTTGTGCCCTGTTTGGTTGCTGAGAACGGTACCACGCTCATGGACTCTGATCCGATGAGGTAAGGTGGCAGAGCATGAACTACCTGCTCTGCAACCGCGGGTGTGAAACCATGCTCTCCTTTCCAGTCCTTCATTGTCAAGCCTTTTCGGAAATGTGCCGCAAGATGGTCGGTTCTCTTGTTCCACGTCAACAGCGCCATACCACAAAATCCACACCGAGAGGTGATCTCCATGGACTGAACCTTCCAATCGTCGAATCGGGGTAGCTTCTCCAGCTTGTGCATAACGCGTAAGTGTTGAACAAGGTGATCCTTTCGTCCAAAGGAGCGTGCTTCGACTGGTCGGTCGTGGCAGGCGCTATGGTTGTGCATATCGAGATGTTCTTCTGTCGGGTCTATGGCGCTGCAGTATGCGCAATGGGGCCGACCCGTCACTGTCGACATAACAGAGCCTCCACGGGGAGCACACATCCAGGACTCCAGATTCAGATGTCGAGATTTCTCATGCCGAGCCCAGTCATACTTCGTCTTGAAGTTATCGCAACAAAACGTACACTTGAACGGGCGGCTGTCCTTCGTCGTGATGCTTCCACGCTTCTTCCCAACGCGGCCTTGGCGGGTTCGATTCAAGGGGCCGAATCCAGCTCGTCTTCCTCTTGACGCCTCTGATATACCAGACCATGCAGAATTGGCCGATTGCATCGAAGAGCTACTCCCACCACTGTCAGCGCTTGTACCAGAGTTAGCCCGGGAGTACGCTGGCTGAGATCGACTGTGTCCATCTTGCGAATCAACCTGATTTGTCCTCAGCGCATCAAAGATAGCTGCCATCGAAGCAGGCTCATCTTGAGGTGGTGAATCTTTCCATCGTTGCAACGGATCTGAGTCTTGCTGGGTTGCAGGGGAGGCAGGTATCGGGATTGGTACAGCTCTTTGTTCAGATTGCATGTATCGGTACCGACTTCGCCTACGTGGGAGGCCGCGGCGTCCCCTGAGCTCTTGCTCTTCAACTGCTGCGGACCAGTTGATGTTGTCCGAAGGCCTTGTAACTGGTCCAGGGAGTGGCCATTGAAGGTTGCTTAACTCTTGTGCCGGGTCGTCGTAAGACAGGTCGTGTCCAAACCATGACGAATCTTCGCCGTGGGAGATGGGCTCCGCTTGTGACATGTCCCCGGACCAGAGGTGGTCGGAACTCTCGGACATCAGGCCGGGGTAAGTTGTGCCGGATACGGCGGCATCTGGTGCCGACCATGGCGGGTGGGAGCCGATGAAGCCTCCATCTGAGTTGCCAGAGGCTAGTCCAAGCAGCGAATCAAGAACTTGCTGGTCAAGATAGGCCTGATCTTGTGTATGATTTGAGACGTCATTTGTTGTAGAGCGTGTCGTGCGACGGTATGCACCGCCGCTCCCATCTGCAGGATCGCCAGCGGTCATCGGTCTCTCGGAGGTAAGTGGTTGTTGAGATTGGATATTCCTTTTTCGCGCGCCCTAGACACTGGGACTGGTCACATAGGGAGTTAAAGGCAACGGTCACACTACGCCCATCTCCTCTCGTAGCGAACAGATTGCTGCCGGTATGTGGAGAATGATTAGGAGAATTCCATGAACGTCCTACGCCTTAGGGCGTGAAGTTACTACTATGAGCCAAGCGTCTCCGGATCCACGTGACGCGGAGTAAGCGGAGACTCTATGTCTTTGCAGTTGTGGTGTGCTGTCAAAGCGTGAAGAATTATTTTGCCGTCGAATCCAAACCCCGGGAAAAGGGTGCAGACACCGAAGTTTTTGCAGAAAGACCGTCGCCATTCTATGCCGTCTTTGCTTGTAGGTACTCGGCCCGATGTTTGTTACGAGACAATACATGATGAAAGAGGTCCTTGCCACTCCGGGTTTCATGATATCCGTAAGGCGCCACTCTACTGGTTCGTAACGAATTAGGGACGAACCTTCATTTAGTGCCCAGGTAGATTGAGTCAAGCCCGTCGCCTCTTTGGACATACTAGACTTAAAATAACCTCAGGTATGTGCCCGAGACGAACCGCGACATGAGGCCAGAACCCGCCTGCCGGCATTTGAATTCAGTTTGAAACTGTCATTTCTCAACTACTTATGCTATTTACGTCTCAAGTCTCAAGTTGGCGCTGCACGTCGAGTCACCTTGACGTTGAACTCCTTCTGGATATGAACCGCAAAGTTCTCGGTTGTCCAAGGTTTTGCGGGATCTACGATCGTGAAGTCAAACCGCCGAAGAAGCTACGTAAGAACCATCGTCAGCGATCACCTTTGATGTTGCAAAGCGACAGGTAGGCGGGAACTTACCTCAACATAAACCTTATTCAGCTCGAGCATGGCGATATTCTTGCCAAGACACTCCCACCGACTTCCCACTCCAAAGTCCAGCATAACTTGGGTGTCCATCACACGGTACTGCTCTTTGGAAATACCGAGCCACCGCTCTGGTTGAAACATGTCGGCGTCTGCCCCGAAGACCTCTGTCTGACGCATCACTGTAAAAGGAGACCAGGCCACGTTGGTTCCCGCAGGAATGTGCATTCCATAGATCACCTCGTCTTTGTCGGAAACCTTGGGCAATAGACCCGTCGCCGGGGGGTAGATTCGGATCCCTTCCCTTATCACTGCCTGGAGATACTCGAACTTTCTAGCTTCCGCGTCTGTGATCGGCGATGAGATGCGGCCCTCAGCAACACCCGTATCTATCTCAGTCCGCAAACGGGCGTAGACGTGTGGGTTTGTCATGATGAATAGCATTGTGGTTCGGATTGCTGCGGCAGTAGAATCAGAACCGGCAATGATTTGAACAGTCGTTTCACCTTCTGCTTCTTCTTTGGTAAGGCCATGGGAGACGAAAGAGCCAAGGATGTCGCGTTTGACAACGGGCTTCTCGCCGTAGCGCTCCTCAACGGCCTCTGCGGCCCTCCGCATGACATCGCCAATGCCGATGATATCCTTTGAGCTGGGCATGAAGAACTTTAGGGTCGAGGACTGTAGGATTCTGAGCATCCAGGGCTGCAATGCAATGACTAGTAGCGAAGGCAGGGTTTTCTCCGTGATCTCAATGTACCGCATGGTATCGGCATCGGCTTCCAAATACCCAAATTTCTTGTCAAATCCCAAGGCGGAGATGACGTCCAGGGTGAAGTACTGGACCTTGCGAGCCAAGTCAACGGTCTTATACTCAGACCCAGTCGACAAGTACCGCGTTTCTAGTAGGTGAACCAGTGCTTCAACTCGTTCGTCGATGACATCTTCCACGCCATCGACATCCTTACCTGCGTAACCGGCCGCGAGCTTGGCCCGAAGAGTGTCATGATATTTGTCGTCCAACGCTGTGAACACACTGTCGGAGTATGGATCGAAACGTAGGCCCAAATACCAGAGGCCTCGCTTCCAGTGGGAGCGAGCCGCCCATAGAACTCGCAGCGTAGCGCCATCACCGCAGAGGACCCAATTGGGCGCAATCCGAACAATGGGGCCTGCAGAATGGGTTTCGTTAGCTTCGCATGCAAGCGGATTGCGTAGGTGAGCGTCACAGACTTGGTGTATATGTGGACTAATTGTATTGGGCATACACCTCACAGGTTGGATGGGGAACGTGGTTACGCATCCTTGACAGCGGAATTATTACGCACCATGCTTCTTGTTCAGGTCTTGCAGAATGAAAGAGAGTTTGCCGCTGAATTGTGCCCTCATGAGCCAAAGATCGGTCCAGTGTGCCCAGAAGGGCCCTGGAATGTGTCTCATCCGTGCATAGTCACGTACTCGGCAAATGACCAGGTACGCAGTCCACAGCACTGCGGCGACGGATGCCACGGCAGTAGCAGAATACTGCATCCTGAGTTCTTGACCCGGCTGATGGGCAGCTGGGCAGGCACAACCAAGCAAAAAGCAAGCTCAATTGGCAGAGGATGGGAGCACAAGACGGCCCTGGGGGTGAGACAGGGGTTGGGATGAGAGGGGCGAGGACGCGAGATGTGGAATTTGTCGTGGAGGGACCCGGAAATCGGGCACCTGGCGACCTTGGTTGTCGACAAATAGCTCGCTGCGCCGCAAAGGCTTGATGCTCAGAACTGCCGGTTGATAGCTGTCAGATTGTAATTGAAAGCGGCAGGTGACTGGATGTACGGGCAGTAGACTTTGCGACGCTTACTAGGTCGTCGCACAAAATCCGAGGTCTGGAAACCTGAGCGGGTTCGGACGGCAGCGTCTGATAGTGTGATGCGTTCGAGCACGTCTGAGGGCCAGGATAATTGTTTCGATGATGTACTTGCGCGTTTTTCAAGCGACGTGCTGACTGCACTTACTAGTGAGTACCTTCGACTGAAAAAGAAAGACCAACACTGAATATGCAGCTCTGCTGGGGGTTCGAGAAGAAGTGAGTTGCAACTTGCAAGGTGAGGATATGAGGTCCTCCGGCGTGAAAGTTAGCTGCAGAAGTAACATGAAAAGCAGAAAAGCCTGTCAGAAAAAGAAAACGGGAACAGTAAATACGAAAAGCCCATCTCGAATATCCCCTGCTTTGAAATGGCACCTACATATAATCCTGCATCTTCGCGTGAGCTAAAGGTGACATCTTGCCCAATGTGTGTTGGCGTAGCACTGTGGCAGGCCGTCACGATGCATCAACGGCCGCCGGCAAATACGGGGCAGCAAATCGAGTGCGAGGTGCTTGCTGACAGGCAGCAGCAATCTTTCCAGTTTGTGGATATGTTTCCGTTGTAAGAGATGGGAAGCTGCAAGAGAAGACGACTCCCGACCGGGATGGTGACATGGATGTTGGCGATGTTGCGGTGCTAGTGATGTACACAACATGTAGCTTTGCTGTTCCCCGGCGTAGGGCATCTCACTGAATTCATTTGTCTCTCCAATGTTTGCGACAGAGACACAAAGGCACTGGACTGTGCATCCGTTTAATGCCGTAAGCCTTCGGGCCTTTTTCAGTCTGAAGACGTTTCAACTGGAAGTTGTTTGGTCCCATGATGCCGTTTGAATCCGAACTAATAATTGTTGTTCCATCTCACAGTTGCGATGGTGTTCTTCTCCGTGCCCTTGGTCCCGGGATTGAGACCATGTGCCTAACGCATCGGCCACAACATCCGCAACGGGCTCGGGTAACGGTGGGTGGGAATTGTGGCGCACCTCTGTTCGCTCGGTGAAGAGCCCCTGGCAGCTTCACTTATCCTATGGGACAAGAGCGCGCCTTCATTGAAGCCATGAACCGAAGATGAAATGAGCTGTGTTGTTGCCCATGGGTCAAGTGGGTGGGTTTCCGGGCGCCAGCAGTATTCTTTCGCAAGCCAAAGCACCTTCGATGCCCTCCTCTTTTTGTCTTATTTTCTTCCATTGCAATTGAAGCGCCTCACGTTGTCCCCCACTCGACCCCCGAAGATGGCGGGGTTCCGGTGCTGTGTTTCGGCCAGCCAGAGCGTCATTCGTAACACACACCGAGCACCTAGACTCAGAACCAAGCGGGTATTGATACGGGCCGCTTGTGAATGATGCAGTGGGCGATGAGAAGCATTTGATGAATTGACAATGGCTCGAATGAAAAGAAACTTGGTAATCATTTCCTCCCTGGCCCCATCTCCTCTTGACGACAGCCCAATAGGCATCGCTGAGAAAGCTCTCCGGCCTTTTCTGAACTCCTCATGTCATCATCTTCATGCAGCTCCTAGTCGAGCACCTTGGAACCGCGTTAGTGTTATAGTCCCTTGAAGACGCAAGACTCTGTCGGTAAACCACGCGATGCAACCCGGAGCGTGGGCCTTCTCGCTTCGCTGCCGTCTGTCTCTCCTGCGCAGTCTTCATCCCCGTTTGGCTGCATCACATCCCACCGCACTACAGACGCGAGGCCCCTAATTCCGCAGTAGTGCCTCCTCGCACGTACATTGAGCCGGCGAGAGACGTATGCAATCTGCAGTCTGATGTATCACAAAGAATGCCTAGTTGACCGTTGCCTGAGGCTGGTCTGCCTCTTATTAAAGACATATGACATTTTGCAGCCCGCTAGGCGTAACCACTCCTCTTCTCCCTGCGTCTGCTTCGGCCTCCTTTGATCTTGATGTTTTCCTCTCTGGCAGTCTTTGCCTCTAATTCTCCCGCTTGAGTCTCTTCGCAGCTGTCTGATGCTGCATCAGGATACTCGGCAGCTCATTCTTCTCAACACGGCCACTTCGGACCCCATTCACAGTTCCGAACAATTGTGAACCCTCTCAGTGGAAGCTCGCGCCATGGTCGTGTCTCCGCCGCAGTCCCCGGTCTCCCCGGTCTCTGCCACAAACGCCCACCAAAGGCCCGCCGAATCCCCTAAAGCGGCCCCAACTCCAGCACCGCGGCCAGAAGACGCCTTCTCGCCGCCACCGGAATCTTCATATGCATTGGCGTCCGACCAGGAGCCAGCGCCGCAGATTGTGAGTGAAGGCTGCATGCTAGCTTCATCCATGGACATCGTCTCCTCGGAGGAAAATACTAACCTGCCAATAGGAAGCGGACGCAGTCGACAATTCTGACACCGATTCGGCTCTCGGCGTTGTTAGTCTACCATATTTCCATCATTTACCCGCCTCTCCGCCCCTTGTTGCCCCCTGAAGACTCCTCCACTGCGACTCCAACAGTAGCCACTCCCAGACCGCGTACAGAAGACGCACTGGAGACATCTGCGAGTCATCCGAGCAGACCAATCATTTTTCTGCCTTTTGATATCCCGGCAGCGTCACGCATCGGACCACAAACCTTCTTCGCTAGCCAAGGAGTTTGCCTGCTGATTCCCGTTGCTTAGCCTTTTCGCGATTCGTTGACATCGCTGCGGTCAAGCATTCGCCATTACCAGCACGAAAATGGCCGTACGTATCATGCTATGAGTGCGGGGAGTAAGTGATAATACGTTATCAGTCTAGCGTGCCGAACTGACCGCTTCCTCAGAATATTTCCTTCCAAACGATGAGGTGAGATTTTCATCGGTGCAATCGAACCCCGGTTGTCGGTAGTGATTAACACTTTCATTCGTGTTGAAAGTCGGAGGTCGACAGGTTGGGTAGGAATTCTCCGCACCGCATCTGGCTCACCGTGGCTGACTGCTGCACAGATTTGCAGCATTATGTGATGACTCTTACGATAGGAGGCAATCACTGCCTCTGCCCGAAAAATATGGGTGCCAAAAGAGTGCTTGATCTCGGAACTGGCACCGGAATCTGGTCCATGGAGTATGGTAAGATGGCCCCTCCTCGCACAGCCCGCCCACTCAAGGGTGAGATTAAGGTCTGACATGATTCTGACAACCACCAGCGGATGCGCATCCTGATGCTGAGGTAGCACTTACACGTGTCAGAATTTCTGCCACTGGCTGACAGTATGGCAGGTGATTGGCGTCGATCTTAGCCCCGTCCAGCCAGACCTGTGAGTTGCCCTCCATTCACGGCTTGCCAGTTGCGCCTCGCTCATCATAAGCAGTGTGCCCCCGAATTGTTCTTTTGAGGTATGTTTAGGCAAAACGAGACCGCTATTGAGTTTCATCTGACAGGATGTCACATAGCTCGATGATTTGGAGAAGGACTGGACGTGGTCACGACCATTCGACTTCATTTTTTCTCGCATGATGACAGGCAGTTTTGCAGACAATAGAAGTATCGTCTACAAGGCTTTTGAGTGAGTTTGACCTGTGCGGACCGTTGGTTTGGTCGCCTACTGATACTCTCTGAAGCGCCCTGGAGCCAGGCGGCTATTTCGAGGCCCAAGATATGGCTCTTCCTTTAGGTTGCGACGATGGGACACTATCAGTTGATTCAGACCTTTGGAAATGGGTCCTCCTGGTAATGGAAGGTATGGCGAAGTTTGGTAGACCTGTCACCGCTGCGGAGCAATGGAAGCAACTCATGGAAGAAGCCGGTTTCGAAGACGTTGTTGAGACCATCTACAAATGGCCCACAAACCGTTGGCCTCGAGACAAGCATTACAAGGATCTTGGCATGTGGAGCTTAGAGAACATGGACCAGGCCCTTGAGCCAGCCACGCTTGCTCCCCTCACAAGAGCTCTTGGCTGGAGTTACGAGGAGGTCATCGTTCTCGTCAGCAAAGCCAGAAAGGTATTGAGAGATACGAGCGTACACGCATACTGGCCGATGTAAGGTTTTCCTTCTGAATACAAGGCCATACTCAGCGCTAATATGAGGCTGCAGATACATCGTTCACGGGCGAAAGCCGTATAGAAGGGATAAGAGCAGGGCGTGAAACGAAAAATACACAAAAAGGTTCAGAATACGCAGAACACGAGTCGACTTGCGGATATCCCGAGTCGCAAATGAGCAGAAACAATCTAATCGCGAATGGAATCATGAATCAGACTTTTGCCATCAATCGCGGCTCTTCTTGTAAAGCTTCTCAAACCAAGACAAGATGAACATACATAAAAGATACAACCAATCCATATTTCCCATGATCCGAAGCTTCCATATTAACCGTATTAGCACAGGAATACCGTGAAGACAACTTGTATCAAGGATGCTACATTATATTCTATGCCAATCTACATGAACAAGTGAAACGATGTCGCCATACGAATCACCAATCCTACGGCCGTCGGCCACAATATTTGTACCTAGTAGTGAACAGACTCCTCAAACTCAATAGCAGGCTCCGCTTCCTTCTTGTAGTGGACGGATTCCAGAAATTCGATAGCGGGCTCAGCTTCTTTCTTGTAGTGAACCGACTCGAGGAAGTTGATGGCGGGCTCTGCCTCGGCCTCTGGCTCTCGCTTGTAGTGGACGGAGTCTTCAAACTCAATAGCAGGCGCAGCTTCCGCCTCACGTTTGTAGTGAACAGAGTCTTCAAACTCAATCGCTGGCTCGGCCTCCTTCTTGTAATGGACGGACTCCAAGAAATTGATAGCAGGCTCAGCCTCGGCTTCGCGCTTGTAGTGCACGGAGTCCTCGAACTCGATGGCGGGTTGTGCCTCCGGCTGAGCCTCCTTCTTGTAGTGAACCGACTCGAGGAAGTTGATGGCGGGCTCGGCCTCGGCCTTGGGATAGGCTTCTCTCTTGTAGTGGGTGGACTCGAGGAAGGAGATGCTGGCCTCTGCTTCGGCCTCAGGCTGTGCGACGGGGGCGGCAACAGCGAGAGAAGCGCCAGCGACGAGGAGGATGGTGGAGGCCTTCATCTTGAAGTTTTTCAAATTGAGGTTTGGATGGGTGAGAAGTTGAGGGTCAGATTGTGAAAGTCAGGTTGAGAGGGGAGCGGAAGTCTGTCGATCATAGAGCAAGACTTCAGGTACATCTTTATACAGGCCAACCTGCTACTTCTGCGAATGCAGTTGCAATGACTTGGACATCTTCGGTGGTCTAGCAAGCTGCACTAAGGCAGAATGGGAAGCTGGCACTACACTGACTTGGATGACCTGGTGCTGTCGGCATTGGATCCGACGAAGTTGCCATGAACAGTTTACTGGCCAGCATGATAACAGACTCCACCGACATGCTCCAGGAACTTCTGTTGCGGGGAGGGCCAGGGTCTTGACATGATGACGTACTCTCACTGTATTATGGCGTTCGGTTTCGCTACATCTTCACTTCCGATGGATCTCACATCCTCTGTCAGCTTCGAAATGCGGTATTCGCATTCACAAGAAGTAAGTAAGATGAGCTGTGGCAGTTATGAAAGCTTCCCGCTCAGACGCGACATGAGGTTGGATTGGCTTTGAGGTGATTCGTGCATCATGTGCTTCAGTGAAGCCTCGAAGCGGGATGATACCAACACAAGCTTTCTATCAAGAAGATCAAGCCTTCTTGATCCGCAATAATTAGGACTCTGGCCCGGCAGACCCAGCCCCTTGGGCAGACGGGACCACTTAGTTCGAGCGATCAGATTGAAATAAGCTTTCCGAAGTCGGCTGACTTGACCAGAAAGGAAGGTGAGTACCCATATCAAGCTGTCGAGTCAGGTTCGGGTAAGGGTTGAATGAGCTCAGAGCCGGGTGAATGGGGGTTAGAAGCGGAATGCCGGCGACACCCCACAGCTCAATTGGACGTGCAAATCAAAGTAATCAATTTCACATAGTATGCTCGTATAATGACCAGGAACCGTAGAACGCGCTGGAATCCCTAAGCGCGATATCATGATAGCGAGTCATGTTGGGTCGGGTTGCCCTTGCTTGTCAGCTCTGGCTCGTCCAGACCTTTGGGAAGACTCCTTATCATGTTTCCATGCTCTGGAACTTGACAAACCTCGAGACGACTTGTCATCGATTCTTGACCTCTTGTCCCGAGTCTCTCGACCAAGTCCTATCCATCAAAAATGGCGGGAAGATACGTCCCCTTAACTGAAGCGAAAGATGCCGCGGAGCCTGAGCTAGAGGGGTTTCTCTCGGATAGCGACAAGCCAAAAATGTACCCTCGCGGCGGCTCATCCAGAATGACCTTACGCGACAAGTTTGCTACCTCCTTATTCGTTGCCAGTTGCGTCCTTTTGGGCCTTTCTGGGTGGATTCATTTGCATCCCAAGCCACCAACAGACCGACAATGCGTGAAGCAACTCAATGTTCCATGTACGTCACAACTGAACGCCACCAATAGTTTCATAGTGTGTTATAGCTAAACCCGACATTAGCACCAGTTCACGATGTGTTGGAGTACGAGGAAGTCCAATTCGACAACGCTTTCTGGAAGCCAAGCCCATACAAGGGTAAGCCGACACCTGAACTGGAGGCGAAATGGAAAGAGCTGTGGTATTGTAAGTTCACCATGCGGGCTTATAGCAGCTGTGGCCACCGACTAAGGAAACATAGATGGCTCTTTCGACTTGCCAGACTCATACTTGCCCTCCATGAACAAGTCCTCTGGTGGCGTTGGGGGAGATCCCTGGGCCCGTACTGAGTCTGGAAATCTCCTGGCGGGGCTTGAAGTTTTTCACAACCTTCACTGCCTCAACCTTGTAAGATGATGTCTTTCCCACCAACATTGACGTTGACTGAGGTCCAAAGGTGAGACAATATGCGCACAAAGACGAGTACGACTACAGCAACGACCCAGCGTTTCACGGAAGCCCCGAGCTTGTCCTAGCGGTGAGTCACCTAGATATCCCGTGTGGCAAGTCTGCCAAGAAGAGTCCACTGCGCGCGCATCAGACTTTCTGAGACTCGTACTCTTGTGTCTAAGATTCCTCGGCAATTCTAATTTCTTCCAGCATGTTGATCACTGCATTGAGGCGTTGAGAATTCGATTGCAGTGCGCCGCCGACGTTACACCATTTTTGCACACGAAGGGCGCCAAAGGCACGCAGCCGGATTTTGACTCGCAACATAGATGCCCCAAATACGATCGCATTGTGGGGTGGGCCAAGGAGCGGCAGATCATGGTCGAGAAGTCGGACTCGAAGGAAGGGCACGGGCATCACGGATGAATAATTATATCGCAAGATCAAATAGTCGGTGGTGACAATTGATGATGAGATAGGTGTGGCAGAGGGAAACCTATTTTGATATGCTTATAGTTGATTGGGAGTCTCATCCTGCTACGATACATCGCCAGATCTTTGTTGTCAAATAAATCAAATTGCATGTGCTTATCCCATGTCCGTGAACAGTGGACCATCTTGCGCCGGCCATCGTTTCCCCGAAGGTAAATCAAACAATGGTTCTAGGTTACATTGGCCAGCCCCCAAAACAATAGCTGAGCATCGCCAAAAAAGCGACGCTCACAGACCCGTTATGTGCAGAGTGAAATGCATGTGGATATCATCTTAGTACAGACCGACGAGGATGTCACCGCGTACGCGGGCAGTGACGTGGACTTCAGCTTCCAAGTCCAACTTGATACCGACCATGAGAGCGGCCTTGGTCAGTTGACCCTTGTCGTCGACGGGGCCCTTCAGGAGGTTTCCTTTAAGCTTATGTTAGCATGCTTAGCAACGGTGCCAGGGGCAGACGGGGAAGCTTACCGACGGGGCCGTTGGCGTTGCCAGAGAGGTTGGGCATGGGGACGGGCAGGCCAGGCTGGGGCATGCTGCGTCCGAGCTGACCGTTGTTGGGAGGGTAGGAGGTAGGGTAGGCGGGAGCACGCTGCTGCTCAGCGGCATCGGTCTTTTGACTGGAGGCACTGAATGCATGAGCGGTCTGCATGCCAAGATGCTGGAAGAAGCCGGTGGGGTTTTACTTACGGAGAAGACATTGTGGTAAGGAATCGGACGACTTGGTCTTGGAGAGAAGTTTGGAGTTCTTCGGGTGAGCTGGCCTCGTCGAGTTCTTCGGGATTAAGAAGACCTCGTTCCAACAAGAACTGCTTGGATGGTGACTTTGGCGAGGGTTTGGGGCTTTTGGCTTGGGGGACTTCAAGGTCTTTCGATGCGTTGTTGGCTTCGACGATAGAAGTCAAAGAAGAGAGGGAGCGTTGAACGGAATGGCGTTTCTTATCGACTGGTGATTCGGATTCTTGAGGAAGAGAAGAAGCTCGAGAACGATTTCCGTTGTTGGCGGGAGGGAAGTTATTATTGTCGGTTGAGACTCGGATGGGTAGCTTGAATGAGAGGGATCTTCTGAGAGCTCCTGGCGCAGCAGAACTGTCTTCGGGTGGAGGAGGTGTTGGAGTAGGAGTTTGGGACGGGGCCGGTTTTGCAGGGGTCTCGGCAGGGATTGATGCAGCTGATGCAGAGAGGCGCTTTGACGACGTGCTAGAAGCTCGGGATGCGTGGCCTGGTCTCTTGGGGATTGGTGGCTGCTGCTGCTGAGGAGGAAGTTCGAACTTTGAGGATATCGTGGCGATCGGGGAACCTGTTCCCACGGACTTTTGCTTTTTATGTTGTTCTGTTGCGGTATTGAGAGGTTGCGATTGTTGTGGTTGTTCGGCCTGCTTAGCCATCTTCAAGTTGGAGGGGGAACATGAGGAGCTTTAAGCTTCAGGTGCGAGCGCGGCCGAAAGAACCCGGTATAGATAGTTGATGCTATCATTTTTCTCCGTCCGTCCATCCTAGACAAACTTGCAACAGGAGCAGAGGCGGCTCTGGAGAGCCAACTGACATCGTCCGATGTTGAAACCAGCCGCTCGGATCGAATTTCGCGTGCTGTGTTTTGTCAGACTTGGCCAGACCACGCCGACCAACGACTCTCGCTCATGCGGATAACGGTCGCGTTTCCAGAACATCTGAAAATTGGCCAGCGTGGTACGATTCGACTGAGTAGATAGAACGTTTTTTGGTTGCATCGGGGCTCGTCTGTGTCTCAGAGTGTCTTCATGGGAGGCTCGGCAAGGGTCGTGTGCCCACCATACCCATGTCAGCAACCCTTATGCCGGGGAGTTTCAATGGCATCGATCAGGGGTCCTCGAAGATCTGCAACATGGGAATCGCATCTGACATTTTGCAAATGAGCCCATCGAAATCCGATTTCTCCTCCACTGCGGTAGCATTTGGCACATCTACCAGGTGCCTGCCGGCGCGTTCCACAAACATCAGTCGATAATCTTCAACTTATTCAACGTCTGTTCTGATCTTATGGAAGTTTCAAAAGGGTGAAACGGCTCAAGCAACACCCTGACTTAACGGGGTTGAAGATCCCCCGAAACCATCGTTACCACAGTAAACCCCCATTGCCACGTCGTCTGAGCCGATGTTCAACGACCCTCACAATCCATCCTTCAAAGCAAAAGAGACATGTTGCTCGACGAGAACTGTCACTTGACAAGAAAGCAAACACATTTCTCGCGCTCACCTGCCCTTGTCGCATTGATTCAGGCGCTCATCGAGAGCTTCCCATGGGCCGTTATTTATCTTTCGATTCTCGTTGTCAAGCGTACCTTGCAAATCATTGAGACGCTCAAGTGGAGATGGTTCTGTCACTCCTAGTCAGCTTCGGCACGGCCGTCGGTGCCCATGAGGGCATCAAAGCCTCCATGGCCAAGTCCCGAAAGGAGGAGCATCGAAGTCGGAAGAACAACCTTATTGTCCACTGCCCCAAGTCATCCCAGTACAGCCCTTATCTCGAGGGGCGGCGGGTGGTACTATCCGGAGACAGGGTAAGTGACCTCCCCACCACAAAGTTTGACAGATGATCTGACAATGCAACAGCTTTACATTGACACTGGCACCGCTCACGATGTCCCTTTCGGCCATCCCTTCGAGGGATACTACATCCCTTATCCCGACTCTCGGTACGCGGGGCTGGTGACCACCATCACGCCTGAAGCACCAATCATGAACTGGGTGTTTATGGACCCTCTCACTTACTCATTCCAATTTGGTGTTCGTGCTGTGGCAGATGCCAACCTGACTGGGCCCTGGGATTGCACCCGTCAAGATCGCCGACTTACTTTCTGCGGCTGGGAAGGATTCTGTGCCGTTCTTGAGGATAGTGGCGTTTGGGGTCTATACTATGACTTCGACGGCGATGGAATGAGAAAGAAGTTTGGCCAAGAGGGTCGCGTGGTGATTGAGATTGAGCTCATCAGAAGTGAACTCAGAACACCAAAGCCAGAACCTGAACCAGAGCCCCAGCCAGAGCAAGACGTGACTGCAACAGCTGAGCAGAAAGATGAATCGGCTCAACAAAAAGGAGAAAACTCGACAGAGCCAGAGAGTTTCAGTCCAGAGAGAGTCGATGCTCCATCAAAACCTGTCCAGGAATTCGGGGTCACCTTGGAGGAGAAGATGGAGAGGATGTATGTTGGAAAGGTGGAGGATGAGGAGACTTATTCTGTAATATCTGAACCATTATCGACAATGTCTACGCCATCGACAGCCAGCGGTGGCATGCCAAAAAAGAGGAGGAAAAGGAGAAGCAGGGCAAAAAAGTACCAGAGCCCGAGCGTTGAGAATTCGGAAGAAGAAAAAGGGACAGCTGAGGTCTAAGGCCTAGGACATGGGATATGCGATATAAGTTGGGGAAGCCTCATGGTTGTAAGGTGCCAGTGAAGGATCAGACGAGGCAGATCTGCAGGGACTGAACTTTCTTTGACGGCGCAGAAGGGCATTGTAGCAGAAGCAAGTCGTTTAAACAAAGCCACACTCTCGGTCAATGACTCCTGGAAACGGGCCATCCGTCCGAGTGAATTGTGACTGCGGCCCCTAGTAGGATCGCTGGGAGGGGTGATAACACAAGGGTCGCTGGCCAGTTCGCGTAACGTCATCCGCATGGTTTTAAGGGTATCGTAGCCGATGAGACAGGGAGACGTTTCCAACTAGGGCAACAGCTGACAGGTGAGGCATTGTCGTCGGATCCGTCTGGGAGGATACCTTACCTCAGCTGTCACCAATCCGAATGGGCCCTTGTTTCAAGCCGGCGCCGGCCAAATCATTATCCTGTGATGGAGGTCATGCTAACGAAGGCCGAGTGATCGTAGAATCTGATAGTTGAGAAAAGAAGATATCGGTTGAGCATCATGGGAGGTGAGATCTGACAAGGCCTGTTATCTATCAATCAGACATCTTTTCAAAATTAAATATGGCCGAGGCCACCTTTTTGAGTCCGATGTCGATTCAAAGATCCGTGTTTGACCTCGCTTCACGTGACAAAGCTGTTGACACGACCTCACAATGGTGGGAAGGGACGATGTTGGGAGTGAATGTCAACTCGAAAGTTTCGATGAAGACCGATGAAGATAAAATGGTCTTGACTCCTCGCGTTTTTCATCCGAGTTCACCAAGCAAATCGACCGACCTACCAACCAACCAACCAACCAACCAGACATACACACAATCAGTCAATACCATTTTCATCAAAGCGGTAGAAAAGAGCAACTCAAACATACAACATTTCAGTCTTCAGGCCAATAACTCAATCAAGAAAGTCCTAAAGCCACCCTCAAGCTCGTCAGCAAGTAAGAAACAAACCTTGCGCCCAATTGCAAATGCTAACAAGATGAGATTAGATAGCTTTCCCACCTTACGCAATGCCTAGAAACAACACCGCACTCAAAGCCATGCGCGCTCGTCAAGTCGAGCGATTCATCACTCACCTAAAGTCGAACGATCCCAACAACGAGCAGGTCGACCTTGTTAGCACTAGCGACGTCTCAGAAGCGAAGAAAATGGCAAAGCTCTCTACTGCTGACTCTGATGAGGAGTGTTGGCCGGAAACCTGGAACAATGGTGGCACTGCTTTCAAGACCTTTTTCAAGCGCCACTTCCTCCGATGGGCAACATCTCAACGTGCTCGGGATGAATATGATGGACCTGCCAAAGGAACTAGATCGCAGGTCGCCAAGCGCCTGGCGGAGCAGCAGTCTGCATGAAGAAGCCGCATTTGTCATAGGGAGTTTAGGGCTAGAGCACCATCTTGGATTTAATTTGTTTCTTCTACTGTGTATTTAGGTGTGTCACGGGTTCGAGAATATAGACTAGAGGAGGCGCATCAAAAGGGTTTAAGCATACAATCTACGAAAGCGATAGATCTGTTGGTTCTTTGAGATGATGCCTAAATTGTGAATGTTTTGAGTACTCATAAATAATTTGGTTTTCGGTGCAATAACAAGAAGTCCGTATCACGAGCTTTTCCTACAACCAACTTCTAGCCACTAACGTTATGCAAGTTCGAATGTTTTCCTGATTTGATCATGAGTCCAATTATTTGCAAGACACAGAGCCAAGAGAATGCGAGCCTTCTGAGGGTTAAGATCGTTCCCAGCGATAATGCCCAGCTTTTGGTGCTGCTTGCTGTCCACAACCACTCCCGCTCCAAGCCTTGACGACTGCACCACAGTGACTTGCCCGTTGGAATCTTCAATGGCTTCACCAAAGGCAGCAATCTCGGCTGGTGTGCCCAAGCCTGGTCCGAACCCGGCCGACACGATTCCTCTAGCACCAGCAGCAACGCAGGCTCTCACCATGGCTCCATCGGAACCGGCATGACTGTACACAATATCCACACGAGGCAATCCATCACGCAGCAGATCAGGCGAGAACTTGTTGCTGGGAGAACTTAGAAGCTGCGACGTGATGTTGACCGTGTCTCCATCAACGTATCCGATTGGCCCTCGCCATGGAGATTGGAAAGCTCCAACGCGAAGAGTATTCGTCTTAGTGACGGTCCGAGGCGAGTGGATCTCATCGTTGATGACCACAAAAACGCCAGGACTGTTGGGATGCGTGTGCTTGTCCTTCGAAGATTCATGAGACGCCACTCGAAAGGCTGCCAACAGGTTGGCAGCTGCTTCGGAGGACTTCCCATTCAGGGGACGCATACAGCCAGTGACGACGACGGGGATGTCTAAATCCAGAACAAGGGAGAGAACCCAGGCTGTTTCTTCAAGACTAGCAGTCCCGTGGCCAACGACGATGCCCTCGATCTTGTCCTTCGGGTATCCCTTCTGAGCCATCGTGTTGCATGTCTGGGCGATCATGAACCAGTCTTGAGGTTGTATAGCGGTGCTGTCGATCGGAGGCTGGAAGTCGTGGATGACCGGCTTAGCGCCATGGAATATCTCCGAGATCCCACTCTGATCAAGTATCCGTTGTCCTGAAACGCGTTTGTCTGTAGCGTTGTAGTCCATAAAGTCGAATTCATCCATGGCGATGGAAGCGATTGTGCCGCCGGTGGAAATAAAACCAACTCTTTTCGTCAGCTTCTTGACACCAGAGGCTGTCCTTGGGCCTTCAGATAGCTGCGCTGTAGAAGGTGTGTCATGTGGAATATGAGGATTATCTTTGATTGAGGGGTAAGGTGATGATCTGGAAGGATTCGCTGCGTGGTGCCGCCGAGACGTGATGTTTCTGAGGACTGTCATGTTGAAGTTGTTGTTGCGCACCGCTAAACGAAGTGACCACAGCTCATTTAAAGGCAGTTCGCCTCAAAAACAGGATTCGAAGGGGCTGTCGCAATGTTCGAGGGTAAATAACAAATAATAACAAATGGAAGTGCATGGAAAGATAGCACCAGACAATGACGGGAGCTCTGAGCATCCTAGTCTGACGAGGGAACCAAAACTGCTCCGTAAGTAATTTGCCGGCAGTACCATTCCGCGGTTTCTTGCGTAACGTCGGAAGGGCGGAAGACTTGCCACGATTGCGCTATCTTCGGGAGGACAAAAGACAAATAAATTAGACCGGGCTCATGTATCTCAGAAACAAACTAATCAGTACGCCGGTTGGCCCCCTTGCTGTCGCATGAAACGTGTGCGACAAACAGGTGTGTTGATGTCTGCACGCCTGGCAAGATAACCTTTCGTGGGACTGGGCGGCGGGAGACGCGTCCTCAAGTGACATCGGCTTCGCGCATGTGTCTTCAGCCAGCGGATTGGACGTAGCTTAGTAGCCAAGGGCCAACGAGCACGTGTCCAAAGATGTTGTTGTTTGAGGTTGTTGCCGCTTGACTGGAGCAAAAAAGCATATGATCCCAAGGGGCCAAGATTGGGCCGTCTACCCCGGTAACTGTGCCTTCTGAATCGTTTCTTTCCGATGAGCACATAACTTGGAAATGGAGATAGAATTGGACGATGCCGTGGGAGCAGGAACAAAGGTAGGCAGCCTAGGACTCCGTGGGAGAACCATAGGCGTTACCTACCCGTCAAAATTCAGACTGGGGGTCCTAGAACATACTACAATATACGAAACAAACAAAAGTCATAATTCGTCGAGGACCTACTTCGGCCTTGTCTAATAAAAAGTAGGAAGTGATACAACATGGCGCCCGAGGCCATCGGAGCAGTCTTTTGCCAGAACAAGTGTCTAGGCCATAGCATATCCCATAACGCCGAAATAGACCACCACACCGGCACACCTTCACTTATTCTTCCTTCTCTTCGTCGTTGTCGTACCGGCCGAGGCGGCCCAACGGGCTCACCATAAACACGTCCTCCCAACGTCCGCTCGCAGCCTTTCCGTCCCAGTCACCGCCACTGTACAGCGGAAGACGGAGTTTTCCCGTGCAGTGCTCGTCGATGAAACGGCAGACCTTTTGCATGTCGCCGACTGTGAAGTCATCCATGAACCACAGCATCGTCCGAGGGATGTCCGCCGGGCTGAGACGTTGGGTCTGGGTGGAGGTAGGTGCAACAGAGGACGCGCGTGTGCTCTTTCGGCGCGTTGGAAGCTGTGGAGACGCGATGAGGGTGGCATCGTCGCTTGGAAGTATCTTGGACTGTCGCCGCGTGGATTTCGGGGTTGCCTGGGCAGCCTCGGCCGGGGGTTGTGATTGTCTGCGCTTTGTGGCGGAGGATTTGGTCGCGGGCGTCTTCGTGGCGGGCGTCAACTCGTATCTGGAAGCTGTTCGGCATCATCAGCAAGTATTCCAGCACAGTGAAAAAAGCAAGAGCAAAGCAAGAGCCCGAGAAACTTACATCGTCGACGTTTGTCGCTCGTGGCCTCGGACTGCTCGGCGAGACTCTCACGCTTGCGCTTCGCACTGAGCTTGGCAGGTGTCGCAACCGCCTCAACTGCGGGTTTCACTTCTTGTGCCTCGGCCGCAGACTCCTCCATGCGCAAGTGGCCGAGAAGTGCAGCCTTGACGTTGTCATCGTCTACATAACCGCAATAATCGATCAACACGTCTGGCGCGTCGACGCGAATCTTGTTCGCGGGCTCCCACGAGACATCCTCGCCTTCGGCCGAGTAGCCGAGCCACTGTACCAGCACTTGCCACTGTCCGCGAACGCGACGATGTTTGAGAAGTCTGTAGGGGTGGTAAAGCTCGCCGATTTTGAGGACGTCTTGACGTGTCTGGCCCTTGAAACTAGCCCAGTATTCGTAGAGAAGCCCAGGAAGATGTTCTTGGATATCCCATTCAGACACGTCAATCCGGTTGCCTTTTGAGAGTGCAATGAGGGTCACAAGGGCAGTCTCGGGGTCGATGGTATGGCCGACAATTTTCTTGATCGTTTCGTACGGGAAATCTGCATCTTGAAGATTTAGCGGTGAACCTGATAAGATGGATTAGTGGGGGTGAGTACTGGCAGACTTACCTTGCTCAGAGAGCTTTGAGCGGGGTCTGCCTCGAGGCATGTTTGCTGCGCTTGGACAAAGAATTACTTTTGGTGACAATGGAATGTGGTGCTTGGAGATGCGACAGGCAAGTTCGTGGTTCTGTAAGTTGTCGCGCTCTGGACGCGTTCGCGTCGATCGGAACCCTGTTTTATTTTTATTCTATTTTTTCCCTCGGTTCCTGACGGGCCGGCCTTCGGCCCCGAAGTGGGGCCTTTGGGAATGGGGCCCGAATACGCCGTCTAAGTCGGCAGATCGATCTGCGAGGCCCGAAGTAAAATAATACACCCTCTTCCCACGGTTTTCTGATTAAGAATAGCATGACTTTGAGTCTTTATCTGAGATGCACAATTATTCGGGGGATGTTGACCAACAATTGAGAAAAGTTGAAGACTGCCTGGATGATACTTCAGAAGCAAATCATCCCTGTCCCTCTACGCAATCCAGCCTTATTCCAGCACATGCCTATCATTTGTTGATCTGTGTCTTTGGCATGTCACATAATACTTACTAAGGATGCGTGCAAGTCTGATTATGAGGTCGTTCAAGAGTGCTGTGACGGCGGACATTGTCCATGAATTAATAGGAGCACGACTCTTGGAGCTGAATAGCACATATTCGGTGGACTTGAGCATCACACCAAGCTATTACCAGTGGTTTCCTGAGATTTAAAGCCTCCTAATATGTGGCTTGCCTTTTCATGACTCACAAATATTTCACGAGATAAATGATTTTGCGTGAGAGAAGTAGTCGAAAAGAGGATTTGGGTACCACTTAAATTGATTAAGGCCTAGACGGCCGGTGTTATGTTATGTTCATCGCACCAAAACTAAATACAGTAGAAGAATTGTTTACAAAGTTTGTATGGGTATCCACGTTCCCTCATTCCCAATTTGCTCATAATGCGCCGTGGCTCCGCGCTGCGAACCGCGATGGAAGGTGTCGTTGCAGATGTAGCTCGGATACCTGCGGGTATGGTTTACCTCCCCAGGCTCGAGACATTCAGGTACGGCATGAGGCCATTTATCGGAAGTTGCCGCTGCCGTTGCAGCGAGACAGAGGGATGGAGCTCTGCTTCTTGATGCAGGCAGTGATGGCGCCGCCAACCCAGGTGACACCCTCGTAAGAGCCATCCCTGAAGATATTGTTAGCTCAAGCTTAATTAATCGATAAAGGTTGAAACTTACTCGTGAGAGTCGGCCATGAAAGTACCAGTCTGCTTAAGCGCGCCAACGCAGCCCTGGAAGGTGCGGCCGTACTTGCGGTTGGTCCAGGGGCGGGTGATAACGACACCAGTGTAGCCAGGGTCGACAGTGCCACGGATGAGGTAACCCTGAGTGGTAGTCCATGTGCGAGAGTAGTCAACCTTGAAAGTGAGACCAAGCTTCTCAATGAGCTTGCTCATGTCGAAAGAGCCACCAGCAGTGACGCCGTTGGAAATCGCGTAGGACTTGGAGATGGTGATGTCGATGCCCTTGCTGCCGGCACCGATGACGACAGGGGACATCTGCACGTCCCAGTCGACAAAGCGCATCTGCTTGTCGACAACGAACTGGTAGTTGGCGTTGCAGTCACGCTTGCCGAGGGCGAGGTCGGTGTGGTTGACGGGGATCTCGGCAAGACCCTCGCCAGCCTTGAGGTAGTCGTGGTCGATCTCGGGAGTCTCGGCCTCAACACCCTCAACCTTCAGAAGAAGGTTCCAAGTGTCCTGAGTAATGATAGCGGCTGTAAAAGTGATACACGGTCAGTACAATTCAATTCCGGTGGTTGAGACACGCTTACTCTTGCCACCCTTTCCGAAGACAACCATCTCTCCATTGCGGAGGTTACGGTCGAGGGTCTCGGTAATGTTAAGAGCGGGATCCTGCTCAGCGACGATGGGGGCGGGCGCGGCGCTGACTGCAGCAGCGAAGGCCGAGAGGAGGGCGATCATGCGAGTAGAAACCATGTTGGGCAAATTGAAGGGATATTTGAGACCAGAGAGGAGTGATTGGATGAGGATGAGAGTGATGAGGAATAGACAATACTTGGCGGGATTCTTCAGAGGTTTTATAGATATCTGCAAGAGTATCATGACCTGGTGTTTCCGACTCAAGAGATAAGCTTCAGCAGTCACATCAATGATCAACAATGTGGCGCGCCCGCCCGCTGGCCTCCGCCTAGATCGTCTGGAGTTGAGGTTGCGTTCATCCGAGTGTCGGTCACTAGTCAAGCATATTCCCTACAAGCCTGTCCCCGTAGAATGGGTCACCCTGGACCTTGTTCGTTGGGTGGACCAACCCAGGCAGATTTGAGATCCCTTCCTGGTTTATTCAGGGGCCGATCTTCTCCATACCTGGACCCCGTCCCGACAAACCGTCCAGCGAGCCTTCGTTGCGATGCCACACAGAAATGATCAGCCTCGTGTCGTCGTTGGTTGGAGCACCGACCTCAGACGTCTATGACCTACTTTCTTAATTGGGCCTAGCAGCCCCCATATCGCACGACTCAGCAGCCGTCACGAGAGTGACTTTGTGGTCGGTCAACCTCCTTGAGATAGAGGCCTCAATGAACTCCCAAGGTGACAGCCCGATTATCATCACCCCCAAATGCCACTAAGATTGCGGGATTCAACGCCGTGACCAACGAGTAATGTTTTCAATAGCCGGTATCCAATAGATTGCCCACGCCTCAAAGAGGAAAAGGCACACGATAGAGTCATTACGAGATGCCATTATCAGGGTTCCTAGGCGAACACCTCTCGATCTCATGTCTTACTTCCCAAACCGAAGATTTATTTCAACACTCGGTTTCGCCGTTCCGTTCAACTCAACTCAAACCACTCATCAAACCTTCTTGTCCACATCATCCCTTCCACTTGACTCAGTCTTCCCGTCTACACACAAGGCTCTACCTTTGTTTCCTCAACGCAAATCCAATATGCAGATCTCCACGCTCGCCACTTTTGCGGTTTTTACCACCGTGTATGTTCCACCTCCACGCGAGCTCCTTCATGGTTCACGGTTGTACTGACTTGACTTCAGTGCTTTCGCCAAGCTCCACAGCGCAGCTGTCTGCGTCCAGAGCAGAACGTACGGCAGCACTGGCAACGGAACTCCTTATGGCATCACCTACGGCTCCTACAAGGACTACGAGATCGATACCACAGCTACCCAGTGTGCTTGCGGCTACTACAAGAACCGCAACACCGGCAACAAGCAGTGGGACAAGTGCCCTGACTGCACTTTCGATGGTCTCCAGTGCACTTCTGGCGGCTGGCACATTGGTGGCGACGAGGTATGTGATGAGACAGCGTTTTATTGTTGAAAACCAGGCGCTGACTGAAGCCTTACACCAGATGACCTACTACTGCGAGAAGAAGTGTGGCGCCCAGGGAGCTGAGGCTAACTAAGAAACTTGACGCTGCTCGAAGCCGCAGGCGGAATAATTTTGGAATGGTTTTAATGGATGCAGATGCTTGATACCATGGGAGTGTGGTTGGATTCTCTTCTGGACGTAGATATTCACTTTTACTGTATTTACTTCGACGAAACAATCAATTACCGTTCAACTACACCTTTATTTTTGACTTTCGGGACTTCACCACACTTTATCTTGATGCATAATAACTTAGAGTTTATTGCTGCCGCACAAGCCAACTTTTACATGTCGTCATCAGGGTTTTGGCTTTCAGCCTGCGCAGTAGCGAAAGGCAAAAAGATGACTCGGTAGTTGCAAATGCGCCGGCGTTTCTGTTCAAACAAAGTGCATTTCTTAATTCGACTTCAATGTGCTTCTTCCCTCAATCCTCATTGAATTCTGTAATTCTCTTCTAAAACCTGTGAAGTCGCGCTATCCCGTGACCTGAAATCATCAACCTGCTTCGCGGCCCCCAAAGCGAGTTGCACAGCAATACCACTCCAACGTTGCACTCCCACGCAGCGCTGTGGGCTGCCGATACAGTGGCCAAGCCTTGCCACTTCCGCCCAGAATTGGCATCCGCGGGGGTGGGCCTTGAGACTCCAGATGACACCAGAACAACGACTTCGGAGCCCATTCCAACAGTTCCCCTTGCCCACGTGCCCAGATGCCAACCTCTTGGCACGTTGAAACAATCTGTAATATTCTCAAATGCCGACATTGGTTGCCAGCAGCCCAGCAATAACGATTCAGCGAGGATATTGCCGGTTTCTGCCCATTTACCCTGGAGTGTAAATCACAAACGGAAAGATATTCAACGGCGCACTAGTCATGTATGCGGAACGGGGCTGGGGGCTGGTCCAGTGACCCCCTGGGCTGAAGGGTTACTTACGCCCTACCAAAGTGCACCCTACAGGGCTTCAGCTAACGTCGGGTAGACGGCAATTAAGTTTTCAGGCATGCCCCATGTCAATTCAGCTAATGAGCTCGCTGAGATTCAATCATTGTTCGGGTAGGCCCCAGCTGATTTCTCTTTCAGAGGAGGTTCGGTGCAACGTTGAGCTCAGCCCAAGTGCGCAAATATCCACAGACGGTGAGACTTCGTCCGATTAGTGCGGCTGTCAGGCTAGGCCTTCGGGCTAGAAATAGATGTTGCAGACCGATGTGCAGCGACGGCTAAGCTGTTCAGGAACCAACAGCCGGAGGGGTGAGGCTCTTGGTCAGCGGGAACAACAATCTAGATAAGCTTAACATGCCAAGTCTTACTTCGACAGGCATTTCAGGATGCTCTACAGCGCGGGCAGACTTACCAAAGCTTGTTCACTCGGGTAAACGTAAGCATCTGCTCAGCTTGGGGCTCCAGGACAGCTATGGACATGATAAGGGAAATGGCAGACAAAATTGTTTCGAATTGAGAGCCTGATGGCATAAACTCAAAACCTTGGGCAGGAAACTTCCGCTTTGTCTCCATGGTGAATTAACAACACCTGGGGCACGCTGGAGCCCACAGGTGATCCTAATTTCCTCCACCAATCAGCATTGACTTGTTTATTTCAGCTCCAATGGTCCACGGATGGGAGCACCCTTGTACAACGCAATACCTTTGATTAAGTTTACACAAGGTATCCCTTTTGGGCACCCTCGCAGAGGCGCTGAACAAGCCGTTCGTACCTTTTCCGAGTCCTCGGAACCCCAGCCTGTGCCATCTATCTTGCTCACAATCTCCCTGCAACAGTTTCATGTCCAGTAATGTTCCAAAACCGTGATGACGATGGTGGATGTCATTGGTTATCTGGACACCATCTGATTAATCTCATAACCCTGCAACGATCCGTACTTGTGTCGGTAACAAGTGGATTACCTGGAGGGTGCGGTTTCCGCGGGACCTACGTTGACTTTCTGGATATACATTTCCGGGAATCTCTCCGAAGCAGCGTCTTGCGCCTCATCATTTTCTGACAACTGGTTTCGACTCCGACAACTCCGGCCACCGGCGGTGAAAGCAGGCATGGCGAGTCGTGAAGTGGGTGGCTTGATGGGTCGGGACCACATCCAGCTTCCAAGATGGGGTAACGGGAGCTTATTGTCACAGATTGTTGTCATTCGCAGTGCCACCAGGTAAGCTTCTCGCCGGACCTGCTTAAGCACCGTGCTCGGCTTCAATCCCCGCGTCCATGGAGAGTTGGGCATTGGAATCTATCTGCTGTATCTTGTGATGGAGGGCGCCAATGGAGACATGTACCCACCGTCTAGGACTTGGTTCAGGATGATTACGACACATGCTTCCAGTGGACCGCGGACTTCAACGGAGATCGGAAAGTACGAATACTCGCCGTGATTGTTGGGACGGACGGTCCAGGCTCTCAGCCCCTAGGTACCATAAGTGACAAAGAAAGTGTACCGCCGTCTACTTTCGCTGCAGAATGGCGAATGCGAGCATCATGACTAACATCAACGCATTCGACATTTTGTAAAATCACTCGCCAGGGTAAAATGCCGCTAAGTCCACATTAAAGGCATTCAAGAGCAAATCATGGCATTTTTGCCGCAATCACGAAGTCTATACCAGTTCTAGCAAAATGCAATATCTGCATTCCAAAGAGCGATGTGATCTACTATCGCCACATCAAGCGGTGAAGCACGCAGAGTAGGTGGGTATATACTAAACATCACTTCATGTGACTAAACTTGAGATATGATATCCTAATCTTCTGCCTGCTGGTCCATTTTGCTGTGTAGCTATGTGGAAAACCCCACTGAGTCAAGAATCGCATACACGTGCTCTGGGGTCGCCACATATGCCAGCCTCGTATCCATAACAAAGGATGATACCATCCAACCCACTGTGCTGGCAACCCCAGATTCAAATTGGACCCGACTAGGTAGTGTAAAGTTAATGGTCCTTTTGCTCATCCCACTTTGCTCCGAAGTCATGACTCAGATGCGGCTCCTTTGGGGCTCCTCATATTTCTTATGTCTAGGGTCCCGGGGACAGAGCGAGCGCCTCCGTGGCCGTGCACCCACAAAGCCCGAGCCACAGTCAGCTATCCTTGTCGAGCTGGACAGTGAGGTTCTCAAATGCGCCCGTTTCAATCTATGAGATGCTTCCTCTTCATCCTTTAACGGAAAGATATCCAGAAGCTAGACGTAAATCGGATCTGCTGCCCGAAAAGGTTAATGGCGGATCATATGATGCACCAAGCGTCTAGAACCTCTGGGGCGGGACCGAATGGCTGGAACGTTCGGTCAGTGTACGAAGACCCTGTCCTAGGCGGGCAGACTGCGCCTAATTACTTCGTGTTGACCAGTAGCACAGATTATCATTGTGATAGCAATCGCGGCGAAATTATACGCGCTATGATCCTACTTCGGTCGCACATTCGCATGAGGCCGCAACGTGACCAGCAATATCATTATGGCGAGTCAGCCTAACCAGGCTGCAAAGCTGATCTAGACATCATGGGGTCATCACGTGTACTTTTAGATAGCGAGGATGTTGAATTCGCAAATAGGACATAGTTGAAATGAGTCTTAGTATGCGATGGCAAGGAAGACATCTTACCCTGCTGGCGGAGAATTTCTCGCTCGCAGGTCGCGAGGCGTCTGCCCAGCCCCTTAGATGGCAGCCAGAAGAAGAGAGATATTCGGGATGAAGCTTTCGGCGTGCATGATTCAGTCGGCATGCCGAACTCTCCCGAGGAAGCCTACGGTAAGTCGAAGGCCAATTTGTTGTGTGTAGCCAATGAAGATGTTGCCGCCTCAACTTCGGGTTTAAGTCGCCCGACGTGATGAAACTACGTTGTAACTGGCTGCTCTTGCATGGAAATGCTGGGTCACGTTTATCGATCTCGTAAGAATATGAAGATTCACCGGCCGGAGGCCCTGGCATGGCTTGTACACACAATGATTTGACTAAGATCGTGGCGCCGCGGTAACGATCGTATTTAGCAAGTAGTCTTTTTGAATAATATCGTAAAGTCGAGTTATCGAAGAGCAGCTGTGGGAGAAGGGAGAAAGCTCAGCGCAAATGCCTACACCGTGGAGTTGAATACGTGTAATGGGAACACAAGGCATGGGCCAAGGTGTAGACAAAGTCGCAATGTAGCCCAGGCTCTTCAGTATCTATACTCTTCCTTGAAAAGTATACATTGTAGGTTTGCCGATATTGCCGTATTCCTCTTGCGACAGCCGGTAGATTTTGGACCTCACTCGGCACCGACGGCTGGTCGAGTTCGAGGTGGGACCGGCTCCGGACTCGGGAGACCGGCCGGATGGAGTCGGCTGTCTGGAGCCATGTTCTGAGAGCCTGATAAGTGCGAAAGTCAAATAACACAAAAGGAAAGAAGAGTAAGGGTAAAGTAAGAAATGTTTAAAGAAGTTGAAAAGCTTCTTTGGGGTTGGTGATGAAAATAGAAAGAACTTACCAATGGGCGGTTGGTATTCGGTCTCTTCAAGGAAAGAAAAAACATATCAACACACTGAATCCATACAAATCATGGAATACTCTACGCAAAGAATCTCGTGGTGTCAATGTCAACAGTTTTTGACCTCGTTTGGCAACCCAACAACCGTTTACCCTCATCGAGATATCAATGTATGTTTTCATTTGCACCGTTAAAAAAAAGGAGGATCACCAGGCACGACTCACGACTGGGCATTAGAAGCTTTAGAGGGAGCATTAAAATTTCGCTATTTACTCTTTACTATCTAACGCATGAGAAATGCCATTAGGCATACGGGTAACCGTCACGCCGACCAAGGTTTTCCTGAGCCTTCAAAGTAGCCCATAAACAAGCCTACATAGCCAGGGCATAAACTTTGCGCCTATGAGAACAAAATATGCAAGTATCTGGTCTAGCCGCTGATTTTCAAATCAGAGGCTCCCTTCCGAGTATCGCAATCGGACGTTCATGAAAACGTCTTGTCCTGGTTCGTGACCTCGACAGTATCCACGGAGGACTCTCGCTTCGAAGAATGATCGATCAAAGGCTTCAATCCGGGAAGAGCAACAACGGTGATGGCAAGAGCCATCTCCACCATGCTCATGGGGTCTGTTATACAATTGTTAGGCGAATGTTGGAAGACAGAAGACATTTCTCAAAGCCACAGTTCACTTACAAACAAGGTTCTCTTGACCAGTGCCAACCTTCAGCGTGATGAAACGAACAATGGTAGTGAAGATGGTCAAGGTACCGAGGACGAATGTCAGGGTGAGGCCCTTCGAGGCCGGCAGAACACCCTGGATCAAGAGTGCAAGTGGGAGAGCGTAAACTAAACGTATTTCTGGTCAGTATTCACGTATGCCCCGAAGATGTCCTGAAAATAGAGAATGAAACTTGCTTACCTGCAAGGTAGCAGGCAAGGTTCAGTGTGAAGTTGAGGATGAAGGGCTCGGGAGCGTAAAAGACGCTGCAAGCACCGTCTTCCTGCGACCATTGAACGGAGACATCCTTGCCGCAGAAGAAGGTATCATCCCAGAGAATTGCCATGTAAGAAATGCCGACGAAGGCGGTGATGCCCCAAAGAGCCTTGCGCATGACGGGGCTGGTGTCGGCGGGGAAATAAGCCCAGTAGAACGCCAGCATGCTCATCTTCGGGAAACCCATTCCGACATCGTAAAAGTAGTTGGAGGCGAAGGAGATCTCCACCAAACGTCAGCAATTTTGAGAGCGCAAACAATCCGATAGCTCTTGGGAACTTACTTTGGACAACGCAACAGATGGGGCCCAATCGTCCATAACACCGAGTTGGTAGGTCAGGGTGTCGCAAATGATAAGACCGAGAGCGTTGATCGCCGACAGGATCAGAATCCAGTCTGATACCGCCAGCTTCTCACGGAGACGAAAGAGGCGGGCGTAGACACGGAGGCCAACGAATACATAGGAAACCGCCAGCAGAATCCATTCGGATATCTGGTTGCGCGTGGTTAGGATGTGCAAAATGTTGGTCAACCACTTGGGTCAAGTCGGCTTACCATGCAGTCCTTTCCGTCAATGAAGTACGCCATTTTGTCTGATATGCCTTAAATCGCGGACGAAGAGGAAAAGAAACTTGACACTGCGAGTACCACTGCTGTCAAAGTTTTGAGACAGGCGGGACTGCGATCCCATATAACGCCGGACGCCACCACGGAGAAAATGTCCGCCCACGGTGAATGTCGGAAAGCTCTGTCAGCAGCATGCTATGCATGGAAAATGTTCTATTGGCCCAGGATCACAACGACTCTTCTCGGTTGGATGCGCCGAGGATTTGGCAAGGTTGAGTCCGCAACAAGGGGAAGGCGGAGACCGGGGAGGCTTAATCGACTGTTGCGACCGTTGATGGCGAGCATCTCGCCAACATCGGCAGGCGCACCAGTAACTCTGCAGATTCTGCACGAAAGAGCGCCACCCGTTGGTGCATAAATCAGCCCAGGACCCTTTTTTATTTCTTCTTATTCTTTTTTGCCCCTCTGGTGTGTCAGGACAAGGTCGTTGGTTTCTAATATCTGTAGATCTACGGGTTGAGGTAGGATTGCCCAATTTCTCTGTGCGACTGTGCCGCATATTCGCAGATACGCGGTCGAAGCGAGCCTGAATTGGGCATTGTTTCCCACTCAAAGAAAGCCAGTTATTGGTCGTTCGGTTCTCTTCCGTTCGGACCGGCGGGCCCGGGCGATTCCCGCATGCTGTGGCTCCAGGCCTTGCGCTTTTTGGCCCCCCCTTGTTGGTCATCCTGTTGGTTCCGTCTCTCGCGCAGAGCGTCTTCAAAAGTTCACCAGAGCATACAGCTTTCTCCACTCTTGTAAATGATTTTGTATTCGGTACCTCACAGAAACTTTGTTCTTCCCGTCGGACTCCAGGTCCTGAAATGATTCTCAGACCATCAAGATCCTTCACGCGTGATTAACTAGTATCTGGGTCCGGCCTTGGCTTCATCTCCTTCTCCATCCTCGCGTCGCTGATAGGTTACACTAACGCGTTCCGACTTGTATATCACATCCGATCGCTTGAGAGTGTTGAGTTCCACCTCACTTCCAGATTCGTTTTCGGCGGCCACGCGAGTTGTTGCCATGTACGGATCTCTTCCCGATGAAAGCTTGATGTGGGTATTGGCCGTTGGATGCTTGCTGTATCCCAAACCCGCAGAGCCTGACTGGGCTGTCCCGTACTTTGATGTGCTGAGCCCCCGACGGTGGAGGAGCGATTTGAGTGCGGGCAAGGACACCACCAGAATGGCGGCTGATACCTCAGTCATGGACAGCACGTCTGGTTCCATGTCAGCACTAGAGCTCGGCATGTTCTCCTGATTGCTGACAACTTACAAACATTGGTCCACGCTTTGATGGATTCCACGGTAGCAAACCGGCCTACGCTGGCTCCGATTGTGATGATACCAGTCGAGAACGTGGCGATCAAACCGATGATGTAGCGCCTGCTAAGCTGAAGGCCGTGTAGAAGGGGAAATGGGATCGCAAAGACTGTTTTATCCTGTCATTTACTGTGCACAGTAGTAACGCACAGAAGCGGAGATCATAGGGACTTACTTAGAAGATCTGATATGAAGTTCAAGACCCAATCAATCCGAAAAACGTCCTTGGAATCGAAGGTGCTGCAAGTGCCTTTGAGGTCCCAGTTGACTGACACATTTGGACCGCACCAGAAGGTATCCAAAAAGCACGTGGTTACAGCGAATGTCAATGTCAAGGCACTGACTCCGTAGAGAGCCTTTCGCAGCAGCGGCATCGTCTTGGGGATGAGCTTGAAGTAGAATGCCAACATGGCCAACTTGGGGATGTAAATGCCGGTGTCGTAAAAGTAGTTGCCCGCGAATGAAACCTTCATCAACTTGATTTGGTCTGCCACGGGTGGCTCCGGTGCTTTCGGGTCGTACTCGTCCATGCCACCCAGGTTGTACGCCATCGCATCGGTTGTGAACAAGGCAATGGCATCGCATAGAGACGCAATCAGGATCCAATCGCTGAGAGTGAGCTTTTGACGCTGTCGGACAAGTCGGAGAAAAAGACGAGCAAAGACGAAGACGATGGCTAGACTCAGAAGAGTGGCCTCGATGGGCTGGTCCGTGTCTCGCGTTAGCAAGCAAACACTGTAGCAAGCACGCAGATCTGGGGATGCACGTGCGGAGTGCGAATAGGGCTGACTTACCACAACGGCCTCTTTTGCGACACCCGCCATGATGGGTGGCCTTCGGAATCAGAGGGTGTCGACAATGTGCTCAGAAACCATGTGTCAAGGTCGGATGGCACATTGGAGACATATATGCCGAACTGGCAAGCAGAAGAAACTCGTAGCGAGTACGTTTGGATTTAACTTTTCAACGGCATGGCTCGTCGGCACCTCGGGCGAACGCCGTCTTCACAACTGATGGCATCGCTTAGGCATCACATTGGATACATCTAGCTTTGGGGGCTTCATCTACTGTCTCAGGCTAAGAGCTGCAGAACTGCAGGTACGGACACTTGGAACCGACCTGGGATGATGCCGGCGTTGGTCAAGCGAAGGACTCGTGCCGCAAGGGGGTGGCAATAAAGTTTTATCTGCTCATTGGTGCTCATTGGTAGAGCGAACATGGAAATTGAGCGGCTGCAAATCCAAAGGATCGAGCCGAGTGGCGAATCACGGAAGAACAGTGTCTGGACCGAGAAGTCGAAGGTACGAAGTGCGAAATCACGTTGTGTCCAGCTTGGAACAAGGGGTGATGGACCAAATGCAGTCATCTAATACTGGGGCCGCTGCAGATGTGCCTCACAGACTATGCAAGCTTTGATGGGGTTTATGTGGGTTGCTGTTGGCGGAGGATTCACCATTTCGGTATGATACTTGCGAGTTTTGTGGCGGGCAGGTTTGATCACTCTGAATAGGGCTTTGGCAGCCGTCGATTCTGCCGTGACTGCTTTCTTTTTGACTATGCAGTTGCCCAAGAAGTAGATGTTGTGGGAATGAATGCTTCACAGAGTGTGACAGGCAGATTGAAACGATGGACTGGCTAACGCAGCAGGTCTACCCCGGCGAAGTTTCCGATTCAACGGCGGATAAAGCAGTAAAATACTTTCTTTTGTCTCTTAAAGTTCCAGGAAGAACGAGCGAGTCGGATGGTTCGGTTCAACAGAAGAGTCAGTCGTCAGCAGGGTTGTAAGCGACTTGTAAGCGGCCACCCATGGATCCATGCCTTTTGATCTTCGCAACCATTCCAACACGGACGCAGGTAAATTGGCCAAGCTGTGCGGGATCGCGGCGGGTAAATGCGGGTCAGAGGCACGGACGAGAGAGTCCCACTGTCAACTCGGCCAGTTTCTTTTTCGTATTTTTCGACTTTTATTCTGAATTGTGCAAAGTACTATCAAGCTACAGATGGTAGTTGAGGGTCAGTAGCATGAGACTAATGCAGACATCTTGGCAAGAGCAGCACATTGCAGCCTTTGGCTTGATTGGTGGAAATTCATCTTCAAAGACTTGGCAGATAGTGCAAGTGGCTCATGCTTATGATGCACAAAACACGGTTCCGCCGAATAGCAAGATGCACATCAATAGCCGAGTACAATTTCCATAGAACGATGTAAATCATAACACTTGGCTTATCCACAGTTGGACCCGTATTATTCAACTGAATCATTTCACGTTGTGAACAATACCCAGACATTCTTTCATTTGTGTGATGCTTTCATTAATCCGTTAGGCAAGTCAGCGACCGAAAGTTGGAGACACCACACCAAGGCATTTGTGCGGATGGGAGAGGTAGAGGCCCAAAGCTTGGCCACACTTGACTAGCAGAATAACAAATGCATGGACGAGAACCGCCGAAATGGGGCTGAAGCTGACAAATTTAGCCAAACGAATGTCAAATCGCATTACAGAGAGCCTGATCGATAGCAATGGCGCTGCTTTTCGTTGAGAAAGCCCTCGCTAGGTTCATCAAGACCACATGTTACTGTGGTAAAATGAGAGATTCGACAATTCTGACGCGTTGCGGTTTTGACTTCTGGATGGCATTTGGGAAGCCATGACCGAGCTACCCACTGCGATATCATTATAAACATACACCTCGGCTTCATTCTTGTATTAATAAAGTGTCATTCATTAAATGAGGTTCCCACTTTCGTTGCGCAGCTGAAGAAATCCATGTTCTCCGGCGCTCGGCCGAACTGGATGATCGGCATCAGCGGGGGGTGGCCCGTGAGAGAACCCACTTTATCGGGCCAAAATCCCGGCCAACCCGGAGCATTTGCGATCGGGGGAAATGCTTAAATGCGTCGATCGATTGGGGGCCAATGCGAGGTCTTTTGGCACGCCGGCACAGATGTCTGGTGAAGACAGGGGAGCTCTGTCCTGCCACCAGGACCAGATTATTGTGATGGGCGCTGGTCGATCTTGATCAAACCTGGAGAACAATGGACTCGGTATTCATAGCAATGGCGAAGGAACTTGAGTGAGAGAAAGATTGTTTTCATTCAAAATGCATCGCTGACTTTTCCGTGTCGCACACCGGAAACATACTACGCTTGTTCATTCCTTGCCCATGGCTCGACAACGAGTCTGACTTGCTCTATGTCCCTTCCGATCAATATGCAAATTACCATTGATACGCATAGTCGCCCAGTACATGATAGAAAAAAGAAACGCTGGATCCTCCAACTCCAAAATACCCATCAATAGTCGTACACTAGTATTACTGTAATTTGATTTCGAAGTTTGCATGGCGCACTGCGCTCTTGTCTTCTTCTAAAATCACTTGCTGGCTCGACATGCTGTTCATCTCAACATCGTAGTGCGAACGAGTGTCGAATTGCGAATACTCGCTTCGTGGCCCGCGAGAAGAATTGGATGGTCCGGCGTGCTTGACGCGTGAATTGTCGTGAGAGGAACCCATGATTTTGGGCGCGATAGACCTGAAGAACCTGCGCAATGTCGGCATCGAGCCGCAGATGATGAACAAATTCACTTCGACGAATCTGGATCTCAAAGTGTCAGTGAGCTGTCCGTCATGACGGCATACAAAGACAAAAGACAGAGTACTCACGACCAGACGTTGGCGGGCGCGGCAACCCAAGCCGGATCTGTGGATTTGAGCATGGCTTGGAGATAAACCATGCGAACAACGGATGTGGTGACAGTCCTGTAATCTGAGTCAAAAACGGGCTACAGTGCAGGTTTGGAGAAGCAGACTTACAGGGATCCGATTCCAAACATGATCAACGCACCAACCTTGACAACGGGGCGCATCTGAAGACGCAGCACCATTGGAATAGGGATCAAAAAGAGAACAACATCGGACACAATGTTTGACGTAGCAATAGCCATGTAAAGCATCGCGCTGTTCAGCGGTCTGTGGGTTTCCGACACCTCGACATATGGATCCCAGTTTGCACGAATCGGCCACGTGCCAAACAGGAGCATCGACGCAATCACGACGGTGTAGCAAAATACCATGACGATACCTGCGGTGATGGCTTGGCGATACCATGGGAGAGGGGAGATCTTGAGATACGCGAAGAATAGCGAGGCTTTCGTTGAACCGTTGGCGCAGATGAATATCGGAGCGACGATGTAGCTGACCTGAAGACATACGGATGTTAGTAGATGCCTCAACCTGTGTCGAGTTCAGAAGACTTACGAGAGCCTGCTTGGCCCAGACATTAAGGGACATTTCCCAAGCGTGGTGGCCCAAGCCGCCAATCGCGCAAGACCCTGACGTCTTTTGCTTAGCAGAAGTCTTTGCAGGCAAAGGATTCTGACCTACAGGTTTGTAAAGATTGCATGGCGATGGAGCATATCTGACCTCACGAGTCAGCGACTGGCGACAAAAGCAACACAAGCAAACTTGCGTCTTGGTGAACTAACCCAGGCAATGAGCATCAATGCTAAATATAGCAATCACGATCAGTTGGAGTTACGTTGGCAGCGAGAGTAATTTCGGGCTCACCATCATCGATCTTCGGCCCATCCGAAAATACCAACTTGGTGTAAAACCTTTGGACTAGGCATACCAGAGCGAGTGGACCCAAGATGCCAAACACCAGGTAGTGTTCCAGCACACTCTGCCGCTGCGGGTTCTCAAAGTCGACGACATAGCCTTCAGGAGGCGACATCACTGTGGTTGTGCCATTCGTGACTGGGTATTCGATAGCCATCAGAACAGGCCACGGGGCGACCACGTCCCCAAAGGATTGCGGCGAGGGCGGCGGTGTAGAACGAGAAAGGCAGAGAGAAGCGAGAAGGAATCAACCGGCGTTTGGTACAAACGGCCAAGGAGAGGCTGAAAGTGACTGAAGATGGCACGGACAAACCGGTTGAGCTCAAGAGAAGGAGAAGAAGCACAAACCAATCTGTGACAGTGCGTCTGTTCGAGATCTGCTGGGTGTATTATATCCAACCGTCGTGATGGCAAACTCCTTTTCAAGTAATTCGCAAGCCGTCAGAATACCAGTCGGGCGTTGAGTGGTGTTATCAATATCGGGGACCATCAAGCCAAATTCCCGGGGTCTCGGGTCTGTGGTATTAAGTTCATGAAAAGAGACAATATCTCAACGCCAGACCTCCTTCTGAGCAGCCCAAAAGTCATGCCTGTTTGCCTTGGCTTGTAGACTGCAGAAGCTTACGGCCGGTAGGTAGGGCTATCGATGCTTGCAGTCCACGAGACTGTTGGTGCAAGATCGGAGACCCCTGTTCCAACTACCAGGGGAGCTGGTCCACCGTGTTTGCTTGCTGGAAGAGAAATTGGGCCAATCCAGATGGGACTGAAGTGCTTACCATATTTCTTGCGCATGAATCTGGCAGGGAGCTGCGGCTCACCGGAGGAAGCAAACAATACCAATCCAGAGGTTCCGGCCGGATATCCAATATTCCAGTCCAGCCGTTCTGATTCCCACGGAGTTCTTCTCCCGATAGAGACACCACCTACCCAAACGTTAACAGATACACTCGCACCGCCTAGAATCCGAGAGTCCTTAAATGGTACATTACGGTCCTCTTCTTGTGTCAAGATCGTCCCGGATAAAACCAGCGACTCCTGAATCTTCCCAATCTACTCTTCAACCGTTCGATCTTGTCCACATCACACCCCTACTTCTTTCCCTATCCTGTTGATCGTCATCATGGTTCGCATCGTCCCCTTCACTGTTACCACCATGCTCTTCGCCAGCAGCGTGGCGATCTGCACGAGAAACGGTCTCACGCAGATGTTGACCCACGTCAAACGTCACCCAAGCTACACGCAGACTGAGTTCTGGGACTACTGGTACACCCAGCATGCGCCTAAGGTCGCTCCCTTGGCGTCCTACTTCAACATCTCGCGTTACCAACAGGTTCGTGATTCACTTTTCACCATCCACTATCCCATCTGGGTCACGTCTTGGACAATCGCTTACCCGTCGCAGGTCCGCATTGGAGGTCTTGTGCTCCCTACCGAGGCCGGTGCAACTGAGCCGGCCTCTGATGTTCCTGTCGAGTTCGATGGAGTTGCGATGTTTCTCTACCGCTCTCCTGACGATCTCGCTGCTATGATCTCTCACCCGTACTACACTGAGGTGGTTCTTCCTGATGAAGGCGTCTTCATTGACAAGTCTGCCTTTGGTGGCGGTCAGGTCGCTTCCTTCGTGGGCGCTCACTTTGAGGTGGTGGATGACAAGAAGGATGTCTGGATTGGTAGCGATGCAGACAGGGAGAAGTACCAGCAGCTGTTCGATTCCTACAACTAAGAACAGCTCGAAGTCCCTGGGTAGTGATCACGAACGGCGACTTGCATGAACAGCATGTAAAACGGTTGATGGATCTAATCGGAGTGCGAGGATCATTGTAGATGTAGAGGCCAATGATGATACAATTGGACTTATCGCTCAAATTTAGGCTGCCCATCATTGCTGGAAAGAGAGGCGTTCGTGATCGAGGACCGCCATGATCGCGGGTCACCATGAGAACATGTGTCTTGGCTGCCGTGAATGCCCAGAATCCAAGCCTGCACCGATCCCATTGAGATTGCCGGTGAACACCTGGAGTGTCATTTTGCCAAGTGTATGCCAGCGGCAGGTGAAATGTGGAACACCACATGACGGCCATCAGTCAATCTCATCACATCCATGCTGCATTGACTCTCATTGAGTGCACCTGCCTGCACGGCGTGAGACGCCAGCCACGGCGTGGTCAACTCTAGAGACGTATGCCAGCTCACGAATCCCACCTTACTTTTTGATCAGAATGAGCTCGACATCATTGGCCCTATCTCCATGGGAGTTACCCTTCATCTCGTCGGCTTCTTGGGCCCCTGGCCATGGTTAGAGGTCTGAGAAAGTTGGCTCGTGTCACCTGGCGGGCCTTCATCAAATGTTTGCTTCTTACCGGGCTTGGCTACCTGTACTTCCGGGTCCATGATAGCAGGTGGATACGACCATATTCCGCAGTCATTGTTCTTGCTTCGACAATGGGCTTGTGTGATTTACAACAGGGGCTCGATGGGAAGAATCTCAAGTTTTGACGTTGAAAATCCGAGCCTGGTCGGAGGGGTTGCAGCGGGTCGTCGAGAGAGTGTTGTCGTTGGATGGCGGCCCTACCCCTTGCTGTATCTCTCCTCGGGATTGGTCTGTTGGCGTCGGTTCGAAAGAGAGCAAACTGGACCCTTGCGTCAGAACGAGTTCCAACGAGACTCGGGATTGGTTGCCGCCCAGATGGTAAATGAGCACACCCTTTGTATCGTCTGAGTGCCACATAATTCACACCGAGGCAATGCACGCGCAGGGATCGCGTTTACTGCTTTTGGAAGTCATGGTGCGAATTGTGATCATGGCGGAGCGGGAGCTTGTGTTCTTCTCTTCCCCCCGGACGTGCAACCCCGGCATTGACATCTTGGCGGTCTGATAGCAGCCATTGGCAATCCGTCTCGCCCGGGAACTGAGCGGGTTTGGTCCCAGTATTATGGCTTCTGTGTCTGGTTAGTGCGGGCGATGAGTGAACAGCCGCCTGAAGTTTGGCATCGAGAAACGATATGTCATATTCAGGCCGTGGTAAAGGCGGCAAATGCGCGGAAATAAGAGACGCACCGAGAAAGTTACCGGAGCTCAAGAGGAATGTCCTTGTTGATTGTGGCGTTGACAGCACGAGGCCCCTGACCCGGTGTCCCGGAAGAGCCCACGACGAACGGGTTGCCGCATACGAACCGAATAGTTGGGGCTCTTCCAGAAGATGTCCAAGGCTGAAAGACGATGCAGGTTCCCTTTCGCTAGTTTGTACGATCCAGACCGGTCCGAAGACTCTGCTCGATCTCGGTTCCATCGAAATCGTATGTTGGGGCAGTGTTGACCCTGCTCTGTAAATATGTGCATCCTCTCGGGCTCTTTGTGATTTCAGTAACCTCCACTAGAGTGAATTGAAAGGGTGAGGCTTCTCAGTGAGCTTTTTACTTCTCAGCAGTCATCGATGTTTCTGCACTGTCATTTACCCTGACCACACCCACTGTTTCATGGAAGGCAACCTCATAGCCCAAACCCGGGTTGATGGCTCCCTAAATAAACATCGGACTTGACCGGAACGAGTCGACGCATCGTTTGTAAGTCCGATGAAAGAGACAACAAGAGCCAAGTGACCATAAAAATATGGAGGGTAGCAGTTTTGGGAAATTTCTAATCAATAAGGCTTATCGGACGGTTCCGGGATGGGTTCGTTTGATGAGAGATTTGTGTAGACTCTGGAGCACGTTGCATTGAAATGGTATTACAAGGAACGCAAAATCCCCTACACGCTCGTCTTCGCTCACTGATGAGCAGCTGTGAGTGTTGAAAGGCCTGTCTTGTGACTTGTTGGTGTCCGTGGAATCTTGTCGGATCGCATCTGTCGGCGGTCCCCTCGACCCCGTTGGTATTTGCCACCCCCGTCAAGTTTGTGTTCTCTTTTTGCTAGGCTGGTGTGATTCAACCAGCCTTTTTCCTCTCTGCATTCTTCCCTCCCTTCAGTGGAAGTTTACTGGAGCCTACTACTACAGCCCGCAGAGAGGGCAAGAGCGCTTTAGACGACAGTCCGTAGCGGCGTAGAGCCGCGGGGACGGATTGAAATCCTTGGGATACTCTGGATCTTTTACTTACGCCAAGAATCAGAGGCCCAGCCCGAGTTTGCGGACCTTTTCTTCTTCGTGTGCAAGATACTCACATAGTCAAAGGTCAATATTAGGCGTCCTCCTACTCCGGAAACTTGTGGTGGCCAGTGAAGAAATCTTCGCTTCCATCATTTGACGAAGCAACTTTTACAGCTGACGGAATTGTGCGCAGAGACAAGTCGCTACAATTTACTCTCTGTGCGGTGTTGACATTATCGTCACAACCTTAAAACCTTAAAACATCGACACAGCAGGGACCAGGGGAGAAGAGCAGCTCTGAAGATCTGATTCAACAACATAACGTTCCATTTGATTCAATGCCTGTTACTTTACATGAAAATGATCAGGTCAAATTTTCACAGGCTGTCGGGCATATCGCATCAGACCCTCCTGAGTGCAAGACAGCAGCAGAGTCTCATTCTGCGCATTCCAAAGCCTCTGTGTGATGAGAACCCTCCCGTCGCCAGCCCATTCAGTGGTCCTTAGACATACCATCCACTCGTCTACCTTTGCGTTCGGGTCGTGGAAGACTATTGAGTGGTTCAAGGTGATTTGCATGCCCGGTGTACCTTTCATCTTGCCAAACTCTGCATTCGAGGCCATATGAGGCACAGATAGGGTCCAGATATCTGTCAGGTATGCCAGCGCAGAGAGATGAACAGCTTGAGAGTCAACCGAAACCTTTGGGGCGCGTACAAAACTAAGCGACTCGAATCTCGTAGGGTCGGCGGTAGTCTCGTAAGGCAGAAAACGCCAGTCAAACGGGTTCGGCAGGGCCTCCACGATGTTCGGGGGAATACCCATGTAACTTTTGATCGCTTTGTAGCCGGGTTCGATGTCCTCTGGAGCCTTCTTATTCATACTCGGCATCTTCATCCCGTATTCGAAGATGTTTGATGGATCTTTCTTCGTTGTGTACTTCTGGAAACTGATGAATGCCATGAATATGGGCTTGTCATTTTGAATGGTCCGCACGACTCTGGTGGCAAAGGTCCGTCCATCTGCAACTCTCTCGACATGATGAACAAGTCTAGAGTCTTTGGAACCTTGGCGTATGAAGGTTGATTGAAGGGAATGCACGTAGTAGCCGGGGAACGGCAGCGTCTCTTGGGCCGAGCGGATCGACTGCGCGAGCAAGAAGCCTCCAAAGATGCCTCGAGCCTCTGAAGGAGGGTCCCACGGGCGACTGTTTGTTTCGGTCAGCCAGCTCTCAAGATGCATCAGCGTAAAAGCAGATACCGGTCTTATTTTGAGCGTACTTTTCGTTGGCGTAGACATCTGACCCGCCTTCAGCATAGGGAACGACTGAAGTGCATGCCTCGACAGGCATCACAGGGCGGCGTGAAGTCATCTCTTTCGACAGGAGAGACAGTGATTCAAGATATCCTCTTATCAGGAGACCAAAATTGAACGGTTCACCGCGCCACCTCGGCGATAGCCAGATCATTGGCGACCAACCACCTGCGAGCCCAACCGCCAAGCAGCTCGCCAAACGCCGCAACCTCGGCAACGGGCATCACAACCGCATTTGAACTGGTTTGACTAAGCACATCCTGCAGTGACACCCCGGGCATTTAAGCGTCGACCGGGGAGGACATCTCGAAACCGCTAGCACCTCCGGGGTTTCGTCGGTAGCGAGCGTGTTGGAAGTGATCCAATCAGTTGAGGTGGGCTAAATCCTCCCACCAGTCCCCGGTTATCTTGACCTGTCAGCAGCGAAATAGCGCCATTGTATCTGTTTGCGATCCCATTATCATGACACGCCATGGAAATTAAGGTTGATGTTCTATATGAAAGTTCATTGAATTTATTCCGCGTTGAAGTTGTGAACATAAACTTGACAGCGAGGCATTACACTTTCAACATCCGTACAGCCACCCCGTGCTGTATGCCCTAGTGCCATTTTTGAGGAGCTTGTTGTGAGATTATGTCAAGGTCTATGGCCTGGGAAAAGAAATTCTATCATCTATTCATAATTCATACAGACTACATCGTACACAGTTTTGCGATGGTTTCCCATCAATGTTTCTTTTTACCGTGGCAACCTCACCCACCCGGTTTTCATAGTTCCCGTCGGAGTGAATCGAGGAAAAGGGTGTGCTTCGGTATTGAATACAACCTCAGTCAACGACATATAATCTGTTGGGGAAAATAGCAAGTACAGGTACTTGAGAGTCTCGGCCTGTAGAATGCTTCGTCAGCTCAGATCACCAGAATTGATTCATCGTTCATTTCTTACCAGCCAAAAACTCTCCATGTTGTCTCTTGTTGACGGTGGTACTGTTCGCACATCATTGAGGCTCGTAAAGCCTTCTCCGTCAGGGGCCATAGTGTGCTCCCGAAAGGCTTGGAAGATTTTCCAACCCCATTCTCGGTACATTGAATCGCCAGTTACGCGGTACATCATGAAGAGACTTTCAACTGTTTCGGGTCTCTGCAGATTGTGCGCATCCAGAGGCTTGATGATGAAGTCTTTGTGCCATTTCGATAGTGCTGAAGTGGAACGATGTCAGAAAAAGCCTGCATTCACTAGGAAAATACTTACTGCTACTAGCACTACGCTGCTTTCTATCCCCAGGGTTCGGTTGCAGGTCGTATTCTGTGGCGTTGAACCATGCGATCTCCGGCGCAAGTCCAGTGTCTGTGACAGCGTACATGCCCCAACAGATTTTCATGAGTTCGATGGCAAGTTTCACATCATCTTCATGATAGGGCGTCCATTCCGGATCGCGACGAGCTTCGGCTAACGTTCGGCCCTCCGTAGCCTAGGTGCATGGTCAGACATGGATGCAAAGGGCCGACTAGGAAATACTCACACCCATAGCAATAGTACCAGGAAGAAAGCAAACAAGATGATCCATTTTGGGCGAGAGAGCACCTCCAACCCCCGCGGGAAGTTCAGCGATGTACTTCAAAGCAGCATTGCGTGTTGTGGTGACGAGATGCTTTTGAATCCCATCCAGTACGTCTTCCCACATGTCACGATAAATCGTCTCTCCCGTCTGGAGGTACTGCTTCGCGAGGTACTCTACTCCTGAATTAGAACACAACATATAACAAGAGGATAAGTCACTCACCATAGTATGAGTCACCCCGACTTCCGAGCCGAATCTCTCTTGTGGTGAAGCGACCATGATTGGGATGCACGAAGATCGGCAACAACCCACCTTCCATCTTCTGGTCATCAAGTACCTTCATCACATGCTCGGCCTTCTTCCAGTAGACATCGTTCCCTGTCAGATGTGACAGATACTTCATCTCCAACTGCACTGTAGCCGCTTCTGCCGTCGAAGAAGAGCCGCCATCGGCATGAGATGGGATACCCTTCCTCTGGCCGATGTTGACACTGGCATAAGGGATGCCTGAGTTGCTGTCGAAAGCAACAAGCAGCCGGTCCGCCAAGTCGATTGCCTTGGAAAGGTACACAGAGTCTCTCTTTGACGCGGCGTGGGGTAGTTGGGTCGAAAGGTAATGCGCGGAGAGTAAACCACCCAGCATGCGAATAGTGGTCTCGAAAGTGTTGACATCCTGGTCCTGGTCCCAGGTGAGACTGCGGTGAAGCCACTTGCGTGCATCAGAAAGAGGCTCCGTCAAGTTCATGAGCATCATCGTGTCGAGGCTGTCAACGATGATCCATCCTAGGCCTGATGGAGACATGTTTCTGCCCGTCTTTGCAAGTGGGTGGAACACATCATTACCTAGAAGCTTAGCATGTGCTTCTGGTTACTACAGAATGCAGCAGAACTCACCCCAAGCGTGCTTCTTGTATGCGTCCCAACTGACGACGAAGGCTTCTTTGACTTCTTCCCGCCGACCGTCCCAATCAGCGGATTGAGAATGTGGTGAAAATTGCGAGTACCCAAGTGCATGATCTGAGAAGTAGCTTGCAACGAACATACTTGCTAGCCCAATAAAGCATAGCATGATTATGACGTTGCGTATTCTGCGTTGCATATTTCTCCTGCCGTGGTGGGATGACCGCCTGGCTCTTCGGATGTCGTCGCCAATTGATTCGGCGGTCTTAGAGACGGAGTAAGACGAGTAGACTGAATCTGCTGACGAACTTCGTCGTCCGCGTCTGGTTGGTGATGACGCCATATCAAATGGTAATGAATGATAGAAAGTTGAGCGGACAAGAAGAACCGCAGTGCCCTCGGTTCAGCAATGAATATGTACATGATCATCAATCTTAGGAGATTGACGAGTAGCCTCCAACAGGGCTCCGGGCAGTACGGCGCTTAGCGTCCGCGACAGCGGTCCCTGCCGTGAGCATCCCGATGTGGCGACCGCCGAGGGAGTCGGCGGCTACTTCAAACGTGTTGATAGCATAGAAGCCATGGCCGCATAGCATTGGACCGGCGCAAATGCCCGGTAGGCCGGCGTTTTGGTTATGATCTCCTGAAATCTGAAGTTGGCATTCCTGCTCAGGTTAACGTGGCCTGAGCAATCACGAGCTGGCTGACGCTATTGGATACCGAGGGACTGGGTCGGGAAGGTAATGACCTTAAAAAAGACGAAGCCCGGTGCGATGTCGTTCTCTCGAACCAACGGCGAGCTGTTACTCGTCGAGAGCCCATAAACCGATGGTTGGTTGGCATGGGTTTCCCTTGGTTCTCTCCCGCGCGCTACGGTCGCCGTTTGTGGCCGTTGTTGATGATTGGTAGAACTGCTGCAGCATTGCCTCAAAAGGGGACAACAGCGCGTAAACCAGCGTGAGATAAGTATGCGCCCGTGGCCTGTCCCCATTTTGGTTTCCTTGGCATGAATTCATGTTTGCTTCCAACGACCAACATGACCGTTGGTGCGTTGTTCATCTGCACCAACAACGAAGATTCGGGTGGGATCACAGCATCGTGAGATGAGTCCAAGATTGAAAGAAGCCCGACTGGCGCCTAGCTAAAACCTGCGCCGCACTTCAGCAGATACAATGGACCTTATGGCGGGTCATGAGATGTCTTCATCGCGAGAGAAGAGTCGCAGCCGCTAGCGCGCTGGCGGAGGATGAAAGACCTTATCTTCAGTCGTCTGCCTGTTAGTCACGGAGCGCATCAGTGAATGTGATCCATAGACGGTGTAAGTCGGGCAGATCATGCCCGGCTTCGACCTTGTGCTTCTCCCAAAAGTTTTGCTTCACCGAAAGTTCTCACGATCTTTACGTCAATTATACTTTTTACCCATCTTTTAATTTATTCCAGAGGCTGTTTCTCTCTTCGGTGACAAAATGGCTGAGCCATACCCTGCGGAGACGAATGCATCCGGCGAAATCACATCCTTCATCGCGCTCCCAACAGTCTTTACCCCGCCGTCCAGTTGCTCAACTGTCTTCCGACTCAACGGCTTCAGTATAGTAGCCTATGATCCAGGCTTCGGAATCGATGTCGATACGAGAGTCCGTTGCGCACCCGCCGCTGTAACGACATGGTGGGAGCAAAGGCGACTCGGAGTCTACAATGGCGACGGACACACTGCCATGAGCATCGGACCTTTGACCTGCCCTTACCAATAGTCCACTGTCGCTTCGTACGTGAAAGATGAAGTCAGTACGCTGGCAATGTGTTGTCCGCCGTAAGCCACGTCGCATCCGTTTTCCGGGTCCTCTCTGACTGACTTATTTAGAGACTACACCCTAACGAACACGAATGGCCATGCCGGGTCTCTTGTCGGAGACTGCCGGTCCAACGTTTTGACTGGCGCCGTCCTTACGTTTGCATCTTCTAATGTGTCAGAGGGCCGGTGGAGGATGAACACCACCACTGTAGAGTGGGAGTCTTTCATCGGTGCCATTGCTGTTGTGCGATGGAACACTCTTCCAGGGGCTATCGGCGCTCCATCCAGTTTATCTGCCACCGCAACAAGCAATCTAAACTCCCCAGCAGAAACAAATACAGACGCTTCAGCGCTTCCCCGACAAACAACACCCACAGAGCCGACACCCACGATACTGCCGTCCAGCCCAACCGAGATCCCCACGTCAATAAATCAAGGCATTCCGCTTAGTACAACTATCGGTATTGGGGTCGGAGTGGGTGTCGGTGTCATTGCAATTTTTCTCGTTGCGTTCCTGCTCTGGAGGAGAAGGCGACGGCAATTGCGCAGCTCAGAAGAGCCCCCAGCTTTTGATGCGCGGGCACCAATACCGTACGAGCCGGACAAGCATGCGTACCAGTCGTACTATCATGAGCTTTACGGTCATCAAGATGGAAGGCCAGCAGGAATGGCGGAGATGCCTGTTCCTCAGTATGTTGCGGAGCTAGATGCACGATACCCCCGAGTTATTTGAAGGATTAGACGATACGATGTGTGATATCTGGAGTAATAATTGATAGAACTAGGTCTGGCCAGGATCACAAGTGGCAACGGAGAGACAGCAGAAAGACTCGATGTATACAATACAAGGCAATTTATTGGGATATCTTCATGCCACGGCCTACCAATTTTCTCTCTCTTGACCTTTTCCCCAAACAAATGAAAATTATTGATAGACATTATCCATACGACAGTCTCTCTTTTCATGCCCGAAAACATCGCCTGACGCCAGACGCTTGCAAACAACAAACATCAATCAATCAACTCGCTTTAGACCCAGCACTCACAGGGCTGACAAGCCCGATCCTACTCATTCGACTGAACACACTGCCGGCCTTCCTTCGAATCTTGTTCCCCTCAGCTGGTGTGCTCACGGCCGGCGTGGTCAACGTGCTCGCGCTCATCGGGCTGACAACATTCTCATTCTCCGCCTCGGCGTCAGCTTCATCATCAGTAGTGCGACTGCTTCCTGTGGTCATGCTTTCCATACTGCTTCCATCATGCTGGACGGCAAGACTCAGCCGCGGGCGACGTGCCAGGGTCTGAGTGGGAGCTTGCGTCTCCGCTACATCCGTCTCCAACTCTACCGGCGAAGCAGTGGTAATTGCTGCGCCGATGTTGGGCTGCGTGCCGCTCGTCATTTCGGCGATGGAGTTCATGAAGGGTTGCTGCGCAGCGGTCGAGCTGCGATAGACGTCAACAGAGCTGGATGAGCTAGCGGAGGTGCTGCTCAGTCCTCGCTCCACTGTCTTGTTGGGAGTAATGGTGGTGGTCAGCCGACGCAGGCTGCGGCCCCATGCTGGATGGGCTTTAGGTGAGAAGACCTCGGAGATGGTTCGCCGCTTGGCGTCACGCAGTTTTCGCGCAACAAGCTCGAACTGTTCTGCCATGGTGGGGTGCGCCATGATCTCCTCCATGGAGATGTGCAAGTTGTGTGAACCCGGTATGCCCAGCTTGGGAAGCTCTTGCGTGAGGGCCTGGGATAGCTGCGCAGCGGGAATCATGCTTCCCCAGAGATCGTAAAAGGCTGCATTGGGGAGCTGGCTCTCTGGAACGCCAAGGGACCGCGGGTCAAGGATCTCGGTCCAGACTTTGGAGATTTTCTTCTGAATTGAGGCACGGTGGTCGTCGGACATGCTTGCACCGACGTTGGTTGTCTTTGGCTCCATGTCGATCTGAGGGAGAGGGATCTGTGACGTGGCGGCACAGTAGTCGGCGGTCGAGGGGATGAGGGGATGGAGCATCGACACAGAGGTCAGAAGCTCGATGGTGGAGCAGAGAGCCTTGAGAGTCTCGTTGGCGAACAAGCTTGGAATGCGGTTCTCGCAGAACGTAATTGAGATGTGTCCGCAGCTGGGGTTGTCCTGGGTGGAGATGACATGCAAGTCGTACATGTCGCGGCTGATGGGTTCCACGATGTTAAACTTGCACTTGACTGTGCCTAGGTTGAAGATCGCGGCCTCCTTGGCGGCATCCTGGTGACGGTGCTCGACGACGGTGCTGAAGCGCGTCCAGTAGGGAAGCTTGGTGCACTTCTCCACTACCTCGAGCCAACCCATGTTCTCGAAAGGGATGCTCATGACGCGCTGGCCATGAACGTACTTCAAGAGCTCAAGTGGGCTGCTGAGTGTCTCGGCGAAGCGGACGCGGACGGGGATTGCGTTAGAGACCGGACCCAAGGTGCCGGAGATGTCGGAGCCGTCAGCGAGGCGGAGATGTCTGCCCTCAATGACTTCGCCGAAGAGAACATCGCCAGAGCCAGAGAGGTTGGCAAGGACCATTGCCCATGCAGACTTGACCACCGTGTCGAACGAGATGCCGAGATTAGCAAGGGACATGACGGAGACGTTCTGGGAAAGGGTCTTGATGTTGGAGCTCAGAGCAGGCGGCTTAGCGTGGGCGACGACTTGGGTCATTTTGGCACCGTCCAGAAGGGAGGTCCAATGCTCCAGGGCGCCAGCGACATGAGAAAGCTGTGCGGAACGAACGAAGTCAAAGTATGTCGCCCTGCGTGGCGGGCAGGAAGGGGCGATATAGATGCTCTTCAAATGTTGAAGCAATAGAGAAATGGACGCATCGTCATACTGGGCCCCAGAAAGCCGCAGAACCAGGTTGGACTGCTTGCCAGCATCGACGAAGAGGAACTTGGTCATTGGCGTTTCAAGCGCGAAGGGCGCCGCCTGGTCCCTCTTGATCAACTTCTCAGTCATGTTGGCAACTCTCCATGTCGGGACCTCGATTCTTCTAAACTCGGGGTTGAATGACTTGAGGGCCACTTGGTAAACCCGTCTCTCATGCGTAACGAACGCCGTCCTCAGGATGGGATGAATCTTAGCAAGGCAAATACAAACAGCCTCGAGCTTCTTGGGATGAACAGGTCCAGTGAAGCTGAAGGTGAAGTAGGTGAGACTAGAGCTTCCCTTGAGAAGACCGGTCTCGAGGAACTTGAGTTGGGTGGCGGATGCCTCCGCGACGTCGGTGATTTCCTCTCGAGATATGCCCATCTTCGGCGCGATGATGTCCTGGATGAACTGCTCCTCAAATTGCATCTCGGAGCTCGAGCCTATGGAAGAGGAGGCGTTGGATGGCAGCTCGGCAATGTCGACAGTGAATTCCGCACTTATGGTGATACCCTGGCAAAGCTCGGTGAGGGTTGCGCCGCGAAGGATGTCAGGAAGTGCGATGATGAGACCCTGCTTGCGGCAGTCGACCACGAGCTGGGCAGCAAGGAAGGTTTCGCCACCGAGAGAGAGGAAACTCTGGTTACCGCGGATGCAGGCTGCATCGACGCCTAGGAGAGTAGACCAGATCAACCTCATGCGCTCTTCCACTTGCGTGAGCGGAAGAGGCTTGATGCCCACCGTCTGCACATCATCGGGCGACGGGACGGTTGACAACTCCAATAGTTGTTCTTGAGATAGCCAGCTGACCATCTTCTGGAGTTTGCGGCGGTTGACCTTTAGTGATGGGGTGACCGGAAGATGTCTGACAGGGACAAAGATGGTTGGCATCATGTGTGCGGGGAGACCGCTGCCCACCGAGGACTCAATGAGCTTCTTGGCGATGTAAGTGCGCTCGCGGGTCGTAATCGTAATTCTGGTAAGGTCCTCCGACCCCTCAAAGAGCTTCTCGCCCAGCTCAATGAATGCTGCCAGTGCAGGCTGGGCATCACGAGTGATGATCGAGTCCACGGCGAGATCCATCCCTTGGCCAAGGCAGCGACGGAGCTGCTGTTCAACTTGGGCGACAGGGATGATCTGACCCTTGATCTCAACATCATCACGGCCGCTTGAGACGAAGTCGAGCATGCCATCGTCCATGTAGCGAACACGGTGGCCTGTCTTGAAGTACCGCGTCTTTGGCTTCCCATCCTCAAGTGACACATCTGAGTCCTGCGGGAGATGTGCCAGAGGCTGTCCTGGAACGAAGCGATGCGCAAGGGTCGGGCTCTCGATGATGAGCTCTCCAATGGCACCAATTGGCATGAGTCTGCGGTGGTCTTCGGGATTGACAATCCAGAACCTGCCGAGGAAAGGTCGCGCGACCCGGGTCAGATCCTGCGGCCTCGTGACCTCGAGAACCGAGATGCCGAGAGGGCAGATGTCTGGAGCACCGTATGCCAGAAGGACCTTTGTCTTTTCAATCCATGGAGCGCAGGTATCCTCGTCGAGGCGTCGAGTCCTGAAGCAGACGGTCCTCAAGCTGGGAATGGCTGCCGGAGTCATCTTCCTTGCCAGGACTGGCGTCAGGTAAGTCCAGTTGACGTCCATTCTGCGAGCGGCGCCGACGATATCGCTGGTCTTCTCGACGCTGGAAGGTACGCATACACAACCGCCATGTACGAGTGTTGAAAGCAGCTCAATGAGCGCCGTGTCGACGTTGAATGAAGACAGCTGCATAACGCGGCTGTCGGCATTGAGATTGAGTGCTCGGCCTTGTGTGACGAAAGCTGCAGAAAGAGCAGCGTGGTGGAAGATGATTCCCTTTGCCTCTCTGCCGCGCGATGAGCCAGGAGAGAGGAGGATGCATGCGGCATCGTTCGGCGCGGCCATGGGAAGAGGCGACTCAAGAGGGAAAGTGACGTTGAAGAGAGAGTCGTCAACGACGATGACGCCCTCGATGATTGACTCGAGGTACTTCCAGTTCATGTCGGTTGCGATGAGGATCTTGGGCGAGAGCTGGCGGATGAAGGTCTCGACGTTGTTTCGGTCTTCGGCATCGATAGGCACAAAGCAGCCACCGGCCCTGTATCTATGTCAGTAACGTTCGAGCTCGTCAAACGATTGGAGAGCACTTACTTCAAAACGGCCAGGATGCTGATGACTGCCCACTTGTTCTTGTCCAGGATGACTGGTACGGGTACACCAGGCCGCACACCCCACTGCACGAGATAAGTGGCAAGTCGAGAAACAAGACGGCCCGTCTGCCTGTACGAGAGGTGGCCATCCCAGGCGCAAATAGCCTGAGCATCTGGCCGAAGCCTTGCTTGCTGTGAGATGAGCGCGTGCACACAACCGTGAGATGCCTCGTTAGCCTTGTCCGTCTCCCAATCACTGATCAACAGCTGGGCGTAATCTCTGTCAGTGAAGAGATCAATACTGTTGATGGAGCCGTTAGCGCTGCTTAGGATCGATAGCACAGCACGCCCGAAGGTGTTAGTCAAGTTCTGAGCTTGAGAAGCAGTCATGACTCTATGAGAGACACCAGTGATCAGCTGTCCGTTGACAAGCGTCAACGAGAAGGTGACATCGTAGTCGGGGGTGTTGAATGCCTGGACACAAGCAAGTCCCATCGGCGGCCTGGTCGAGCTGAATCTGCTCTTCAGCTCATGAGGCTCCTCCTGGTAGGACAGGCAAGTGTTGAAGAGCTTGTCTCCCTTGAGACCCAGAGCATGTTGAATCTCTGATATGCAGACATTCTGGTGTGGACGGAAAGCAGCAGCGTCTTCCTCAACAGTTCGAAGAACCTCCACAACGGTCTTGTAGTTCTCCAATCCTATCGCACAGGTGGTAGTGTTCTCGAATGCACCCACCGCCATGCTCAACCCCTCAGAAGCACCATCAGCGTCGCGACCAGCTGAGCGGTAACCGAAGCAAACCCGGCTTGACCCCGTGAAGGCACGCAGAACAAGCGCCCATGCCAGCCGGACGACAGTTGCCCGACTGATTCCCTGGGTGCGGCAGAACTCATCAATCTGCACCATCGGCAGGTCGATGAAGAAGTTGGTGTGTTGCATGATGCCCTCGGTGACGGTCATCAATCGCGGGAACAAGCATGGTTGAGTCTCCTGAAGACGGCCCAGCCAGAAGTTGAGGCTATTTTCCTGGCGCGCTGACGAGATGTACTGCAAGCACGCAACATGCGACGGGTCCAGAACTTTCATGGGTAGCTTGCTGGAATTATACATCCTCTTCAGGTCCCACATGATGTTTTGGAGGCTCAAAGCCTAAAAGAAGGTCAGCACGTGGATCGGGTGTAACGAACGGGACGAAGGTTTCTTTCTTACATCACAAAGCGCATGACTGATATCGAGCCTCAGAAAGGTACTGGCATGGGACCTGCAGACCGACACCCTGTGGCGCGGGTTGTAAGGTGTTGCACTCATCGGCGGCAACGCATTAAGAATGGCCACCGGGTCTGTGCCCGCCTCAGCATCGACGAAGAGCATTTCGGGCGAACATTTCCTCAGCACGACCTGGTCGAAGAGCCCGTTGTCGGAGATGCTGTCGATGAAAACCGTCCGAAGTGCCGGGTACTTGGCAACGATCTGCTGCCAGACCGAGCAGATCTGAGCCTGATCTGCGACGAGACCGTTGGGGGCGGAGAGCTCGTAGATGGCATGGTTGTGGCAGGTTTCTAGGTTCTGTGTTTGGCTGATGAGTATTTCCTGCTGGAGGGCGGTGACCGGGAAGACGTCCTCGATATCCTTGGCGCTGGTCAGGCCGAGAGCAACCAGGCGGTCGGTGTTCAGCTTTGCCAAACCCTCGTAGGTCGTGTCCAGCATCGGCACATCAGACAAAGTAAGCTCCTGCCCGCGGTAGCGAAGCCGGCCAATGGCCTCGTAGAGGAGATGTTCATAGGTTTGGATCCATTCGGTAATCTTATCCTGGTGCTTGCAGTTCTTGTTGTAGATGATCTGGACTGATGCAGCGCCCTGGTCAACCATGGCTGAGACCTCGAAAAGAGCAATTCTGCTGACGTCCGGGCCGATGTCTGAAGCATCGGTTGAAAGCAGTCTACCGGGGATGGTGAGCTGCTCCAAAACGCCCTTCTCTCGTTCCAATTGTTGGACAGAGCCAGCGTAGGTGAACATGACCTCGAATGGCCAACCTTCCGCGTTGCGCGAAGCCGCTTCAGGACCAAAGTACCTTGAGGCGAAATAGTTCCAGCCACGGCGAAAGATGGATCGCCTCGTGTCCTTCATCTTGCGCAGAACTTGGAGAAAGTCGTCGGCCATATCGACTTGAAGCGAAACCGGGCAGAGGGACGTAAACCAGCCGACCGTCTCGGTGATGTCGATGTCCTGGCTCCAGGGCTCTCGTCCGTGCTCCTGGTTCCAAACCACCGGCGCCCGGCGGTCGTGGAATGTTTGGCTGAATGAGAGCATTAATGCGGCCATGTAGATGTCTGACATGTCGGTTCTGAAGACCTGGTTGCATGCTGTGTGGAGAATAGCGGTCAACTCCGCAGTGAGAGTGAAGCTTGCCGTCGCGATGTCGTTGTAAGTGTTGAGTGAGTCTTCGAGGCCCCAGTAGTTGTACTGGCCGCTCGGTAGCTGGTAGGGAAGCGCCAACTGATCTGCGTTGTTGCAGATGTACTCCTCCTGGAGCTCGTTCCATCTTTGGAATGGCATTGAGCGCTCAGAGAACAAAGTGCCCTCGCGCAGAAGCTCATCGAGGTCGTGGATGATAATGCGCCATGACATCATGTCCACGACGAGATGGTGAGCGAGTAGGTAAACAAGTTGCTGGCCGTCATGTGTGCGGAAGTGTTCGACTGCGAAGACGGGGCCAGTCTCAATGTTAATGCTGGACTGTGTTTTCGCAATGATGCCGAGAACTTCCACCGTGGTGCTGACTGAGTGATAGCGAAACCCATACGAATCTTCCACCGTTGGTACTATTCGCTGCATCCAGCCGTCGGCAGTGGATCGAAACCGGGCGCGCAACATGGAGTGGTGACCGACTACTGTTGCGATGGCGGCGTGGACGTCCTCGAGAGTTGAGTTGTTCTTGACGCGCAGCAAGATGCTCTGATTGAAGCGGTAGCCACCATTCGGGGCAAGTCGTTGTTCCAGACGGCCGCCGATGCCAGTGTCAAAGTAGAGTTGCTGCATTGGTGACAACTTGAATCCTTCGAGTGACTCCTCATTCCACGCGGTCTTGTGCTGAGTTTTCCGGATTGCGAGTGCCGCTAGTTGGCCGAGCGTTGGACATTGGTGAACATCCTCTGGTCTCACTACGATGGATGCCGTCCGGCACTCAGCGACCAACATCATGGCGGAGATGTCATCGCCGCCGAGCTGACTGAACGAGAAGTTCATGCCCACCTGCTTCTGTGGTATCCTGAGAACGTCGGCCACGGTCTTCTGCAGGATGCGCTCCATCTCACTCAAAGGCTCCTGAAAGAGCTCATGAGATTCAAGGCTGGAAATCTGGTGGTACATGTCTTCGTTGATGTTCTGAATCCATGTCTGGAGCCGCCTCCTGTCGACGGAGCCCTCACCGTCGGAAGGCATCTGGTCGAGCACGATCCATGAGTTTGGTACTGAGTGAGCCCCTTCTGAGGTTTCTAGAGCCAGGCGGACTGCTGCGACCTGGCTTCCAGCAAAATGCATTTGCGACTGAGGAATGAGGCGGATACTTGAGAGGCTGGATTGGGAGACCCGACCGGATGCCAGAGTGACGAATGCCACGAGCTTTCCCTCCAAGTAGCCGGCCTTTGGCCTGATAACAGCCGCGCTCGTGACCTGGGGCGTGGACTCGATGAAGCGTTCGATGGCGACCTGTGGTGCCCTCAAGGGTGCTACTTCGGCGCTGTGGGTGGATTCGCACGATGATGTTGAGTAACCCCCGCTGCTTCGTCTGGGACTTGAGCTGAAGACATCGGAGGGAGAAGCGCTGTCTTCGTCGGACTCCTTGGACGCAGGCACAGGCACGGTCTGGCCGAAGGGGGTGATGCAGGTCTGAAGCTCCGCCAAGGTGTGACAGCGAAGAATGTCGCTCGTCCTGACTCCGAGTCCGAGGCTCATGCACCTTTTCCTTAGCTCGATGGCGGCAGGTCGATCTCCACCGAGGTCAGCGAACGAGTCGAACAGCTCAATGCTGTTCCGCGGCAAACTCAGCACGGCGGCTGTTGCTGAGAGTAGCCTGTCCTCAACGGACTCTGTGTGTAGTAATGACGACATTGTGGTGTCGATTTTGGGGAGTAATTTGGTGCTGACTGAGTCGGCCATGTTGGTGTAAGTGGGTGAGGTGGTCCGAGTCGCGATCTGATCTGAAGAAGAGAAGAGAGGCTGCAGAAACAGCGTTGAGGGGTATCTCAATAACACATAAAACACACAAACAAAGGTGGCGGCCGGGTGCGGGTGGCCGACTACACAGATCAGACGTCGGTCCTTTAAGGTGGTGGACTTTCTTCCTGGGTGAGGGTCAAAGGTGCCGGGTGTTGTTGGTTGGACGGGATGGACAGTCGAGGGAGTGTTTGGGGGATGACGCTTTCGGGGGCCGTTTGTTGGTACGAGGTTCTTTGAAGAACCAACGACTCTGTCACACGAGGGCAAGGGACGATATCACCGGTAGGAAGCAAGGAGAAGCAAGAAAAAGAAGACAGTGAGGGGGGAAGCGGGCGTTGATGTGGTGAAATAATGTGGAATGCGCAGCAGATGGCTACCCACCCAACCGAAACCAAGACCAGAAGAGGCTCTAATCATCCATCCTCTTTCTCACTCGAGAAAAGAGTAAGAGCATTGGGACGGAGGTTTCTTGCTTACCTACCTTAGCCATGCCCAGGCAAGATGGAAAACCAGGGTAGGTACCGGGTACTGGCAGCGTAGGGCCGGGTTAGAGCTAGCAAACGACCAGGAACCGGCATGGTTGTAGATTGAGCTTCTTCCCATGGCCGCCCCATGGCCCCGGCCCCTCTGACGTGCTGGGGTCCAGCTCGTCGCTGCAGAAGGGTGGGGGAGACAGGCTTCCATTGGGTGGGTGGGAGGTCTGAAGGAGTGACTAACGAGACGAAAGACTGATGGGATGGGAGGAGGAGAGAGTGCGAGTGGCAGCAACTTGCGACCGCACTACACATAGGGTTGCTAGCTAAGCTGCTAAGGTGCTGAGGTATGGCCGCGCCACGCCATGCCATGTCACGGCCTGCCGCGGCCTGGACATGCATACCCGCGTCTTGCTGGAGATTGTCACTCGCGAGTGTGGAATGGGGGCCGGGGCCCGGGGGCCGGGGGTCGTCCAGGCAGTTACTTGAGAGTGTGGAGAGCAGCTTAGGCAGTGAAGAATGCCTTGCTCGTTACCACATGAACAAGTTGATACGACCTTATTTGCGGGTGCCACAGACACCCGGGAATAGCTCTGCAGCGAAAGCGAGACGGGCGACCAAGATAGGGACGAGGGACCAGGGTAACATGTGGGATAGAAACATGAAGATCGGAGGGTGGAGTGAGGCAGAGGCACAGGCACAGGCACAGGCAGAGAAACAGAGTAGAGGAGAGGCAGAAACAGACGAGAGCGCGGACTGCGCCCCCTCGGCGGCCGTGGTCCGTCCTCACAAGCTCCCAACGGGCCGTCCAATACCAACTTGCAACAGAGCAAGGGAGGCATGCACTACGCCGTAGGTCATTATTGTAGTGTCCAATGCGACAGAGCAGGCGACGACGACAGCTGCGTAAGGCAGGTTGGTTCTGAGCCACGCGGGCGACGATCTAGCCGTGGTGGCCCCCAGTCTTTTCCGTGTGCCCGTCAAACAAACAGAGGAAGCGCGGCACTACTGGCGAGCAAGGATGGTGCTGGACCTTTGGCTGTGAGCCTGTGATGGAGGTGCAGTCTGGGTGGATAGCTGGCGCGGTCTGGTAGTGTAGGTGTGAGGTGACATTGGATTGCCGCGACAGTGCGTCCTTCCCGTTCAGACCTCTTGATGATGCGTTTGCAGGAGGAAGAGGATTAGAAAAAGAGACAGCGAATGGCGATGGCGACAGAGTGGAAGAGCAAGTTGGGACGGAAGAGAGAGAGAGACGAGGAGATGGAACAGCGGGGAAAGACACACAGGGCAGAGGCAAGATAAGATACATACAAGTTCCCAACAAGGTAATCATCATGAACATACGCCACAGATCTGTCACCATGAACCAATCAGAGTCTCTGAATGGCTTCAGTCTCATCAGCCACAGCAACAACTCGTCACCTCGACACAGTATCTGATCTCTGCAACAGCAGCCACAGCGGATGAATGCAGAGTAGTACTGTGTAGTTCAGTGGTCCCTCGCCGTCTCGCAGGTGCCATTGGACGTGCTAAATCGATCCAACAAGCGCCGTCCCCTCACCCTCTCCAGCACCCACGGTGCGGCTATGTTCATGGTGCCTTGCCTTAGCGGAGGGGGGCTGAGCTCTGGAGCTGTGCAACGCTGCAGCTGCCATAATAGAAACAGACAGACCATCCATCCATCCATCCATCATTGCCGAGCCATCCAACAGCCACTCGAGATCGCCAGTCCCTGCACACACAACTCTCCAGCATCATCCTCTTTGTGTTGCAGTCCTCTTCGACTGTTCCGCCCCGGGCAAACAGACAGTCTCCAGGAAGCACCGTCTCCCGGCGAGGGTCTTCCCGGTACGACGGGGGCGGGCGGCGGGCTGGACAACGGCACGACAGAAGCTTCAACGCTCTTCCCGTCCCTCCAACACCCCAAAAATGGCAGCCGAGTTTCTCATCTGCCTCTTGAGTAGTAAGCAGGCTTCATCAGCATGAACACTAACGCCTGTGTCCACGAATCCGGATCAGCTGTCCGACGCGACTGGCAGCAAAACTCAAATCTCCAACACCGGCTCCTGCCAAGCAGCGACCACTGCGTATTCAGCTCACCGAAACCCAAAATATCGCAGTCTCTCTGATACTGCACCTCCAGGGTGTCTGTCACTCGCTGGCGGTGAAGCATATTATTGCTCTTGCAGCGTGTTTGCCTTTCCAAGGATGTTACTTAATCACAGGTCTTTCTCCTCGTTCCATTCTCGGTCTGGACTCGCAAGGGCTGAGCACCTTTCCCCCCGGGACGGTGAGATTGCGAGATATTCCGTCCCCTCCCATAAGAATTAACTCTCGTAACCACCATCTTCCTACACCTAAATAACACACTCTACTGCGTATATTTCCATTTACCCCTCTGCACATGCTCGGACGAAGACTCGCCTTCAAGCTTACACCGCGCAGTCAGCATCCCTCTCAAGCCAAACCCTTCCACAACCAACGCCCCTCTATCTGGTCCAACCTTGTGCCCCGAGGCAATGTCCACGAAGCTCCCGACAATTACGTATCCACTATTCCACACCTGGGGGAGTTGCTGATTCCCATGGTTAGCAGTCTCCCATTCTCCAATTCACTCTGTCCCACCACACACCACGGCCCTCGGTCACGTACGCGGTGTACGCGGCCGGCAGCAACCCCACCGCTCACCGGCCACTGGACCGCGACCCTGAGCCACCATCAGGGTCCAACATGGTTATCGTCATGATTATGCTGTTGGTTGGTTTCATCTCCCCGGTACATAAACACTTACAAAGCCCCGCCCCGCAGCGGGAAACGGTCTACAGTGATGCCCATGCCAGCGAGGTCCAACCAACGGGCCCTTGGTAATGCTTCCTTGGGCCGAACTGACTGCCAAGTGGCGGAGATGACAAAGAGACTCGGCCACGAAACACCATAATCCACTCCGTCTGACCAAAAAGTTTCACGAACATGGACACGGAGACTGGGGGAGTGACTGTGACTGAGCTGCGTCTTCTGCACACGAGGTTCCGACAAAGCGTAGGCTCACGGACCAGAGGCGACGGCATCGGGACCCGACCCCGCCAAAAGCCCGTCGCCTCCTCATCGCCTCCCCTCACCTCGCTCTTCTCCCGCGGAGACAAGCAAACGGAAGGGTCCAGGTGATCAGGAAGAACCGTCTCAACAACTGTTGATCGTATCTGGCAATCATTCAAGCTGTAAGGGTTGGCTTCGCCCCCAAAAAACTACGCTCGGTGCCGTCTCGGTCACGGTCGGCCAACCTTACATAAAAGGTAAGCCGCACGTACTCGGAGGAACAGAATAAGTTCACCGCCGACACAAACCGTAGCACTGCCAAGATCACGGATTGCTCCTGCCTGTCAAAAAGGCACGGCAAGACTCAATCTTCGTCTGATCATCTGCCAGAAATCGACCTGGCCCAGATTCCCATCCAGAATCCCACTGATGAAAACACTGTCCTCTTCCAACAAAACCCATTTCATCCTCTTTTGCCAGCGTGTAAGTGATGATGTGACATGTCCACTTCCTTTTCTCAGTGCGGCCTCAGCACCGCTGGATTTTGCATGCCCACGCTGCCAGGAACATGTGAGAAACATGTGAGAAATTCAAGGCGGCCAATGCTTACCCCCAAATTTCGGTTCATGAGCGCTTCACCCTCGCCAGAGTCGGAATCAGCACCACTATGAAATCATATCGATCCTCTTTGGCGGAGCGCATCTGTCCACCTTGAGGAACTGCCCACGGCCCCCGTTAATCATGACAAACCTCTGCCAAACAACGCAGCAAAGCCCCAAACTTGTACAGAGTACAGAATCACAAGTTCCGCCTCGAAAACCGTCACCGCACGCCCCAAAATCCTTCCAGTGTAAAACATGTCACCGTAAATCTTCCACTCGCTTCCGACTGTCCTCGCCCCGCGTGCCAGCAAACCCAAGCCGGCGCCCGCTCCCCGTCCGGAACTCCGGGGACGCGCTCCAGTTCGAGTCGAGTCTGTTCACCCGCGTGCGACCTGAAGTCCCAACAAACCCCTGCGGCAAGCCTTTTTCGAGGCAGTGATGGTGCGGCGTAGTACCAGACCACTTCTCTGCAACAGCGGTAAGCGAACAGAAAAAGAGCCCCCGTTTCACACGCTTCTTGGTCGCACGCGCTGTGTGTTTCTTTGTAGAAAAGAGCTCCACCCACCCGCAAGAGACGCTGTGATGCGTCTAAAAGAGCTGCCTAGCGTCACCCGCGGCGCCAATCTTGCCGCTTCTCTTGGGGGCAGACGCTGGTGACGCTGGGCAGGGGGGCTAGGCTGTAATTACGGCTTATCCCCACTCGACGTCAGCCTTGAGGACGAAACGGGCAGTGAGGTGCTTCAGCTACAGGCGGCAGGATAAGCTGTCAATATCTGTGGCAGATCATGGCGGCGGGAGGCGGACGGCAGCCGAGATGAGCATTGGCTAGGTTGCCGCAGTCGAGTGCGCCTAATCTGAGCGGCAGTGACGGGTGTCGCCCTTGATCGACCGCACGGGAAGGTATTTGTTTGCTGGCTAGTCTTGATGACGGCTACAGCGGTTGCCCGAGGGCCCGGTAGGATGCAGTCAGACGGCGTCGCATTCGCTGGTTCTCATTGACATTGTTCAATCGGGTTGTGTTCCTCTAGGGGATCTACTTTGGGGTCGATGGGGGAATCTCTATCGCCCGTTGCTTGACTTGAGCGATGCCATTGGTTATCGATTTTGCATGTCGTCAGTCGCTGGTCACGCACATAGGACTAACGGCGAAGCAGGTTTTTGAGCATGGATCGAGGCATGCTGGTGTCATTGTCAGAATCGAGATCTCCTGTGATACATTTAGGAATGGAGAAGTCAAGCGTACAAACAGATATCACCGAATGTCATCCAAGTTGATGCCTACGTAGATTCGATGGGCTGGTGATTGAAGACCTTCACCGGGTGAGTCGGAAGGAAGACTTGGCTTGGTACCAAGAGGCTCTAACAACAGTTCTTTCCAACTGCATGAATGTGACTGCATAGACAAAGACAGACCGGATACGCCTGATCCCGTTTGAACCAGATGGTCCTCAACTGAGGTGTTTGAGGTTCCAACGACTTGGCATGACGCTCGCCGGCGTATCTTACCAGGGACGGACTCGCTGTACGACCACGCACATAGGAACGCCCGCCTTAAACGGCCCACAAGCCTATGTTCACGCGCATTGTTGAAGCTATTGATCACGTTTGTTGAAGCGACATTGCCATCTACGGAGAGTGAGCGCGAGCGCGATAGCCGCCTGTATGCCGAGCGCGAGTCCAGAGGGTGTCTATATCCTGGGCTTCGTATCTCTACTCTATTGGCGATTTGAATGTCTGCAGCTTTGCTCAGTTCCAACAGCAACCCTGATCCAGTGTACATAGCCTTTCAAGTCTCCTTGCAGGGTCGTCTGGCATGCTCAAAATGGCCCCTTACGAGAGAGATGAGGATTCAGGAGTCTTTCTATTGCAGTTCCACTGGCAATTTCTGAACTGCAGAGTGAGTAGGTCTCATTCGGGAGTCATGCCAATTGCGGGAGCGGGACAAGTCTTCGGAAATTTGTGCTGTTCACTGCTGTCTTGATATCTCAAAGCCATGTGTAGTTCATCGTCACAAGCACTTTGGCGTGACTTTTCACCGTTGAGCACTGGAACAGCCAGCTTCATCATGATTGTTTTCCAGATAGATGTATGTAGTGGCGAAAAGATATGTTGTGTAGTTGTTCAGAATTTTTACCGTGAAGCTGCTCTGCTGCTTTTTGTCATCATTCCCATTGTAATTATCAATACATCATGCGCGATTTGGTGAAGCAGAGTCTCATCGGGTCACAACAGGGCCCAAGGTAAGTTTTGTTCCGGCATGCTCTGGGTAATTGGAAGGGTTCTCGTAGATCTTGCTTCCTTCTTTCAGGATCGAGTCCTACAAGTATGTGCTATCATGAGCTGCCCCCATCTACCAAGTACAAACTACATGAAGAACAGTTGTCCACTTGTTCTCTAACCCAATTTTCGAGCTCATCGTGAGAGCCTAGGAACACCCTCAACACATGACTGCTCCATGTATTTAAGACGGTACTTTCCAAGATACATTACTTAGTGACCGTACCTAGTCCCTCCGAACCACTCCAGACAGACTGAAGCTTCAAGAACTGAGCCTGGCCAGATGTACTCCTAGAGACCGGGCTGGATTCGGTGCTTGCGTGCCCATGACACCCACGTAGCCCATCCATGTCAAGATGAGCCAGTTCAGCAAGGCGGCTTTCTCCATGTCAATGACCGCCAAGTTCATTAAATCAGACCATCGAATGCACCTTGTGCGAACGGGATTAGCAAGTTGCGCATGGAACCAACATTACAGCACAAGGATGGATCTATGCACGTAGGAGGATGCCATACAAATTCTCCAGCCCGTCGCCATCGTTCTTCGAGGCGGATTGTACGAAGATTCTCGGTCATGTAACGGCGCATACGGCGGAGTATCGCCATCGGTCTGGTTCATGCACGAAAGCACCCGCACATCGAACAGATAGATATCAGGTTCGTTATCTCAGGGGACGTCAGGCAAGGCACACCACCGACCCCTGAACCAACACCCAACAGAGACAGCCCACAATCTTCACCAACACGAACTACGCGGCTGAGCATGCGCTGCGGCCCCCAGGAACGGCCCGCTCGCCATGCATCTCGACATACGAACCATCTGTACAGCTCGTTGGTCCAGGGTCACATTGGGGGCGTTACCAAGACCAACCAACAGGCTTCGGCGGTTAACGACATCTCACCCTGCAAGGCACACTCTAGCATACGATGAAGGTTCATTGTATTAATCCAAGATGATCATGCTATTCAAACGCCAAGTCTACACATCCCAACCAACTCCCCTGAAGAAAAGTTCCTAAACGAAAGTCGAGAAATCCCAACCAACCTCACCCTGCCCATCTACTGCTCAACCCTCCCTTCAACCTTCCACGCGCTCCTCCTCAACCACTCCCCAAGCACCTTAATCACCTTCACCGCCTTCGCGTTCCCGTCCCGAATAGTCTCCTCATCCGACACCATGGCCCCCATCTCATGCATATCAAACGCGTGAATCACGTCCGGCACAAGCAACCACTTCACACTCCCCCTCTGATCCCTCACCTCCCACCCGAACCGCTCGTCCTCCGTCTCCAGCTCCTGCGTCTTGGCCACCTCCTTCCTCCCCACCACCGCCGCCGTCACGCTCTTCCCGCCCAGCTTGCACGCAAACTCCCACCCCTCCCAGGCAAGGTAATCCAGCTCCGCGCCCACCACGCACACATTGTCCGGGAAGTCCGCCCTGTCCGCGTACTTGGGCGAGAGCAGCGGGTCCTTCAGGTTCGCGCCGTACGGCACGTACGCCCAGTCGAACACGGGCGCGAACTCGAGCACGAAATCCCGCTGCTGCCCGCGGATCCCGGGTAACATGCCAATCTTGTACGGGCGGCGGTGGCGCTTCTTCTCGCAGGGCGTGACGAAGTCCACGGGCGGGTAGATCGGCATCACGGCCTTGGGCGCGGCCGTGGGGTGCTGCCGGACGCTCTTGAGCTGGCTCAGGCACAGCGACAGGTTACCGCCGGCGCTGAAGCCGCCGATGGCGATGCGGGATTTGTCGATGGGGAGCGAGTCGTCCTGCACGGCGGCGAGGTAGAGCGCCTCGAGGTCGTGGAGGCCGTTGGGCCAGGGCGCCCAGGGGGCTTTCCAGTAGTTGAGCGCGACGACGAGGGCGCCGTTGAGGTCGGCGAAGGTGCGGTTCCAGGCGTCGTCGTCGTCGGGCACGCCGATGGAGAAGCCGCCGCCGTGGATGGAGAAGAGCGTCGGCAGGGTCTGCGGGGATGTCTGGTCGTAGTCTGAGGGGAAGAAGATGCTATCCGTCGTCGTTGTGTCAGTGGGCTGCGCAATTACACGGCAGAAACAAAGGAAACGTACCGGATGAGGAGGTTCGGTCTGCAGGGGTACTGCTTCATCAGGTCCGGCCGCTGTGCCGCCGACTTTGGGAACCAATACGTCTTCCAGAACTCGAAACTGGCCCGCTGGTAGAACCAGGACTGCAGCCAGGACAGCTTCGTCCCGTACACGATGCGGTTCATGAGGGATGGCGCTTGGCGGTAGACTTGCTGGGGATGGCGGGAGTCGTCGTCGACATCCCCGTTCGTCTGCGCGATCATTTCGCCTTCCGCCATGGTTTTATAGGTTGCGCTGCTTCAGCTGCTTGGCAACGGCTTTTCCCCAGGTGTTTTGGCGGGAGGAGGTGGTCGCAGATGTCGACGAGACCGTGTGCTGCGATGTGAATAGGTTCTGGGACAAGGAGGGGAGGGCAGCTTCCTGTGTATGTGTATGTTGCATGCAGAATGCAGTGACAGGATGGTACTCGGACGATTCTGGGCATTCAGGATCCAGGAACAGGAGCGAAAGGGGTTTGCAGCTACCTATGTAAGGTAGTCTACGTGCGGACTCGGGGAGGTGGACGCTCCCGAGAGAGAAGCTGCTCGAAGGGACGGAGGTTAGCTAGTGATGCCAAAAACTTCAGACGTAGACGTAAGGCCAAAGACGACACGAACGAGAAGAGTCAGCCCACGCGAGGCTGTCCGCGTCATCGTGCGTTGAAGCAGGCAAAAGGGGGCTTTTTCTCTGCAGGTCGTCTCGTCTGGTTTCACGAGTGAAGCTCAGGGACGCGGGCAGAGGCAAGAGACCGAATTTCCGGACCGTATCGCCATCAATGACGGGCCCGGGACGCAGTTCTTTCGCAGTAAAACAGGCAGACAGCGAAAGAGAACAGACGGTTGACTCACGCGAAGATAGATGCCGGCGTAGAAGCCCAAGGCGATGACAGAGACGAGGCGGAGGATGATGTCGGCCAGTTTGTGCGACATCCACGACAGCAGAGAAGACGAGCGGACGGCTCCCGCACCCTCCCTCCCGTGCCTGATTCATCCTCGTTCCCCGTTTGCTTTCTTTTTTTCCCGCAGCGGCGTGTTATGGACAGGGAAGGGGGCTGGGTGGGATGGGGCCACGTTCATGCCGCTGCTGTCAAAACACCAGACGTGCGCATCTTGTTGGATGCATGTGCCTCTTCCTCCTCCTCCTACTCCTCCACTTAGTACTCTGTTGCGCCTGAGCGAGGTTGCCCCTCAGCCGGCAGCATCCCCGGCTTATCGCTTATCGGAGTCGGGAAACTAGGAGCCCCCATTGACTTCTATAACTTAGCTAGCAGCTCCAAGGTGTTTAGTCCAGGGGTCCTGTGGTGTCAAAGCTCCCCTGATTGGACCCTTCAAGCGCCCCGAGAGGATCAAACACGGCATTCAATGCTCACTCTCCCCATCCATATTTACGTTGAAGATGTCTGGAACCCCTCAATTGGAGTGTAATGTGGAAAGACTCAGCTGGAGAACCAGTTCGTTTGATGTCGTGAAGTTTGCCCGACTTTGAATAGCTACGACGGGCATCCCGGACTTTGCGTTTGCTCCGGCACAGTCCGGAGCTCCGGTCTGGCCTCGGGCCCAGCTCCGGCGGGGCAAGAACTAAGAACAAGTCGATCGAGACAAACGTATGAATGCAAGACATGACGGACGAGTGGAGTTTTTTTCCCCAAGGAGATATGATGAAAAACCAGCATGCAATGATTCACAACAAGAGCATTCAGGCACGCTCTGTAAATAAACTAACGAGCGATTTCAAGCGGATTGGTATAGAGGCAAAAGAGACAGTCTACCAACAAGGTAGCCCCTCACAGCTCTCCCCATGATTCGTTTCCAACGTGTTCTCCATTCATTCATATTCTACAACCATGCAGCGTAAACAAAACACATATAGTACAAGCAGACCCGTCTACCCACATGAATAAAGACATCTATTCATCTCACAGGCTCGACGGCTTCTGCACGACAACCTCCTCATCGTCATCCGCCTCCTCAATGCTCGTCCGCCGCACCGCCTCCACGGCCGCCTGCACAGGCTTCTCGTCCTCTCCGGCCACCGCCTCCTCGCCTTCCTTCTCGCTCTTCTCCTCCTTGCCGTCCTTGGCGCTGCCGAACGGCCACAGGCTCCCAAACGCCTTGCCTCCAGACCCAGGCGGGTGCACCGCAAGAGGCTTCAGGATCACGTTGTCGTCCCCGTCGGATCCCGGCGCCGGGTCAACTTCAGGCATGGCGAAGTCCCCAAACTCCTCATCGTCGTCGTCCACCTCGTCGTCCGAGTCGTCTTGCCCGTCGAATCGTTGATTGCCGCCCCGCCGCGATACCCCGCGCCACCATGATCCCCGGCCTGACGCACCCCACGCGCCAGTCACCGCCCCAGCCGCTCCAGAGCCGTGATTGCCGTCGTTATCGTCATCATCGCTGTCGGCATCTTCATCTTCCTCGTCGTCCGCGAACGGGTTCTTGAGTCGTTCCCCTTCATCCTCGCCCTTGTCGTCCTCGGCGTCCTCGTCGCCGTCCTCGCGAGATGCCGCTGCAGCGGCGTTGTTCTTCTGGTGCATGGCGAGCCGGGCTGCCAGCTGGAGGCGGGCTCTGGAAGGAGGAATGTTCAGCGGCGGCGGAGGAGGCGGCGGTGGCGGGATGGATGGCGGGTTAAGAGATGATGATGAGTTGTTCAATGGGTCGGTATAAGCCCGGAACTATTGAGCGACATTAGCTGGGCGGTCCTGGCAAGAAGGCGCACGCGAAATGATTCCCCGGATGCAAGTCATTGTCGTGAGCCCCAAAAGGTCGAGTGGATAAAAGTCCAACAGTTGTGCCTGGTATCCCAAGGAATCGACGCCGGTACGGACGGGGAACATGTAAAGCCTATACACTACTCGCCGCCCTCCCTGTCCATCATGAAAACGCGCCCCAACACCAACACCACCCGGGCTCTGACATGTCCTGCCTATTCCTCCAGTGTCTCATCCATATCGCTTCTGTTCAGTCTCCGTCTAAACCACGCCACGACATCCAGCGAGGGCCGAACCATACTCATTTCCTCATCTGGTTCCTCTCCGCCGCTCGTCTCGCCATCTCGATACACAATAACCGATTCGTCATCATCATCGTCCTCATTGCCCAAAAGCCCAAGTCCAATGCCATGGCCAGCGTAGACGTGATCCTCATGGAAAATGTGACCGCGAGGGGACCTTCTAACTTCATCTGCGTACTACGCATCTTTACTGTCTTTCTCCTCGTCCGAATCGGGGTTGTTGTCCAAGAGTGACTGCGTCCAGGGGTCCAACGCGGGAGTTTCCATCTCACGGAGCTCAGAGAGCATATTACTCACCTCATTGTTGACGTCGTCCTCGTTCTCTTCTTCACCTTCGTCTTCCTCGTCGCTAGAGCTGCCGAAACCAGACATGAGAGTACCCGAGCTAATGGCAAAGGGTCCGATTCCGTTGCCGCTGTTCTCCTGCAGGTCCATGTTGCCGTTGAGTCCGGCATCGGCCAGGGCGCTTGACCCGGTGTTTCCTCCAGAGTTGGAGAAGGATGAGCCGAGGCCAGAAAGGCCAACTGCGGCCAGTCCGTTGCCGGACATGCCGGCGCGGTTGCCAAGGGCCACCTCTGGTCGGACACCACCAAGAATGGCGTTATCACGCTCTCTGGTCTCCGCGAGGGCTCCTTCCACGTAGTTGATCCATCTAGGGTCCATCACCCGCTCGAGAACCGTCTCCGACAGCAGCTCAGGAGGGTGTCGTTCCGTAAACTTGACCACCTCCTCAGCGATCAGAGTCAGGTGACCCATGTAGCCCATGCGGGTCTTGATCTTGGCCTGGGACTCGTCGCTGGCGAGCTGGCCTTGGATTATGGCAGAAGTGATGTCTGCGGCCTCGAACAATGATACGGCCAGCGTAGGGTTGAAGCCCCTGTCCATCGGGCCATTGAAGACTTGTTGAACGATATCATACACCACGTTGTGGAGAAAGTTGTTCCACGGGTAGGCGAAGAAAAATGACTGCTTCCGTTAGCTCGATTCTGATGCGTTTCTGGGGCTCTTTGACTTACTAGAATGGTGGGCACAACGCGATACTCTACAAATTGTTGCTTGAGGTAGTCGCCGACTACCGGCTTCACAGTGCCGGGGTCGGGCCGCTCAGGGACGGCAGGCGGCTGGTCTGAGTCTGCTCCCGGGGGTGCTGGCGCTGCGGGTGCCTCTGGGGCCGGAGGAGCCATCGGAACTTCCGGGCCAGGAGCAGCTTCTGACTCGGCCTCCTTGTCCTCCGCTTTGGCAGGAGAAGACTTGGCAAAGAGCGGCGCAGGCATATCTTCCGGTCGGGGAGAGATCGGGGGTTCGGTTGCCGCCGGCGCTGTCTCAGCCGGCTCGGTCTTGGCCTCCGACTCGGTCGCGCTGGGGGTGTAGACGACAGAGGAGTCAGACTCGTCACCCTTCTGGCTAGAATCTTCTGAGACAGAGCTTTGGTTGGCCTTCTCATCCAAAGACATTTCTCCAACCTTGGAGATCGTCACGTCTTCCACAGTCTTTTCCGAAACGTCCTCCTTGGGCTCATCCTTGGTCTCCACCGGCTTTTGCTCCTCGGCGGCGGGTTCCTCAGCCTTGACTTCGGTCTCCGTCGGCTTCTCTCCCTCGGTCTTGGTTTCCGTGGCAGCAGGGCTCTCCTCGCCGAGGGGGGCCTTGTTCTTGCTGGGTGAGAGCGGCGCAACAACCAGGTCGGGGTCATCAAATCCCTGCTCCTTAATCTTGTCGTCTGCCACGTTAAGCCTAGGGGAGCTCAGGGGTTCGTCCACGAAATCGTCTTCGTCTCTGTCCAAGAAGGATGACGCCGGAGCAGCAACAGGAATCTCCTCCTCGGCCTTGACGAATTCGTGGGAAGTATCCTCGTTCATTTCGCGGCTGGGCTCGACCTCCTCGAAGCCGTCGTCGTCTGAGATGTTGGTCACTTCCAGTCGGCGACCTTCCTCGGGAGATGAGTGGCCGATGCGCATGGTCAGGTCGTCGGTGGACTGGGCCTCCTCGCCCCGGTTAGGGGAGAGCTTGCCTTCCGTCCTCAGTCGCTGACGCTCGGCGTCCCGTATCGCGATAACGTCCTCGGAGCCAACCTCATTGAGCAAGCCCATATTACTGCAGTGCAGCAACTCGGCCATCAACTCGCAGGTCTTGAATCGGTCGAAGCCGAGAGGCTCTATCTTCTCGCCAAAGGTGGATTCCAAGCGATCCCTGTGAGCGGGTGCGTTCATGATCAGGTTGACAAAGTCGGGAACGTGTTGCGCAAACAGGCGCAGGAGAGTTCCCAGGTAGATGGGGTCTCTGCTCGAAGGCATGGAGCTGGATTCGGTGCCGACATCGGGGTCGTAATCCGAGTTGTTCTTGCGGATCACCTCAATGACGATGCCCACACCAACCGTCAACGGGTTTCCGCCTCCTAGCATGTACTTGATGAGTTGCTCGACACAAGGCTGCGACACCAGCTGCCGCGTAAGCTCGTTGGGGCCGATGCACTGCTGCTCGTTTTGTGACGCGTTGGCGGAAATGGTGATGATTGCCTTGATGAAATCGCCGGCCGCTGTCTGAACAACCCAGCTGTGTTCGGGGCTCAGGCAGGTAAGCAGGGTAGGCACGACGTCCTGGGAGTACAGCCACTGTTCGGAGCATCGTTAGTGTCAGGTCCCTCCTGGTGGCCGCCAGGAACACTCACCTCGACAACACCCTGGCCGCCTTCGGTGCGGTCCAGGGCAATAATCTTCAACAGTAGGTCCATAATCATGGGGCATTCGACGTGGCGCAGCAGATCTGACACGGCATCCGGAAGGGACTTGAGCAAAATGACCATTTCTTCCGTCTTCTTGTCGAACAGGGCCTCGTTGACCTTTGTGAAATAGCTGGCCTGGAGAGGGTCCAGCGGGGTAGGGCGCTTCAAGAATTGCCAGAACTCGCGAATCAAGGGCTGGTTTTCCATCAAGGCCTCGTAGATGGACCAGGTGTCGGAGGAAAGCACCTCGGCAGCGACGTAGGCATAGCGATTGCGCTTCTTCTCTTGCTCCTCTTCTTCATTGTCGGTGTCTGTGGCGCGCGAGGAGGCGCGGGGTCTTGAGAAGGGGAGCAGGCGGCCCTTGCCTTTGGACTCGTCGGCGGGGGCTTCTTTGGGTTCTTCGGTGTCGGCCGGGGTGGCGACGGGCTCTAGTTTCGGGGCAACGACATATTCGAGCAGGGTCTTGAGGACGTTGTCCTCTCGGAGGTATTCGATAAGCTTTGTGTTGTGCTGCTTAAGCTCCTGGATGAGATCGCTCTCGTCGAGCAGGTCTTCGACGGTGAAGTCGGGCTTCTCGAGGATGGTATCGATGGTGGAGATGTTGGCGTAGCCGCCAAATCGCCAGAACATTTTGGCGGATTTTGTAGACGGCCTATGTCACGGCGCCGGAGGGATCGCGGCGACGATGGACACGGAGCGGAAGCAGAGTTAGGTGGTGGGCAATGCGGCGGTTGTGCATGCGAAAGTCGGTCGACTGTCCGGGCAGGCAAAGGCTGGTTCGTAGGTGGGTGGTTGAAGGGGTGACTCGAATCGAAGGAGGGACAGATGCAGTCTATGCCAGTCTTTCAATGCATGCGAAGCTCGTCAGGGTATATCGGTCGCTTGGAGTAACTGGTAAGCTGAGGGCGGCAGCGAGATTAGCGACGTGGTCAAGCGGAAGGTGTGGTGTCAGCCGGATGCAGCAAGGACGAGGGCTGAGGTGAGGAACTGAGGTGGTGAATTGTGATGTCGCCGGCGGAGTGGAGGGGCCGGCGCATCGGGGTCGGAAAAAGAGGAGCTGATTGATTGATAATGGAGGGGGAAGAAAAGGTGCGGGAAATTTGAGGGTGCAGCACAGAGCAGCAACAGTACGGCGGCACAGCAGCCACAGCTGGGTGCAGTCGTCTTTTTTTTCCGGTGAGATGGTGATGGGGAAGATGGTGATGCTCGTCCAAGGTGTCGCCCACGATAGTGCGAGTGCAGGAGAGAGAGATAGACGGAGGAAGCGAGAGAGAGTACGCGCGCACACTGCCTCTTCGCAGCTGCAGCAGGAAGCAAGCAGGGCAGCGAGCGAGCGAGCGAGGCGAAGCAGAGAGGCAGCGAGTGGTCGGGGAGAGGCAGAAGACGGGACGGGACAAGGGTTCGCACGTACAAAAGTGGAAAAGGCGTCCAGTCCAGTCGGGTGTTGTACAGCGGGCGGCGGCGGACCACGGTATTCGATAAAGGAGAGATGGAGAGGACGGGCTGATGCCGGAGCCGTCGTCGCTCTTGAGGTTGGTGGCGACCGTTTCGTGCTGCGATTGCGGTCGTTGTTGTCGACGTTGTCGCTGTCGTGGTCGTCGTCGGGTGCGTGGAAGAGGTAGAGGTGGTGGTGGTGGTGTTCGGGAAGAAGAGGTGGATTGGGAAATCGCCGTATCCGTAGGTAGGTAGGTACCAGGCTGGGTAGGGTTAAGTGGGAACCCGATGTCGTCGAGGTCCAGGTTGACCTGAACTTGCGCAGCGGCGGATTTGAGGAAGGTACCTTGCCAAGGCTTAGGTACCTAAGGTACCTCCTAGAGGTAGGTAAGGCCCTTCCATTATTTGCTGGTATCCGATGTGCCCCTAGGGGTTCGAGTCGCTGGGTCAGGCGAGGCCAGCGCTGTCGCTTTGAAAGTACCTTTCCTCCTCCCGTCAGTTTTCCCGACGGCATGTGCAGCACTGGACCTTGATTTCGGGCTGAGCTGGAGCGACGGGGGCCCTTAGGTACGGTCCACGGTGTACCTTAAGGACCTGAGTGAGGGGCATCCATCGGGTGTAGATTGGGTTGCTTCCCGCCGCCTTCTAGCCTCCCTCTTGTCAGGCCGCTGTAGCCCTTAAGCGAGCACGCGATGGCGAGTGCAAGTATCGCATCACCACTTTTGTGTGTGCAGGTACATCCACAGCTGAGGTAAGCCCCGGCAAAGTACCAGCACCAGCACCCGCACCTGGCTAATCGTCGAGGACTCAGATAAGGTCGAGAGAGAAGCCCCGATCGCAGACAACAAAAGAAAATAACAAAAGCAATGGTGAGACCAGACGGCTGCTTCGGCCTGCTCTAGGTCTGACCTGACTGCCTTGTTTTTGACGCTGTCTTCTCTGCGTCTTCTTCTGCTTCTGTCACATTCAACTGCGTCCTCGACTCGTTCGGGTGGATGAGGGGCTCACAGAGTAAGAGTCCCCCCCAAAATCCATGTGAATGCCCTCAGCTGCAAATCTGTCCAATGCCGTCCCGTCCCATTTCCCATCCATGGCCACGGTCGAGATTTTCAGCATGCCCCTCCTTTGCCCTCCTTCCTCCCACTGCTGACCCCTCCAGGCTGAGGTGCCCGAGGGATAAAAAATTGGGACAAGTGGGCGCCCGAGATCCACGTCCACTTGCAACTCAATTGGTGCCCTGGCCTGGATGCCCTTTTTCGCTATCTGCCTGCTCCAGTCCAGTCCCATCCTCGTTGTGTGCGTCTGTTGAGCAAGGGTTTTGTTGAGCGAGTCCAGACGAGGATAGGACCCCTACTGACGGCAATTGTTCTTGCTACATTCAACTGTAACTGTCCGTAAGGCACTTTGGACATCTTCTGTGGTGGTTTGGGCCACTTTCCGCTAATGCTGCCAGACCGATGCTCCCACAAGTACCTTTCCCACCAAATCACCATTGCTGTTGTGCAGCACCCGGGTCATGGTACAAGCTCACTAACACCATGACATATCGCCCCCATCACCAACGTCGTCTGCCAGCATCCTCAATCAAGCCTGCACACGACCCTTGGGGAAAAGGGACATCAAAGAGAATTAAGAATCCGTCAGCGTTTCTTATTCCGAGCTGTACCATCCTCCCCCGGCACCATCTCAGGGGCTGCTTGTTCATCTCATGTCTCTCCCCGAATCTTATTCCCCTGCCCGAGTCCTCCATCATTCCAACCCGCCATCATCATGTGTTCACAAGCCACGCTGCCTTGCTGCCGCTGGCATGTGAGCCATTTCCCCATTTTGACTTCCCCCTCGACATGCACAACACCTTGAACACGTAGGAAAACAGAGACAGCCACCCGCGTCTTCCCACTGCGCTGCTCGTCCCGTCGTCCACCGTCACGCCTCTCATCCCACATCAGGGCCAAATCAGCAGTCTGCCGGCCGTCGTCTCTTCTGCAGCCCCCGGCTTGCCACGTTGCTCAACCTCCCTGCAGAACACACCTCCCACTCCCACGTTGTCTGGTCACAAGCCAGCTTGGAGACGGCTGGTCGGCTACCTACCCCCCGATCCAGCGATCCAGCGCCTGGCCTGGACCGTTCAAGTCAGATCTTCCCCCCCGTGGGCTCCCCAAACAGAGTTTCCCCCCCGTGCCGCACGTCACCCGCCTAATATTTCCTCCGACGGGCGGTGGCCCAAGCGACCCGTGGTCCGCCATACCGTGGCTGCCCGCCCGCCTCTAAAAATAACGTGCAAGCGCTCGCGGAGGCCATTAAAGCGACATTCACCTCGCGTTCTGGGAGAATCAGGATGAGCCTCTGCCGTTCAAATTCACCAAGGCGTGGCCGCAAGTTGTGAAGAGTGCGGTTTTTGGACATCTCGATCGATGTGCTTCTTCCGTCATGACCACTGGCCCACGGCGCCTCAGCCTGCTTTGCTGCAGGTAAGCTCGCCGTTGTAACGAGATGCAAATATGCGTAACGTTCGACGATCAGGATACTGGAATAGTAATTTTTCGATATTCGGAAGCATAACACTGCCCGAACATGCAGCAATATCACAACACCTCGGGTATTGGCCCATTCGCCCGATCATGTCCTTTGACGTGGGTACTTAGGTGTAAGTTGTTGTGCAAGTTACACTCGCCTGTAACCCGACCTGACCTCTCACCCAACTCATGGCATAGCTGCGATATCATGGATGCATTATCTCGGGTTTTGCTAGTGGGAAACAAGGAAGTTCAGAGACGTTCGGCCCTTGGAATATATGGAGTTCCGGCGCCCTCGACCTCACTCGGGGTTTGGCCTAACTCCTAACATCAATATAAGCGGCATCCCATTTGTCAGCTCGCATTTGCCATGGACTTCCACGGTGCATGGTGATCCAAGGTAACACAAGCCTACCTGTGGCCAATGGTTCTTTAAAGAAGATACTCGTAAAATTGAAACGCACACTCTACGCAGTAAGCAAACCATTGCAACGGCACATTTCAACCTCCCCGCGAAGAGATATGCTTGTTCAGGTCAGGAAATCGCGCCAACTTCGGACGGCCTGGTGTCATGTCCCAATACGTCATAGCCGGCATATGGATTTCTCTCCCCCCTTTCAGAAACGCCGTCTACGCAGGAAAGCTATTGTTTGTAATCCAGTCGGGCTAACTAAAACCTCTCGTCCATTCTTTTGACCCCATTTCGGCGCGTTGGATGGATTTCAAAGCTCCACCGTGTGCACCAAGCTGCTCTGCCAGTCTGATGTGCGGTTCATTGACCGTCCGTTCGGCCTGCTCCATTGAGTTTTGGGTTCGGCTTGGAGCCATGGGTTGAAACAGATAAATAGTTGACCTCGTCCTGCGTTGGAATCTGTCATTGAATACCAAGTCATCATCACACAAACAAATCTAGCATTCACACGCTTGATACCAGCTACCTACCTTCAACCTTGCTGGCATCAACTTGTCTCAACCTTAACTTCAATCACAATGGCCAAGCTCAACGCTCTCCCGCAAGGCTCCACGGTCCTCGTCACCGGTGCCAACGGCTACATCGGCTCTCACATCGCCAACACCATCCTCGAACAGGGCTACCGCGTCCGCGGCACCGTTCGCTCCCCCAAACCATGGCTCGATGAGCTCTTCCAGAGCAAGTACGGCAAGGACAAGTACGAGTCCATCACCCTCTCCAACTTTGAGGATGAGGATGCCCTCGCCAAAGCTTTCGACGGCGTCTCCGCCGTTGCTCATGTCGTAAGTACAGAGAGGTCTTAAGCTACGTAGACAAGTCTGACAAGTAAACAAGGCATCCGATGTGAGCTTCAGCAAAGACCCCAACGCAGTCATCCCCTGGGTCGTCAGGGCCACCGAGACCGTTCTCGCGGCCGCAGCCAAGTTCCCCGCCATCAAGCGCGTCGTCCTCACCTCGTCTTCCTCGGCAGTGATCATTCCGGAGACTAACAAGGCCGGTGTCCGTGTTGACGAAAGTATGTTACAAGACACACCTACCATTGTCCGTTTTCCTAACATGCTGTAGACACCTGGAACGACTCCGCAGTCAAGTCGGCCTGGGACCCCAACCTGGCTGAAGACAAGAAGCCGTACTACATCTACGCCGCCTCCAAGACCGAGGGCGAGCGGGCGGCATGGAAATGGGTCGAGAAGAACAAGCCCGGCTACGTCTTCAGCACCGTCCTGCCCAACTGCAATGTATGAAACCCCCTTTGGTCGCTGAAGCCCGCGCACTAACAAACCTCAGTGGGGAGAGATCCTCCACCCCGAGATCTACGGCTCGACGATGGGCTGGGTCCGTGACGTCCTCAAGGGCGACCACAAAGCCTTTGCGCTGTACGTCCCGCAGTACTTCGTCGACGTCGTCGACACGGCTCGCCTTCATGCCATCGCGCTCCTCGGCGACAACATCGAGTCGCAGAGGATCTTCGGCTTCGCGGAGGAGGTGAACAGGTCCGACGTCTTCAAGACGCTGCGTGCGCTGAGGCCGGATAATGAGAACATCCCGGAGCCGGACGAGAACGAGGGGCATGACCTGACGGAGGTCGTGCCGGCGAAGAAGGCGGAGCAGCTGTTGAAGGACTACAACGGACGGGGATGGACTGGGTACAAGGAGAGTTTGGAAGCTGGAATCAGGGGAGTGTAGATGAATCTTGCGATGCGCGACGGGCATGAGAATGTTGTACATGTTGTAAGTTCGTTGTGTTGGCCAAATTAGCGTGCTTAGAGGATGTTATTTGAACTTACAACAAAGGGCTCTTTGAATTGTGGTCCAGTATTGTTTTCTGTGAAGCATTGAGACCAAAATAATGTCTGACACATTCATGGGAACTCCTTGAGTAAGAGTTCCATGAGCAAACCTGAGCGGACCTACTCCGGCAGCAGGATTCATCAACCGTAGTCTCATCATGATATGTATCACCATTATGTACCGAGGCACAATCCTCCACGTTTTGTAGCAACCAGCAAGGTCCCCGAACTTCCCCATGTCATAGCGTCTGTGGCGCTGAATCTGATAAGGCAAGTGACATTCCAGCTTTGATCTTCGACGTACTCGCCCAAATAAAAATTGAAACAATATCCAGGAGCTTGGCATCAAACATAGAAGAGCTCTTTTCCTAAGAGAGCCACTTTTCTTCTCATTACCCAGTATAAAATGGCCGAGTCAGCGCAAAACAAGAGTCTGGGCCCAGAAGCACTCGAAAGTCACGATGAGGACCAGCGCTTTGCCAACCGATTCAACCAAGCTTTGAGAGAGTACGTCGACATGAGACATCATCGAGGGCATTGCTGATAGCTTTCAGCTTCAATCATACCGTACCGCTTTCGCTGCTCGCCTGGAATGTTACGATGATTGCGGGCTTCGACAGAGTAGATGCCAACTGGCACGCTCTGATGGCCTTTGGCTTCTTGGTGCTTCTCAGGGTCATTGTCGGTGACCTAGGGCAGTGGCTCACAAGTCTAAGAAGGAACTTTTGGACATGGTTGACAGGAGGGAGAGTCTTCAATCTTTCTTCGATTGAGGAGAAGGTCTTGGAGTGATGAAATCTCAGTTCATCATCACCAGTTGCTTGTTGAGTTGAACTATCAGGGTAGTCGCGGAAAGATACGTTCCATACACGTCACGTGGAGATTAGATAAGGAGACCCACCAAGTAGTAGCTCCAGTGTCGGTGCCTTTGAATGATGCACTTCCAAAAAAGTACCCTGGCTTGAATCCAAACATTTGGCCTCCTCGACTTCGCGCCGCCGCCTGCGCATCTACACAGCATGGCCAGTTTTCCAACATTCGACCCCTCCCGCTTGACGAAGAAGGCCGCCGCGCACTACTCGTCCGAATCAGAAGAGGACGACGATGACTTCCTCGCGCCGGTCGCCGATCCGTCGCAAGATGACTTCAGCGACCTCAACCCGCGCAAGCGCCGGCGCGTTGGCGATACGAAAGAGCGCGCTGCGCTAGGCATATTCGCGTCAGATAGCGAAGATGATGGACCTGGTCGGAGATGGAAGAAGAAGAGCCTGAGGGACAAGGGCATGAGCTTTGTCTCGACAGGCGCGACAACACTCGACGAAGACGATGACGACGCGAACGATGCGAATGCCAAGGAGTACTCCGACGATGACGAAGATGACAACGAGGATGACGACGATGAAGGAACTGGAGGTGTTGGCCTCGGATTCGGTGGAGCACAGCGAGGCTTGGGCTTCATGTCTGCCTCGAAAAAGGACAGCGACGACGAGGAAGCAGCACCGGCACGTTCCTTTGCAAAAACGAGATTTGACGGCAAGAACCCACTCGGCAGAGGCTTCGTACCATCATCTGCGAACGTACCAGTCTTGAACCCCGACGTCGCCGATACACCCTCGATGCCCAAGATGGCTCGGCCAAGCGCTTTCGGCGCGAACGGGGCCAAGGGCAAACCCAATCCCAAGTCCTTTGGCGCCAGGATGATGGCCAAGATGGGTTACAAGGAGGGCGAGGGTCTCGGAGCGGACGGGAAAGGTCGCAGCGTTATCATCGAGGCGCACCTCCGACCGCAGGGTGTTGGTTTGGGTGCGGTCAAGGAAAAGTCAGAACACGAACGCAAGGAGGAGAAGCGGCAAGCGAAGCTTCGTGGAGAGACCGTCATCGACTCGGACGAGGAGGAAAAGAAGAGGAAGCGGGAGAGGAAGAAGAAGGTTGCAAGTGCAGGCGACAGCAGTGCCAGCACGCCGAAGCGGCAGAAGCCAAAGTACATGACAGCCGAGGAGCTCAGGAAATCCGCCCCTGGACTGCACATCCCTGAGGCCTTTGCGCCCATATTGGACATGACGGGACCTGGCAACAAACTCCTCACTACCTCCTCTGGACTGTTGACGCCGACGTCTGCGGCTGTGGTAGAATCTCCCGAGGTGGCGGCAGCACGGAAGCTGGTCAAGCGGGCACACGCAGACCTGGCGGCCTTTTCAGAAGAATGGAGGAACCTTGAAGAACGAAAAACATGGGTGGACTTGGAACTGCGGGAGCGGGAACAGGAAATGGCCGACCTCGCTTCAGACTTGGGCAGGCTTCAGCTATTCTCAAACATTGTCACCAACGAACTTCCAGCAGCCACGGAATGGTCGGATGTCATCCGGTGCCTCAACAAGGCAGTTGAGCAAATTGGGTCGACGACAGGAGAGATTGCAGATCTCGCCGTGGCCGCCATACATCCCTTCCTCCGCGACCCCGATTGGGACTTGCTCGAGGAGCCCACACGGTTTGCTATAGAGCTGAAGGGCCTGGAATCGCTGCTCAAAAAGGCGGGCGAGGGCGACAAGAGCGTGGACAAATGGGACTCGACGGGCCTGAGCAGCACTGACCTCTACCGCCAACACCAAAAGGCGACGACGCCGTACGAGAGCATGATGTACAAGCTGTGGTACACAAGAGCCATGTCAGCCATCCGCGACTGGGACGTCTTCAACCCGACGCCTCTCCTGGCCGTCCTAGAGGCATGGAACGACCTGCTGCCCCCCTTTGTGCGCGCCCAGTTCCTCGACGGCGTCGTCCGCAAACTGGAAACAGCCGTGGCGGAATGGAACCCGAAGAAGAAGCGACAGAGCCACAAGCTCCCGCACCTCTGGCTGTTCCCCTGGCTCCAGTACCTCCCCTCGTACCACCTGGACTCCAAGGCCACCGGGCTAGTCGCGGAGGTTCGGAGAAAGTACAGGCAGCTCATTGACGTGTGGGAGTTTGATCGCGGCGTGATCCCGGGCCTGGAAAAATGGCGCGAGGTCCTCGGCGACCAATGGCGGCTGCTCATCATGGGCCATGTGCTGCCGGCGATGGGCCGGTACCTGCGCAAGAACTTCAGGATCGATCCGAGCGACCAGGAGCCCTACCTGCCCATGCTCGAGGGCGTGCTCAAGTGGTCTGACATCCTGACGCCAAAGGTGCTGGGCGAGGTGATTGTCGCTGAGGTGCTTCCTTTGTGGCACGACAAGTTGAGTGAGTGGCTCGGGCTGGAGGAGGCCAGCTTCGAAGAGATTGCTGCGTGGCTTGAGTGGTGGAGGGACAGTGTGTTCCCCGAGAACATTAAGAACCTCAAGTCGGTTCAGGCAGAGTTCAACAAGGGCTTCGCCACCATCGAGAAGGCGTTGGAGAGTATGCTTTAAGCGGGATTCGGAGGCTAGGAGCATGTCAAGATTTAGACACTTAATTACCCCATACCCTTCCCTGGTATCAGGTCGAAGCTGTTCAATAGTAGGCTTCACAAGCAAAGCCAGATTCACTGCCGTTGCAAAGTCGTCCCCTCTTCTTGCCATTCGCGCAGCAAAAGCGCAGAAACCTGCCCTGTTTGCAATATGCGATACCAGTCAGAAACTCCAACAGCTGAGACTTGGACAACGGAAGATGCCGTCCATTGTGGTATTCCCAGACGGCGATAATACCCAGCTCGGACTTGGTCGACCTGTCATATATGCCATCCCAGCTCTCCTTCGGCCGGACGGACGGACATTTCCCCCAACCAGATACGTTGCGACAGACCCTTGGCCGGGGCCAGCTTAGGGTTCTCAAGTTGTGCCATTAGCTAACAGAAAATAGCCCTGCTCCAAGCTCTTGATACCAAGCTTTTTGGGAAACAGGATTGCGGGTCGCAGGCGTTGTGGGAATGGAGCTTGGAAGTTGCAAAGCCAAGCCGCAATAAGCAGCGGAGCATAAAACATGGAGATTGGGAGAGACAGGCACACACACGACAATCCGAGCGCTTGCTGGGGTTTGACGGAAGAAGAGATTTCTTGGGTTGCTTGACGGGAAGTTCCCTGCGGCAGTTGAGGTTCGGGAGGTTCCTTGGCGGTGTGACACGCGAGCGTGATCGCCGGAAAGGGGGCAGAAACACCGTGACGGCGAGGAGGAGTTCGCGATCATTGGACGATGGAGGCGTATTCCTGGAGCAGCCTGTTGCATTAGGTTATTCAAGGATAATTCTAAGCTTAACCTGGGCCGTTCAATGAGCATTCGAGAAGGCGAGCCAAAGACGCGCGAGCCTATGGGCTTGCTTCCACATGGCCCAGCGGCCGCTTTCCCTTTCCCTCTTCCATGTCAACCGTGACACCGTTGAAGGCAGCCAAGATGCCAGCGCCTCGTCTGAAGCAATGGCGCAAAGTGGCAGTTTGAGCCCCTGAAACTGGACGAACACCTCCCCCGTCAACGTAGATCTTGCCAACCAATGAAATGCGCTTATGTAAACACCAAGAAGAAGTGCCAAAGAAGTTTAAAGCAAAAAAGGTTCGGGAAGTGGGAGCCTCATCCCTTTTATGATCCCTGCCCTCAGGTCTTCTTCTCTTCACCCCTGTTTCTCACCATGTCTTCAGCTCTTCCTTCGTGCTCCTGTGCCTTTCGAGCCCACGTCACCACTTTGAAACAACCACAGCCGTGAAACCTGGGGGGGCCAAAGTTGAAGAGGAAGAAAAGAATATTCGGACGAGCCCCAGAGCGCGCCCTCCCCAATCACAATGCTCAGTTTAGCGTAGCTGTCATAGACACCGCCTACCAACGTCCGATTTCCGACTGTTGTGGCCCCCTACGAGATCTCTCTCCGCACGGCAGCACGATGCTCCGGGCTCGTTGTGGCCCCATTGGATCCGCCTGCCACGACGAAGACGGTGGAGAGCTGTGCTTTGGGATACATTCCCGCGGGATTTGGGGGCCGTGATGATAAGATCGAGAAGGCTTCTTCGCAATGCGGAGGGTCCACTGCGGTGACCTGGAACAGAGACACAAGGAAACAAGCCGATTCTCCGATGCCATGAAGTTATTTCTGGGTCACTTGTGTGGCGTTCAAGTGGAATGCCTGGCGATCGGACCGTGATATGATCTGACTGATGATGTCCGGTGGACGTTTCTCTACCGGATGATCAGGAACCAAGACGCAGGAAGACTTGTCCGGCCCCCAATGGCAGGGCAAAGACCAGCGGTAAACTGCACTCGGCCATCACGAATGTGACCGTCTGATTCAAGTGCAGACATATGGCTGCGCTTTCTAAAGACACAAGAGCGGCCCCGAGGTTGAAAAAGCACCCCGATGCTCCTCCTCCTACGCGCTCACTCCCACCGCTGGCCATCGCCAAGGTAACACCAACGCAAGGCGAAGCAAACATCCGGTCGATGTTACTTGCCACCTGAGTCCAACTGAACCCCGGCCATCATCCATCAACAACGCCGCGGACCTGTCATCTGTAGTTCAGACCATCTTCACGGCTCCACCAGCACAGGCCCCTACAACCTTGTGCGGCACTTGGCATCGTCTCATCACGTTCCCAAAACAGGGGAGCAGGGCCACCGCCAACCAGGGACGGACTAACCACCCCGAATAGCCTCACGGGCGTCTTTACACTCACAATTTCGCTTGCTTCTCTTCCAACGTCACGTCACGCCTGGCGCTGTGGTTGCGCTTGTGGCTTTCCCCAGACCGCCACGGCACTTCCCACCACACCCCTCCTCGGGCGGCCACATGGGCTCCCTCGATTCTTGACACCGGCCAGGAGCCGCCATCATCCCCCCCGGTCTACAACCACCTCATCAACGTCTCAAATACGGTTAATCACTAGCGTGAGGCTGTCGCTGCACGCTGTCAAGGATGCCATGTTTGGGCCTGCACCGCCAAGTTGGCGCTAGCTCCCCTACATCCCCGGTCGTGAACAGCTGAGATGCTTTGCATACATATTAGTACATATCAATGTCATCCCGTCTCCCGCGCGTCTCCGGTAGCCGGTCGGATGAAGTTGGTCTTCTAGGGCTATCATCTCGATAGTGTTCTACAACCACCTTCGTGTTTGTGTGTTTTGTGTGCATTTTTGTTTCTCTTCTTTTCGGCCTTGACGGCACCTTTTCACACTCTTTGCCCAGGTGGCTTTACTGTCTAATCTTGCTCTCTATTCCAGAGGCAGGTCCCTGGCGTCTTATTCTAATAATCATGTCTGAACGATCGTGTCCCGTTTCGGGGTCCATTGGTGGTGGAAGATGTCCTGCAGGAAATCACGGGCAGTCTGCGAGCAGGAGAGTTGGTCCCCGGGGTTGCTCATTTTCGGGATACACGCAGCCTGGTGACCTACATGCAGCTTTCGACGTGAGTGAGGAGGAATAGGCGGTTCAAGGCCACATGGAGCTGACTCTGGCAGATCCCTCGAGGCGTCGATGTGGACGAGTGGCTTCGTGCCCGGGAGCGCAAGGCCATCAACGAGATTATTTACGCAGACATCCCCTCGGCGGAGACAATTACACAAGTCAAGAACGTCGACACGCTTGTAGCCGACGACAGAGACCTCTTGGCTGTGGCGCTGGGCGCACCAGCCCGCCAAGTCATCCTCCGAGCCGAGGGAATCGGGCATCAAACCGGGTGGAAGGACGGTTACCTCAGCGCCGAGTACGGCTTCCAGCCTCCCGACTCCAACGAGGCCGCCGGTGCTCTCGCCAACAGTCCGGGACGGGTTTGGTCCGACCTCTGCGAGCGCATGCCCGGTTGCGTTTCCAGAGGACGCGTCCGCGAGTCCGTCGCCGCGCTGCCTCTCGTCGAAGGAACGGAGGACAACATTCCCGACCAGGCATTGTGGGCAGCCATTGTTGCCCTGGGCATGCTGTGCTCCATCTACCGGTACGAAGACAAGAATGACGGATACGACGGGGTCAGCATCAACTCCATTTCAACAAAGCCCCGCGTTGAGATGAGCGACGACCTGGGGCCTGAGCTGGTTGGGATCCCGAGGACGATTGGACTTCCGTACTGGCAGGTTTCGAGACGCATGGGACGCGCCATCCCGCACTTGACGTTCTTCGACCAGGCCTCGTACAATATCAAAGTGCGGGATCCGACTTCGATCTACCCTTACATCGGCCGCTTCGATAATACAGACTTGCGATGGCCCATGTTTGGAGAGCGGACCGAGATTGCCTTTTTGAAAGGATGCGCTGACACGTCGGGTTAGTAGGAAATCGCGTTTTGAAAGACATACACAAGCTGACACTTCGATAGCATCCTTCCAGCATGGGCCTGATGCCATCGCAGCCTGCCAGGAACACGTCATGAACCGAAACAACGAAGGCCTCTTGCGAGAGATGATCAGACTCAAGGAGATCCTCGAACGAATGCCGAACGCCTTTCACTCCATCTCGACCAACCCGAACTCGGGCGACAACTACGTGTCTGCCGCCGAGTGGGTGCGATGGGGCAAGTTCTCCGCGCCCCTATCCAAGAGATGTCCGGCCGCTTCGGGCCTCCAGTTTCCCCCTTACCTCCTCATGGACGCCTTCCTCGGTCGCAAGAAGTACGATTCATTTCTGGGAAACGAAGGCCTGCACCTGAGAGCCTGGCTTCCCTCCAACCTGCGAGCGTTCATCGCCTCTGTCGAGTACCATTACCGCATCCCCGAATACGTCAAACAGTCTGGGGATCCCCGTCTCATGGGCGTGTTGGACGGCATCATCGAAGCTTACACGGGCGAACGTGGGTTCATGGGAACGCATCGGTACAAAGTATTTGGTATCCTGGAGGTAGCGTCCAAGACAGGCCGCACGGAGACGAACGGCGCGTCGGGTGCCTCTGACGACTCGGGAAGACCATGGGAGGAGGTCCATCGCCAGTTCTCGGATGCCATGAAGGAACGCTTGGAGCCATACCGCGGGAACATCCCCGTCGAACCCCACGAGATGCGCGGGACGTTCGAGGAGTGCCGCTACAAGTCACGCATCCTCACCCGTTCCTTTGTCGACTCAGACCACGAGCGGTCCATCGCCATGGTCACCCTCGACCTGCACAACACGGGCATCACCTTCCAGCCGGGTGACCGCCTCGCTATCATGCCCCTCAACAGCTGGGAGGAGTGCGCCAAGGTCGCCGCGGCTCTCGGCCTCGACTCGATGCTCGACGCGCCTGTCCTCCTCGACCGCAAGTGGTCCCGTTTCGCCGAGCATCTCGATACCGTCTCGAACCATGGAGTCGCCAGTCCTGCATCGCAAGTGAAGAAGTTGATGGTCAAGGACATTCTGCGTCGGGGCCACCTTGCCCCCTTGACCCAAGAACTCGTCCTCAAGATCCATGCCATGCTGAGGGCGTCATCCAACACCGTCCTCCAAGTGCTGGCAACAGACGAATGGCCAGTCCGTGGCTCCCTCGGTGACCTCCTCCAAGCCGCCGTGATGGATACACCGACGCACATCTGGGATCAAGCGTTCGACCTCTCCAACGACATCCCCTGGCTGAGCGATCTCATCCCCGTCGAAGTGCCCAGGACATACTCCATCTCCAACTATCCCGAGGAACTCCTCCCCAGCACCCTGGACCTCACCATCTCCCGCGCAGAATACAACCTCTGCGCCACCTTTGCCGGAAAGTCCACCATCACCCGCTCCGGCGTCAGCAGTGGCTACCTCAACCCTGCTGTCGGCTCACCGGACGACTTTGTGTCTGACGAGGACGAGCTCTTGGTCGGCATCTCGCGCCCCATCGCCTTCCAACTTCCCCTCGACGCCTCCGCGCCGTGTGCCTTCTTCGCCGGCGGCAGCGGCATCGCGCCGTTCCGAAGCTTCTGGCAGGCCCGCTGCGGCCGCTCCGTCGGACGCAACATGCTCTTCCTCGGCGTGCAGAACCGCGAAAAGTTCTGCTACGAGGACGAGCTGCGGCAGTACGTCAACGCCGGCTTCATGGAGGTCCACCTCGCCTTCTCCCGCGACAGCCGCGGCCTGGCGTACGACCCCTACATGCGGGACCTGGTCGAGCGCCGCACCGAGCCGCGGTACATTGACTCGCTCATCGCGGAGCAGGGCGCCAGCGTGTGTGATCTGGTCATGTCCAAGAAGCAGGGCGGGCTGGGCGGATACCTGTACATCTGTGGCTCGGTGGCCGTCTTCGACTCCGTTATGAGCGGTCTGCGCAAGGCCATCTACAACCACCGCACGGCGACGATGGAGTCGACGGACCTCATCATCAATACGGCCTTCGCCGAGCGCCGGATCATGCTGGACGTCTTCATGACGCCCAAGCCGCTGCCCTGCAACCGTCCCACGATCCCGCTCTCCCAGCTGGCCTCCCACACCGGCCACCGGCCCGGGGGACGGATGTGGATCAGCGTCCACGGGTCCGTCTACGACGTGACGGACTTCTGCCCGATGCACCCCGGCGGCACACTGATTATCAAATCGAACGCCGGCGTGGACTGCACCAAGTCGTTTGACAACCTGGCGCACACCAACAACCCCGAAGTCGCCAGCCTGCTCACCAAGTACTTTGTGGGCCATCTGACGCCCAAGCCGGAGTACCACGACGCCGAGGAGCTCAGCGGCCTCTATGACATGTGGTCCGCCTACCTCCGCACGACCGTCGAGACGCTCGTCTCCCAGCAGTTCGAGATGGACGACATCCTCGGCTCCTCGAAGCTCTGGTTCCAGGGCAGCCTCATCAACATGCTTGGCGTGCGCATCTTCTACCAGTACCAATCCCGCCTCCTCCAGGGTGGCTTCTCGGCGCTCTTCGGCCCCAAGTTCCAGGAACTCGTGCTGAAGCTCTCCTTCGCCATGGCCAACAACGCCGCGTCCCCAGGCGCAGACACCAAGCTCCCCGACATCCTCGGCATCATCGCCCGCGCCAAGACGTCGTCCGACGCCGTCGCCACGTCCAAGGAGGTCTCCCGCATCGGGCAGTTCATCTGCGACTCGGAGCCCGCGCGCTTCATGGAGCGCGGCATCATGGACTACGCCAACAAGTCCGTGCAGCTCGACATTGAGCTGCTCGAGGACATTCGCGAGGAGGCGTGCCACGGCATGGACGCCTTCGACACCATCATGAACCTCGACGCCGCGTCGGACGCCCAGCGCGTCACCGCCCTCTGCCAGTTCCTCATGCAAATCCTCGAGCGCATGGCGAAGCGGCTCGAGGTGTTCTACTCCAAGCTGGCGCAGTGCTCCATCTACCAGCCCGAGATCGAGCGCAACCCAGCGCGCACGCGGTGGAACCTCGTCCGGCGGCGCATCCGCGACGGGTCCTTTTTCGTCTTGTCCCAGAACGCCGTCGTCGGCGCCGCGCCGGGGTACAAGCCTGTCCAGGAGACGGTCGAGTTCGACAACGTCCTCTCGCAGATCCAGCAGACGATCCGCAACGCGCCGCAGGTGGCCGCACCCCTACCGCCGACGACGCAGACGATGCAGCTCAACGAGCGGCACAGGGTGCGCACCGAAGCCCCCGTCAACGGCGCGTCGGCGTTCGAGTCGCACCAGAATAGCAACGCGCTGAACCGCATGTCGACCTTCATCGACAAGAACATGCGCGCGATCCGGAGACTGAGTAAAATGCCGCCGATGCCGCTCAACATGTCCTTCGAGCAGGTGGTCGCCGCGAACCAGCCGCAGTTCCCCTCGCACGGCGTGACCACCCCGCCGTCGAGCCGCGGCTCGAGCCGGTCGCCTACGAGGGGACGGGCTCCGGGCCCCGCGAACGCGCTGCACATCCAAGGCTTCCCTCACGGGCGCGCGCCGTCGCGGGCCGAGGAGTCGATGGCCCGGATCCCGCTGAACCGACGCGGCACGAACGGGTCCGACGGCGGGCGGTCCATCTCCTCGCTGTCGTCGCAGCAGCACCATCATCACCAGATGATGATGATGCACCACGGGATCCCGACGCCGATCGCGACGCCCCCTCCGCCGCTGGACCCGAACACGGCGATACAGAGCATGGTGAGCCGGCTGAATCTCAAGTCGCGGAGCGTGGCGGGGTCGCAGCCCGCGTCGCCGGCCTTGTCGCTGGACGAGAAGGGGCGGATGACGCGGTTATCGGCGGGGTCGATGCACAACCCGCGTGCGAGGTCGACGAGCACGTTGAGGACGTTCAAGTTGGTTGCGAACCAGGAGCAGGCGAGGATTGCGCCGACTTTTTGAGAGGTAGTTGTGTTGTACGTGGAGGACATGCCGCAATAAAATAGGATTTCATTGTATCAATTATTGTCTATTTCTGAGGTCAGCCGTTTTTGGAGTCTTGACTGTGAGTGAAAACGAGGTCCGTTGATTTCGACATCGTGATGGTTTGTTCCTCCACTACCTAGTACGTCTTCAGGTTATCCATGAGTCAACCAACGGCGTGTGGCCTTGATCCTTTGATCGACAGAAGTACTTCGAAGCTGTTCAATGGTGCCTGTCTTGCCTGACTGCGACATCTCGTAGGCAGTGTCGATGATCACCCCTTGGGGATCAGCAAAGGCAGCAAGATGCTCTCAGATCACCTTCTCTAAGGCTTCACTTGAACTTCCTTGAAAACCCTCGGACTCAGCATAAAGATCAAGCCAGATCGCATCTGATGGAATTGTGTCCAACCCTGACTGAGCAATCGGGACGGACTGGTGAAAGAAACGAAGAGACGAACTCCAGCTCACCAGCACCAGCCACAGGTGAAGCACCCCGGTTGTGTGTGGCGAGTGAGCAACGTGGCTGACACCCTCACTGTGGCGCAGTCTCCCGCCCAGAAGCGCCATCGCAGCTCGGCGTCCAATCAGCGCCCCCCTCCCCCCCCTCCAGCGAATGCAGCATCGCCACATCCCAAGCGCATCTCTTCCTCTCTCTCGGCGCGTACACCAAAGTCCAATAAATCAAGCTACCCATTCCTCCACCGCCGGTCCCATGATATCATCCGTCCCCTTGGCGGGTGTCCCGACGTAGCCACCGCTCCGCCCGTCCTTGCCGTCTCAGCATGATCGCCCAGACAGGGACCACCCCAGGAAAACCATGTCATTGCCAATCTTTCTGGTCTGGCTACCCACCGCCCCGGCATCGCCTCCGAGCTCTGCGGTGTTGGTGTCATTGTCAGTGGGCACCGTCAGAAACATCCCAGGCTGAGCTGAGCTCTGCTCTCCCTCGGTCTCGCTCACCAAGACCCTCGACCGCGCGACGGACTGCGCCCGGCCACTGAGACGGATGAAGCGCTTGTTCTTCGTTGCCTTGCCCCCAACCAAGTGAGTACCTACGTAGCTGTAGTAGTACTACATGCACATGCACATGTGCCACCAACACTCCAGACGTGACCCTGCCTGCTCTGCCTCTTCTTTCATCTGATCTGCCTCGAACCAACCTGCAGCCGCCGCAAAAGGATGGAAAGCAACCTCCGGCCGCCTCGGTACAAGTGACACTCTCCGAACCCCCAAATCAAGGTTAAATCGGCACCGTCTCCAATCGCTTGCCTTGCCCGTTGGGCAGTGCCACACCCATCTGACTCTTGAACTTGAGATATAAGTGACGCCCCGAACTCTACCTCCAACTTCCACATACGTTCTTGCTTCTCACCACTCACCTCTCTGTCTCCAACCATCGTCAACCCATCACCATCTCGCATCCTTCAAAGCGAGACACACCCATCCAATCTTCACAATGGACAAACCAGCACAACCGCCTCCGGGCCCTCACCCCGCCACGACGTCAGACCCGAACCCGTCAGACAACAACTACATCTCCCCCGCCAGCCCTCCGCCAGGCTACGCGCCGCCACATCACCACCAGCACACCCCGGGCCCTCAATCCCAAGGCTACGAGATGCCCAAATACGGCAGCCCTCCAGACCCAAACGCCGGAGGAGGGTATTACAACCCCCAGCAACCACACGCACAGCAATCCTTCCCCCAAGGCGGCGGCGGCCCCCAAAACTTCGCTCCGTACGGCACGCCCCTCCCCGCCCTCGGCCCGCACCCGGCGCCCATCGAGTGCCCCGACTGCCACGCCCGCGGCGTCACCGCCGTCGAGTACACCTCGGGCGGCTTCACCCACGCCCTCGCCGCCATCGTCTGCTTCGTGAGCTGTCTGGGCTGCATCCCGTACTTCTTCACGTCTCTGAAGGACGCGAGGCACAAGTGCGCAAAGGTACGTTCGTCTTTCATTTCGCTTTCGCTTTTGTTGTTCCGTGTATTCTGAGACGAGCATGGGGGCTGACTCTGACTTTGACATGGCAGTGTGGGATCCCGCTCGCGACGTACCATCGCAGCGGTCGCACGGAGGTCCATTGGCACGGTGCCTACAACGGTTGAGGCCTGGGATTGACCGGGGTTGTGTAGGTGTTTTTCCCGAACTGGAGGTTTATTTCGAGCACATGGGGAACGAGTTCGTGGATGGTGTTGTAGCATGTCATTTGTGGTGGAGAGTAGGAGGAAAACAGCATCAGGATCATTCATATTTCGCGAGGTCACTAGGATACCCTTCTTTTTTTCCCATCAACACAAATCAAGGCAGTTTATTTCAGCATGCACCTTCTTCCATTTTAGAGAGCTCTATATGGTGGTCGAGTTCTAGATGCAGAAACCAAATTGCCATAACTCTTGTCCCACTCTAAATCAGCCGTGCCGAACAACGTCAGCAGCCACAATTCCCCGACGGCCGGTCGTCATCTCCACACCCCGGAAACCGTTCGCCGCGTTCCCCAGACAAATCGACGCCGACGTCTCAGCCGCAAATTTCTTGCAGCTGATGCACACAGCCCAGCCATCACGACACCAAGCGTCGTCCCATGCTCACATCACCGCTCGGATACCACAAGCGTCTGTTGAAGCCCAGCGAGGACATGTTGCGGGTATCTATTCGATTATGTACAGCTCCCCTAAAATCTATATCAATCAGCGAAGGGCATCACGTAATCGTCAGATGGTACGCCGTACTTTTGACCCCTGTTGACGCCTGCCTCCCGTATGACCCATTGCCTCGTGTGAATCGTTACGCCTTCAAGTTTGCTGCCGGCACCCCTCTCTCTCTCCGCGCCTCGGCCTCGTACCCTCCTGCTCTTCGACCGCGGCGCGGCGTCGCCTCATTCGGCGTCTGTTTTCCGTACTTGCTTGCACTGTACTGTACTGTATCCACAATGGTGACGCTCTAGTTGGCAAAGATGCGGACGTTCAAGTCGACGCTTCCTGTCGCGATCACGCACCGGATCGAAACCTCGGCCGGCTTTGCCGCCTTGCTTGGGGTCCCGTTGGCGCCATTCTGCCCGTCGCCGTTCGTTGCCGCCTCGCGAACAATACCTGGTGCCCATCGCAGGCATGAGACAAAGTGGCCATGCACGTCGTCCAACACCTTGACGCACTTGCCCTCCTGCGCGAGATCCCAGCATCGTAATGTCTTATCGTCGGATACACTGAGGAGGTACTTGCCTCCGGGGTGGAAGACGAGAGCGCGCACCCAATTGTCGTGGCCCGTCAGGGTCTTTATGCAGTTGCCCCGGGCATCCCACAGACGGATCACCTTGTCACGACTGCCCGTTGCCATAAACTCCACCGTGTTCGTTGCTGGTGGCGGCTTCTTCAGGCCTGCCAACGTGGCCAGGTGCGGGTATGCCGTCGCTGGCGCAAGTGTGCAGCACTCGACCACATGTTCGTGGCCGACCAGCGTGAGCTTCACCTCGGGATTCGCAGCACTGATGTCCCATAGGCGACCCGTCTGATCGTTTCCGGCCGAGAGGAGGAAGCGGCCGTCGGGCGACGGACAGACGTCTCGGACCCAGTCCGCATGCCCCCGCAGGGTCTTGACGCAGTACCCCGTGGAAACATCCCAAATGCGCAGAGTCTTGTCTCGACTGGCTGAAACGAGTAGGTTTCCTGAGCTCCCCGCGCCTGCAGCGCCCGATGGTATAAACCGCACTGCACTGACGCTGTGATCGTGGCCGGGCAGCGTTCGGATGTTTTTGTACTCGTCTGAAGGGTCCCAAAGCTTGATTGTCAAATCGCTTGAGCAAGAGGCCAGCAGGGTAGCACCTCGCGGCCCTCCAAAATCGACGTCCAGGACGGCCTTGGTGTGGCCCTTGATTGTCCTTTCGAGCTCGCCCAGCTCCCAGTCCCAGATCTTGATGGTATAGTCCTCGGACCCCGAGGCCAGAGACGAAAAGACGGGGTGGAAGGCGACGCAGGTAATGGGGTCTCGGTGGGATTGAAGGGTGTGGCGGGCGGGGGAGCGAGGCAGCCAGCTGGTGGGATCCTGGTTTCGTCGGGAAAGCGAGGTCGGTGTCGCGTTGTCGATCTCGGATTGTAGCGAGGCAGTTCGGGACTCGAGCTCCATGATCTAGACCGAGGTCAGTCTCGTGCAACCAAGCGTATCGCGATAAACGGGATGCTGGACCTTTTTCTGTAGCCTCACTACACTGGTCCACTTCTTCTCGAGGAGACCTTCATATTTCTTGGAGGTGGCCGCGTCAAAGGCTTCGCCGATCTGCAGCTCCTCCCGCAGGGCATTGGCAGCGTTGGGCAGGTTGCTCGAGGAGAGGTAGGCGATGATGGCCTTGTGCCTGCGTAATGCTGGTCAGTAGTGCCCCGCAAGACGTTTGGCGGGTTGACGAACAGCTCCTCGGCTTGCCGAGAGGTAAGGATTTGGCTCATTGCGGCGGAGGTTGTCGTTGGTTGCAGCAGAACTCGAAATCGCGGTGTATGTCGAGTAGCAGCAGCGGCAGCAACAGCAGCAGTAATGCGCACAATGGCAAACAAGAATGCACCCCAGGCTTTCGCTGACGAGGGCGTCGTTTTCTAAAGCGCGTGGAAAGTGCTCGGGACTGCGGGGGGCGGTGTCGCGGCAACCTGCGATGGCGATGCGCGACTGAGACCAAAGTCGACAGGCGACAGGCTGTCGGTGGGTAGGCAAGGTAGAATCTGCAAGGCTGCTGTGAAATGATGGGCCAAGGGGTCCCGCGGTGTCTTGGGGATGGCAGCCTCGTGGGCCGGGGAATTTTGGACTGGACGGGACTGCGGGCAGCGAAAAATGAAATGCAGAGTCAGGGCCGACCGGGCCAAGTGGCAGCTGCGAGAGAGCGAAAGGCGGTGTCGGAGGAGGAGGAGGAAACCTGGCCACGAGTCGGTGACGGTTCGGGGGTTTGGTTGAGAGGTTCCGGCTCGTATTGTTGGGTGTCAGTGCTAGTGCTGCTGGAGGCGGCCGTGTTTAATCTGGAAGTTTAGGGGTTGGGCGCCCAGGCGGTGGGAAGCATGTCTGTAGTAGTGGTTGTCTCTAATATGCTATACGGGCGTCGATGGACAGTCAACCTTGCAGCCAACATGCAGTTGCATTCGAGGCGATGACGATGGACAGTAGTGCAGAATGCAGGGTTTGGAGAATAAAGAATCAAGACGTTCTGGGTTTGGAGCGAGGGGTGAGGCTCGGTGGGCGGCGGCGGGATTGTGACGCTGAAGGTGGGCGGCCAAATGTTTCATGTGCTTCCGCCTCCAAGTCCCGACCTCACTTGAAGAAGTTTGGTGGAGGCTGCTGCTGTTGGCTGTTGGCTGCTGCTACGAAATGGCACCGGCTGATGGCAGACGGCGGGCGGCAGATGAGCAGCAACCCCAATTTGCAGCTGGAAATGACTGGAGAGAGACGGGAGACGTGAACGGGCCCCTCCACGGGGAATTAATTTGATGAGCACCGCCTCCACTCAGCCCTGCTGGAGAGCAGATTGTGGCTAGAGTCCCTTCCTCAATGCTCAGTGTGGCTGATGCACTTGGTCCCTGCAGTTGAAGAAGTCAAACCCTGCCAGCTGGCGGCCGTGGCTTTACCCAGTGACATCACCCGATGCTGGCTGTTCCTATGGCAATCGCTCAAATGCTGGTTGCCCATTGGCGGCGGTCCTGCGTCGACATGTGGTGGTACCTGCGCCGCAGCCATTGGGTTGGGTCGGGAAAGAAGATCTGAGGGTCCCAGCATCTCGGGCAGAAAGATGACTTTGGCTTGTCTCTGAGAGCTGCAAGTTGAGATGGACCAAATGTCAAGTTGGGATGGCGATGGACATTTGTCACTCAGCCACTGCATCTGAGGTCATTGCATTATGCCATGATTTATGATCATCAAGAGTGGGTATTTGGAAGAGCATAGTAGACAGGTTCTGGGGAGTGGCTTACAACGGCCATTAATGCATGAAATGGACAAGTGCATGTCTGGTGGAAAGAAGAAAGGATTAATAAATTCAATCTCAGGGCTACACTAGCCTGGCCTGGTCCAAGCAAGGACTTGGGACAGAGGCCGGGCAGGCTTCACAGGGCTGCTGAAAAAGGCCCAAGGTAAGGCCGAGGTGAGAGAAAAGGCCATCAGAGGTGAGCCAAGGTGAGAGACAGGTGAAGCCCAAGTGGAGTCCTGTCAGTGTTATCGGCTCTTATCCATTGGCTGCTGTGTGGATGAGTCATGTGATGTTGTTTACCTCTTCTGAGAGATACCCAATCATGCCCAATCATCTAGTGTGTCCCCACCTCCAGCCTCACAAGCGAATCAAGAGCTTCAGCTCAGCCCAGACCCACTGCACTGACCAGCCCAATGCCCCCCCCCCCCCCCCAGAGTGCTGAGTCTGCTGGCTGCTCCTTGCACTGGACCACTCATAAGCAGCCAGTTCAGTCAGTGAGTGGTGGTGGTGAACCCCCAAAACCCCATCCAAGCACACGGCACACAGCTGCACAGCAAAGGACGGCAGCTGCTCCTGTCCTTGTCCTGACAACCAGAATTCCCTGTGCTCCCCTCCTTGCTGGCTGCTGCTGCTGCAGGGCAAGAAAACAAAAGAAAACAGACAGCACCCCCAGCCCCATTCCTCGAGAAAGAAGCCTGAGGTGAGAAAGTGAACAATCCATCGGACTGACGTCGATTTTTGCATTCCACTTCCCACCTGCTGCAACAATAAACCACCACCACCGCTAGAGGTAAGGTAGTTAGTTGCCTTTTTTCACACTACCTGATCTACCTAATTCTCCCACCACCACCATCTCCCGTCTTCCTCCAACACGGGAACTCCCTCTGCCGCTGCAAATCCTCTGGCGCGTCGTCGCTTTTGCGTTAGGCCTTTTGAACTTTGACCCCCTCTTGTTTCCACGCGAACAACCCGCACATACCTTTGTTCATCGCACATACCTTCAAACTTGTGTGCTTCCACCTCCAACTACCTACATACCTCACCACACCCCTACACGACTTCCTCTCTTGTCACTCGGGCAAGTCACTGCTGCTGCCGACCTCCTCCTTCTACACAGAACAGGAGACATCTTCCACAGTACGGTACCCTCTCTGCTGTACCGCCAGGTATCCCCCCATTGACTTGGCCGACCCCAGCACCTTCTCTTGCTCGCGCTGCCGCGACAACCTCACCACCTGATTTGGCCTGATCTGGTCCAGCTTGGTTTGACTCCCATACCTTCCCAGGGTCTTCTATTGTAAGTCATGCCCTCCCTCTCCGGATCACCACCTCCCCAATCCGGTCGCAGCTGCCGGCAGCCTGCATGCCTCCCTCCAGCCCTCCGCCGCTCCCAATATGGATCGCCGAGTCAAACATACCCGTTCCCTCTCCAAGCTAATTCGAAGAGTAGCCAGTCTCGGGAAGCCAGACCTCTTCGACAAGGAGAACCGACATACCAACCCGAGTCCTCCGCCGCCTCTGCCCCCGACTCCCCAACGACTACCGTTACAAACACGCCAGCAGCCCTCCGTTCCGATGGCCGAAGAGGAGGACTTTAGCTCCCTCCCCCTCCAGGACAGGTTTGCCCACAAGGTAGGAACTTACTGGAGCCGCGCGCTCTTTGAGGAGGAGGACGTATGCTGACGCGACCCAGGTGTGGAAAGTGCGCAAGCAGGGCTACGAAGATGCCGCCAAGGCATTCGCTGCCACCGCCGACGAGTACGACAATGCCTTCAGACCGTTCCTCTCAGACACTGGCCTGTGGAAGGGCGCCGTAGCAGACTCCAATGTCGCCGCCCAACAAGAAGGTCTCGCCGCATACTGCGCCTTCCTCAAGTTCGGAGGCAAGGAACACAGCACGAGGACACGCGGTGTGACTGTCGGTCCCATTTGCGAAAAGGGTCTGCCATCAACACGTGCCGCCGCTAAAGAGTCGTCACTAGAGGCCCTGCTACTGCTCGTCGAGCTGGACGTTGCCGCTCCCGTCATCGAGGAAATCATTCCCGCCCTCTCCAATAAGCAGCCCAAGGTTGTCGCCGCCGCAATCACCGCCCTCACCGCCATCTACCACAACTATGGCTGCAAGACCGTCGACCCCAAGCCCGTTCTGAAGCTGCTCCCCAAGGCTTTCGGTCATGCCGACAAGAACGTCCGTGCCGCCGCGACGAACCTCGCCGTCGAGTTCTACCGATGGCTGCGCGAAGCCATGAAGCCCATGTTCTGGGGCGATCTCAAGCCTACCCAGCAGACCGATCTCGAGGCGCAGTTTGAGAAAATCAAGGCCGAGCCCGCCCCCAAGCAAGAGCGATTCTTGCGCTCACAACAGGCCGCCATGGCGCGCGCGCCGCCTCCAGGTGCCGAAGGAGAAGAGGAGTACGGGGGCGACGATGTCGAGGAGCCGGCCGAGGTGGACGCGTTTGACCTGGCGGAACCGCAGGACGTCTTTGGCAAGATCCCAGGCAACTTTTCCGAGGCTCTGGCATCGTCCAAATGGAAGGAAAGGAAGGAAGCCTTGGAGGCCCTGTATGCGGCGATTAACGTTCCCCGTATCAAGGACGGCGACTTCAACGAGATCAATCGCGGCCTCGCCAAGTCTATGAAGGATGCAAACGTAGCCGTCGTCACCCAGGCAGCTCAGTGTATCGAGGTCCTGGCCAAAGGACTGAGGTCGGGCTACGCCAAATACCGCACAGTCGTGATGCAGCCCATCATGGAGAGGTTGAAGGAAAAGAAGGCCACGGTTTCGGATGCGCTCGGCGCTGCTCTGGATCAGGTTTTCCTCGCCACGAGTCTGACCGATTGTCTCGAGGACATCGGCACTTACCTCGTCCACAAGAACCCTCAGGTCAAGGAGGGTACGATGAAGTTCTTGATTCGCTGCCTGAGGACAACGCGCGACGTTCCTAGCAAACCTGAAATCGCCTCCATCGTCGAGTCCGGCAAGAAGCTTTTGTCTGAATCGAGCGAAGGTCTGCGTTCAGGAGGTGCCGAGATTCTGGGTACCGTCATGAAGATTATTGGTGAGCGAGCCATGAACCCGCATATGGAGGGTCTCGACGACATCAGAAAGACCAAGGTCAAGGAGTTCTACGAGACCGCCGAAGTTAAGGCCAAGGAGAAGCCCAAGGCACCTCCGCCAGCACCGAAGGCTGCTGCAGGCCCGCCCAAGAGACTCGTTGGAGGCAAGAAGCCCGCAGGCGTCAAGAAACCCGTGATGCCTGCTGCTGCCCCACCCGCCGAGCCCGAACCGCTTTCTCCTCCGCCAACATCTCGCCCGAAGCCCGCCAGCAAGCTCGGAATGGCGAAGCCGTCTGGTCTTGCGGGGCTCAAGTCGAAGCGGCCTCTGGGCGCTCCGGCGGCTGCTGCCCCTGCTGCTTCTCCTCGCCGTCCCGTCATGCCCGAAGACGACGAACCCGCCCCTCCCCCACCTCAACCCCGCATCGGCCTCGGCCGCGGCGGTCTCGCTGGCCGATCCCTCGCCAAGCCGGCCGCAGCCCCCGTTCAAATGCCCCCTGCATCGCCCCCGCCATCAAGCGGCCTCACGGCGATGGAGCGTGCTGAGTTGGAGGAGCTCCGAGCGGCCAACGAGCGCCTGACCCGTCAAGTCGAAGAGATGCGTCATGAGAGGAGCAAGCACATGTCCGAGATCCAGGAACTCAAGAACCAGAACGCCAACCTGATTGAGGACCACACCCGTGATGTTCTCAGCATCAAGGCCAAGGAGACTCAGCTCGTCCGCGCGAGAAGCGATGCTGAAGCGACGGAGCAGACCAACGACCGCCTGAGACGCGAGCTCGACCGACTTAAGAGGGCGCTCAACCACGCCGAAGGCCTCAACTCAAGGCAAGGCATGGTCAGCCCAGGTAAGCATGCTCTCGTGATCTTTCCAGGGGGTTCCAAAGCTAACAGAAACAGGCATCACATCGCCCACTCATGACGACGCAGGCATTTACCGCGACAACTCATACGGCACATCGTCCTCTAGACACAACCGCGCTAGTTACGCCAGCAACATGTCTGAGGAGAAGGAGAATGGAGACCACCACTACCCGCGCTCAAAGGCTCTCAGCCCCGAGCTCAGGTATACCGGCAGCGCTTCGTCAGGTCGCGGCAGCCCGGCTAGAGGCTACCGCAGCTCCGGGGCCACTCCTGTTGACGAAGCACCACCACCACCGGCACCTCACTACTCCGCAGGCGGCGGTCACGGTTCAAACAACAACAATGGTGGGGTAGAGAGTTGGAAGCGTGCGGCTGAGGTGACCAGCCAGCTGAAGGCGAGGATCGAACAGATGAAGGTTAGTATCCCCCAAAGTCATTCCTGAACTCATCACTGACAACATCCAGGCAAAGCAAGGATTTGCTCGCCCATAAGCTGGCCATAACATCGGAAAAGGAGGCATTGTCAGATATCATGTGAACATGAAGGTGGTTTGGTAGGGGTCATGATGGTCACGGTCGGAGGTGTACTAGTTTTTGGTTGCATAACATTGGCGTCGGATGCATACCCATACCTCAGTCTGGCCTGCAGTTGGGAGCAGACATGTTTGTGTCTGAATGAAGTTATGGATTTCTCTAGTTCCTTTTCGGCCTCGTCTGTATAGCCCACGGGCGCGAGTGTACTTTTAATTCATGAAGATTATGAACACCTTTGACATAAAGGAGCATTGAGTCAATCGTTGTATCGGTGAGTGGAAGGTGTAAATTATGGTATCTTATTTCGACTAATCATTTCCCATTTGAGTGCGAAGTCCATTCTGAACTCTCTTCACCCTCTCTCATGTTCTCATATACGCTTGCGCCGCCATTCGAATTTTTGTTGTTCGGAGCATCCACGCTATCCCATCCAACATTCTACATTATCTCCGTTTTGTTTTGCGAAAGCACTCCGTCGTTACCCATCACGCCGTCCGCCAATAACCCGCAGCGGCATCAGGCCGGACTCATCCAATCGTACTCGGCATTGTATTTCTTCTTCCACCGCGGCACATCTTCGGGCGCGTTCTTCTCCCGCTGCACCCTCTTCTCCACGGGCTTGTCGGAGTAGGGCGACGGACGCATCGCATTGGGGTCCGTCACGGGCGAGCCTTGGCCGGCGTCTTGGCGGTTGTGCAGGTCGATGCGGACGGGGTCGACGCGCAGCTTGGTGTTCAGGTCGACGTTGTCGACGCCGATTTTGCCCGTGTGCTGGCCCAGGTCCGTGGGCGGGAGGAGGAGCTTGTTGTCTTTTGGGAGAGGGGTCGGGGCCGCGAGGGCGAGTGTGCTGAGGAGGACGAGGAGCGTTGTTGTCGTTGCGCGCATCTTTTTTCTTTCTCTCTTTGGGTGAAAGTAGAATACGGGTTTTTGCTTGTTGACGGTTTGCTATGGGTTGAGCTTGGGGATGTCTGTGGACATGATGGAGGTCTTGGCGGGGGTAGCTTAAGAGGGGATGGAGAGGTATCTGAGAGATTTGTCTTATAGTTTGCATGAGAAGCTTCTGGTTCTCTGCGGTTCCATTCGATCGGAGATGAGGGGAAAAGGAAATCGGAGCGCGCGCGCGCACCGCGGCGCCGCTGGGGAGGGAGGAGCTTGTGTGAAGGGCGCAACGGCATGAAAGGCAAAGCTTATCGTGAGGCGCGGGGTTGTGGAGGCAAAAGGGTTGGCCCTGGTGTTGGAGGGCGTTTGAGGTGAGGTCATTGATGGGGATTTGAGACGAAGCTTGTGTGGTGGAAGCTTTGGGCACCGTGGTGGAAGGTTTTGGGGGTGGGAGGGGGAGGAGAGAGGTGTTTGCGGCCCGAGGTTGGAGGGTATGGCGGGACGATTGGATGTCAACATTGATGGGCAAGCTCTTGTGGCTTTGAATTGAGGGATGTCTTGTTTCTCAAGAATGTTTTGGCGACGAGATGGCAGGTTAATGGCGTTGCAACTGTGTTAGCTACCTCGATGTATGATCCCGGATCCTTTCACGGAGTTGCAATGGCGAATAGGCTCGTGCCGTTGAGGTACACTAGCTTCTAGTGCGCACTTAATATGGACTTCATCTTGGTTGCTATGTTTCCTAGTGTCCTGTCTTTCAGACTCGTTGAACGATACGCGAAGAATGGGAATCCACAAGTCTACATCGTTGAACAACAACAAGTAAAGATTAAGCGCAGTTCTGAATTTTGAAATCAACACTCCCTCTCCGTCTAATATTGGAATCTACTAGCTAGGTATCCAGACGCATGAACCTGGATCTTAAATCGAAGTGCAGTACGCACTAAGATCTGCACGCAATCAAGACCTCCTCGCCAGAATCCTCCATACTGGTGATCTCCACTAAGACCTCTGGGGATGGGATGAAAGACCAAAGCCGTTTTGGCAATACATTCAGGCGACGTCGATAGAAGTCGAGCTCAGCAACCTTCTCCGGCTTTTTACGGGCCAAAAACATAACCTTGCCGCCCGTCTCGCCGCTCCAATACCACCTGTCGTCATTGATTTGCCAAGTTTTTGCACATATTGTTGAACTCCCCCCGGGCTCACTGTAGAACATGAATGTCGACAGGGTTTTCATGCCACCCCAGACAGTCTGGCCATCTCTGCACTTGTAGGACGAAGCCTCTAAGCACAGATTGGTTGCAACAGCGAATGTGGTAGACCACTCTTTATCTTTCAGCATTCTGCACCATGCTTGGTCGCCCTCGGGTGCCAGTCTGACGCAGTGGTGAGCTTCTGACTTGTTCGGCCATAGCAACACAAACCGAATTCCATTCTTGTCGAAGCCTGTATCCCTCAAACGTCGAAGAAGCTTGTCAACCACCTTGACCATGCATTTTCTTGACTCCGAGTCTGGGGTTAGCTTCGAATCCCATTCACAGAACGACTCTTTCGACATCATTGCCCTCCTCGCTTGGCCTTCTAACTCCTTCCATCCCGGAATTTTTAGGCCTCCGATGTAATCAATGAGGTCGTCGCAGACGATAACCCTCAAAGGAACTCTTCGGGCGACGCCTGTGCACAGGCTAACTTGAAGCCCATATAGCTCTTCAAGGAGTAAGAGATTGCCTTCGTTGGTCCATCGATCCAGGACTGCCTGTTTTGCAGATACTCCAGGCTGCTTGGTCTGATTTGCCCCAGCCTGACCCAAGACCTTATCGCCAAATTGTAGCACAAAACTTCTCTCGACGAATTTCCAAACTGACGGCTCTGTTCCCATCATAGCGCGATAACCTTGGGAAGCTCGCCACGTCTCGAGAGTATCTCGCTTGCAGGTGTCATTGACGTTGACTGATCTGTATAAGCTAGGAGGCTGATTCTGTCTTTCGTGGATGTTTTCATTTGCAGATTCTTCCGATTCCTGTTGGTCGTCTTGTGGTGCATTTATCTGCGACTCCGGTTTCATGCGGTGGACTACAGTGACCGCTGACCCCTCGGTAGCACCCAAATCAGCCCCGATGACGATTCTGTCACGGTAGCCGAAGACTACGCTTGAGGTCGGATCCGTGTTAACGAGTTCTTCTCCCCAGTGAAACAGTCGATCACCGTTGCTCAGCCTTCCGTGATATTCGATGATACCTCCACGAATCACTAAGCCAAAGATCCTGTCCTCAGATAACCCCTCTGGATCTGCAAAAAGCAAAGACCCAGGACCCCAAGAGTCCACAATTTCTTCGCAGGTGGCGCTGAGATAAGCTGGAGATTGTTTCTTTTCCGTCGGAGGAGTCTGTGATATCAACCTGAAAGCGAAAACCTTCTCGCCAACCATATCTCCCATGCAAGAAAGTTCATGTTGCTCTGCGGCTATTTGAAGATGGTCTGATGAGCTACCGCATAGGATGATATCGTTCAGGGGCTTTGCCAAGTAGACAGGATGAAAGGTCCCTACATGGGCTCGAGAATAGAGCACCAAACCCAAGCATAAAAGTTGCACCGCGAGGGAGCAGTAGTGCAACTTGAGACCACTTGTTGACGGCATAGGCAAACTAATGTCAAAAAGGTTCTCTAGGATGTGCATGCATATTGAGACACACCGGGATATGATAGAATCGCTCAATCCTTCATATCTTAACGCCGCAATGCTCGCTTCTAATTCCAGCAAACGATCGAACACAATAGTTTTCATGCCGATCACACACTGGCCTGATTCATATTGTGATGCCGTTAGCACAGTAAATTGGTTGCAGCAGAATCCCGATTGTTGCAGGCAAATTGCTGCGGACACTAGCCCGCTGGCCGCTTGATGCAGTTGCAGAATGAACCCTTTTGGGACCCTTGACTTCTTCATATCCCCATTTGGTTTGCTGAAGAAGATTGATGTTTCCTGAGTCAAAAAGCTGATCCATCCGAAAGCACTGGACGGGTTTCTTTCAGGCGGGAACACACCAGCAAGCCCACATAGCCTGGAAAGGTGGTTCTGCATGTCGACTCGGCAGAGATGTTGGGCTCTTAAATCTGAGCTTTGATGCATGGTAGACTCGCTCTCCTTTTTGCGAAGCTTGTGCGCACAAAAGGGCTGGTGAAGATTGACGTCTAGTTCACTGAGAAGAGACTGCGTATCAGCCGTTGTGGGACTTCCATCTTCGTGACGAGGAAGCCAGCCGGCTTCTTCGACAACTTCATCAGAGACCTTGAGATCTTCCACCAAAAGAAGCCGCTGTACGACCTCCAAGTGTCCCTTTTCTGCGGCCCATGATAATGGTGTGAAGCCAGTGCTGTCCTTGGATTTCGCATCGGCCCCGGCGTCCAGAAGCTGTATAACGGCTACTTCTTGACCTTGTTCTGCCGCCCATGACAACAACGTGCGACCATCATTGTCTACTGAATCTACGCTGGCCCCAGCTCGAATCAGATGTGACATGATCTCTGTATGACTCTTTATTACAGCCCATGATAGTGGTTTCCGGCCATTATTGTCCCAAGATTCGATATCGCTACCACGTTCCAGCAAGAGTTTGATAACGTCGATATGTCCCTCTCCTGCAGCCCATGACAATGGCGTCCGGCCTGTATTATCCCAGGATTCGGTCTGGCTGCCGCAGTCCAGCAAAGCCCCCACGACTGTGAGGTGTCCTTTTCCCGCGGCCCATGATAGCGGTGTCCGGCCAGCAGCGTCCCAAGATTCAATATTGCAACCCGAGTCGAGCAGAATATGGACAACGTCCATGTGTCCTCCTCTTGCGGCCCAAGACAATGGCGTTCGGAACATATGGTCCGAAGTTTCAGCATCAATTCCGTGATACAGCAAAATTCTGACTATTCTGAGATGTCCTCCTCCTGCGGCCCATGATAGTGGCGTCCGACCAGCCTTGTCTTTGGGCTCTATAACTCTCACCATCTTTTCGGGTGGTCGATTGATGGTCTCACGCCGTTTGTTTGCTGCCCATAATTGCGGCGCAAGACGTTTTCCATCATCATAGTCCGAATTGACGTCATTCTTCTCGAGCAGAGCCCTGACTACCCCTTCATTTCCTCTTCGTGCAGCCGATAAAAGCTCTGTCGACTTGTGTTTCTCTATCAGATATTTCTCTGACGGTTGTGGAACTTCGTCGTTCTCGGCGACTTCTCCGACCTCGGATTTCTCTTCTATTGTATTCATTGCCTCGATCTGATCTCTCTCGGGCGGCTTCTGACTTTCGCGATTCTCGACGAGTTCTCCGGCCTCGGGTTTCTCCTCTGTTGGATTTATGATAGGTGGCATAGCGGCAGTTGAACCTGTGGCGAACTGATGTTTATTACGCTCTAGCCTTGTTGTAAGGCGCTTGTAAAAGCTTGAACTTGTGGCAGAGGCCCTGGAAAAGGACGAACTTGTACTTGCGGCGGAACCCCTGGAAAAAACGGAACTCGCGACAGAGGGCCTGGAAAACACCGAGCTTGTACTTGCGGCAGAGACCCTGGGAAAGCCTGATCTTGTGGTAGAAGGCTGGGCAGTGTCCGAGGCTTGTAGAGATGATAATGCACCAGTAAGTGATTTGTAGGCATTCTCCAGCTTTGCGTCTTGCTCGGGCAACGCAAAATCTTTCGTGATGCTGTCGTTGAGAAAAACCTTCCTCAATCCAACCAAAAGGTTCAGCATTAGAGTCTCAATGTTGTGACCCTTGCCGATTGACGCAACTTTCTGGCGGTAGGAATGGATGATACCAGACCACTTGTTAATACCCGAGTCCTGGACAGCTGTGATATCGCGTATGATGCTACACATGGAACTCGCGAGCTCGAGGCACTCAGAAAGTCCATCATTGAGAGATTTGACGATGAAATCGTCGTTGTGCCAGTGGGAAGATTGGCTCTTGATACCCTGCTGAAGGAGAGGCAAGATCTCTTCAACCAGCAGGAGAGCATGTGCCACTTCGGTAAAGGCTCTGGGGAATCCTTCGATCCGGTTAAACCTTCCATATGAGAGTGAGATTGTCTCTACCGAGGCGATAATGGAAGCGATGATATCGGTCGATTCCATGTTGTGAGGTGGTTTGTTGCAGAATTACGACGAGCCACACGAAGGCCAACTGCTTTTCTCAAACAAACAGCAGTTCTTAGACAAGAGGCCAACTCGAAAAGTTTCTTCAGTCACTTTCGGGACTTAAAAGACAATTTCAGAAGGCTTGTCTATCCGTGAGAATGGCCTCTCAGGCAGTGGCACACAGAAAACAACGGATCGTAAGTAGGCAGGCTTGCTTCTTGCATATTGGGGGGATATCTTGGGGGCTGAGTTGACCCCTCACTTGTGACCAATAAAATCAACAGGATGCAGGGGCCCTCGGTGGTTGGGCAGCCTTGCTGTCAGTCACCCTCACAAATGCAACTCGCCTCTCTTCGATGGATCTGGTTGGCCGGAACGAATGTACCAGGTCGTGTCCCTGTACTACGCTGCAAGCGTTGAACCTGATGTTACTTAACAAGCTGTATCTCTGCAGGATCAAAGTCTGCATGGCTCTCAAGCAAGCACACACAAATACTGTGCGCTACAGCCTTGTAGAAAGAAGGGGAAATGCCCTTAGTGTATTTCCTGAATGATTTCCTGGAGATCAGCTTACGCTTGAGTGACCAGCTTCTGCGCCTTGAAAGTGAAATAGGACTTCCTGTGAGACTGAGTTGTTGTCGCTTGCATTTCCTATCGACATGATTTAGGTCATGCCCAGAGAATTTAACATTCATGAATGATTTTCTTGAAGAAACATAGGGCACGCGAGAGCTTGTGTACTCGTCTTGAATCTTGGCCTAAGGGATCTCCCTGACATCAGGAGTAGCTTGAGCATTGAATGTGAAATGAATCAAACTGAAGGCCTATGCGGAATCAAAAAAGCCTTGCGGGTAATTCGAAAAGGCGCACATGTAGAACGTCTACAATTTTCCAAAGGGTTCCGACTTTGAGAAACGACAAACGCCAAACACAACCGACCAAATACGCCTGTCAAGAACGAATACTAAGCATTGTTCTGGTGAGATGAAACCGATGATGTCTCGTCAGTCCTGGGACTGAAATATCTTCTCCAGTAACGTATCTGAGTATAACATCAAGTTGCGGGGCTTAGCACGATGAATCGGGGATATAATTGGTACTGCGAAGACGGAGGTTGTCTCCGAGATCTGCAGTTTTGTTGGTATGAAGAGTATGACTAACGATAGAAACTATTGACTGGTAGAAAATATGGCTACGACTTGGTAAGGGGTCTTGACCAGATCCGACTTTTAAGGCAAACAAAACCAATAACGCGCTTCTGTGGCGGCTGAACATCCCGGAAGGATGCACATACTCACGTATTTGGTAAGAAGGCAAGATTTCAAGGTGCTCTCATACTGACATTGCGTCTTGGGCACCGAATACTTCTCCACAAGACGTGAGAGTACGCTGAGGAAAGATCCGCCGACAAACACCACCGCTAGAAGGGAGTCTCCGGCATCAGTACTCGACGCTTGGCAACCAACCTAACCGCGGCAAGGCATTCGAAGACGAAGTGGGTGTACAACTTTGACTACCTTCGATCGCTCCCGTCGAACCCATATCTGACTGACGATGGTTACCTCGGTGTCCAAATATTCAAAGTCTTGCCCGAGTGCTTTGCCCGCAACCCATAGCACACATATCGTGCCTCAAGAAGGCCACCCAGCCAGGCAGTTTCATAAGGTACCCATGTAATTCAGTAGCTATTTAACGTAGAAGCGACGAAATGATTATGATATTGCAAGCAGCAAATGAGGAAGTAATCGCAAGCTTGTCTTGGCTGATTGAAGACACCATCGTTCTCGTTGTTCCATCGTTAGCCGGGAACGAGAACCTCAATCGTACTTGGGCTATGTCTTTGTCACACTCAGCGAATATCACCCGCGAATAGACACCAGAACAGAATGATGGACAGTATTATAGAATATCCCCGATGTCTCTAAGCGGCAGACCTCGTTGTGCAAGATGGAGGTGAACACAGCTCACAACCCGTCACCGATCCAGACCGTCTGTCTCTTTTGAACAATGAAATATGGACCTGTCCGCCATTCTTGACAGTTTACTGATGTTGAAAGAATCTGATATCTTATATATGGAACCCATACGCCTAACCCATTCCTCTGAGCCTATGTCCTCATGGAGAAACGCCCATCCAATAGGGAATCTAACCCTCATAACATCCAAATGCCATGCCCGCACCCAATCCTCAAACCTCTCCTCAACGCCTCGGCCCAGAACTACAACACGCCGCCTCCCCGCTCGAGAAACAACACCCCTTACTATCCGAAAAACAACACCCCTCGGTATCCGAGAAACAGCACCCGCCGCGATCAGAAAAACAGCACCCGCTCCGATCAGAAAAGCAACACCCCCCGCGGTCCGAGAAACAGCACCCAGCGCCATCGCTAAAACAGCACCCAGGCTCGCCCCTCATCGCCTCCCACCGCTCCTCGTCCTTGCTCCCCCCGACGCTCATCGGGCTGGTCCTCTGGTACCCGCGCTCCTGCGGGAGGAACGCCGCGTCCTCCCCTCTGACCGAGCCCGCCGGGCTGCTGGACCCCGGCGGCGTGACGGCAGGCGCCGCGGTGGATGCTGGTGTGGACGCGGTCGCCTCGTACGGGGGAGGAAGGTCGAGCCGGTCCTGGTCCTCCCCCTCGACAGGCACGCTCTGCCTCTGCTCGAAATCCGGCACCTTTGTCATGTCGATCACATTCCTCTTCCCCGGATCCATATTTTTCTGTTCTGTTATTAAAAGATCTGTTTTTGGGATGGTAGGGTGCGGCCGGCGGCCAGGCTCGGCTCTCACAGATCGCGGGGGAGAAAAACTGGAGAAATGGAGCACCGAACGCACGGCGCACGGCGCACGAGGCCGGTGGAGACGGGTTGCGGCGGCCGTACGTAATGAAATGCCCACGAGAGGATTTTCTCAAGTAATAATTGTAATTGATGGAGCTCCCGGCGTCTGGGGAATACCTCACCGCGTGCGTGGCTATATGAGACGTGGATTACGCGGGGTAATATGGGCTCTTTCTTTGAAGCGATGTGTCAATTGAACTGATGCCAAGAGTGCAGAGTCTGGGGAAACGGACGTCAGTGAGTTCATATGCATCGGTCGCACGGAGGACGCCAGCTCTCAGAGGTCGCCAAAAACATGCCAAAAGTCGTCGCAGGATGCAGAGAGGACTCGTCAGCTTCATCGTATGAGCGACGAGGCCTTTCCCGTTGGGGACGTGTTTTGTGGCTAGGTACTTCAGCTCTGAGGTAAGTGGCTTGCGGCCAAACGCCTTTTCTGCACACGTGTGGAATGTCATTGGCGTGATATCGAACGCTGGCAGATTGGCTGACGACCGCCCGCAGATTCACGCGACCCTTTGACGGTTGCTGCCACAGAGGCCTCTCATCTTGCGGAAACCAAGTCGCCGCGCGCAGGTATGCTGCGGCACAGTCACTCGCAAGACCACACAATCTTCCCACCTCAGAGCTGGCGACTGACCAATCTCCAACAACAGGTCAACTTTTCCCCGTCTCAGCGGGTGACTAAGCTGCCTTCAAGCACAGCAAACCGAAGCCGCCGCCGATAGGAGCCAAGCTTGGAATGCAGGCGCTCCTCGGGCCGCCCATCCAGAGATAAGAAGCCGCTGTATCATCGCGTTGAAGCCAACCCAGGGACCAGGAGCCAACGGCCAAGCCGTCCTGTCCGATTCCCGAGACGGCCTTGCCGCCTGTCTTGCGGGCGTTCAGCCCTGGAGTTTGAGGGCGAAGACGCCAAAGAAAAAACCTCCTGAATCCCCGATCGTGCCTTATCAGCGCAGCAGCCCTTGGCCATGCCAGGCGCTGCGCGGCGGGTGATCATCGACGGCCCCAAGCCCTCGGCAGACTGGGTGTGCATTCCTCTGCCTAGAGTCTAGCGGCGTCGGCGGCAAGGTAGGGTGATAGGGCAAAGCAGGGCGGCGGCTTCATGGTCAAGGACCACGGTCGCCTCGCATTTCAGCTTCGACTGCAGGGCCAAGATGTCGGAATGTTCTTTCTCGACGCATGGAAGTTCTGGGCAGCCCTACGGCGGCGCCTATATCTCAGCTGGAGATTCTGGAGGCGGCGCATGTCAACGACATGTCTTCTGTTCTGTATATCCAAAACAATTGAAGAGATTCACGACGGCGCGGCCGAGATATCAGCGGCCGCGTCAAACTTAAAGCGTCCAGCCAGGCGATTCATTAGCCCCCGTTGAAAACGTCTTCTACGCCTTAGCCGTCATCCTCGCGATGTCTTCGGAATCGGATGTAGATCACCTCATGATAGGATGCAGTGGTCGAAAGCGCCTGCTTCACCAACAACCTCCGATATCAGCATTATGGACCCCAGGGGTCGCGCGGTCGACATAAGATTGCAGACACATCGTAGCGGGTCCTGTCACCTACTTCGGTCAGTCCGAACGCAAGCGACCCTCGTCCCATCCCAGGTGCCCACAGTTTGGGGAGATAAGAGCCGAGGAAGCAGAGGCCAACGCCTAACGCAAGCTGTTACGTACGAGAAATTCTTTGCGCACGAATGAGCACCTCGCGACGCTTCCCCAGAGGATGCTAATCCACCACCGTGGATTGGAGCAACGTGAGGGGAAAAGTGTCCGCTACCTGTTCGTTAGAGTGGCATGCGCCGCTAACGCGAATCATGACACGGCGGCGCGGGATAGCTTCGTTCTTCACATGCGATGAGGGGTTTTTGACGAGCAACTCGCGATTTTCGGGGCACTGGCGTGCAACTCAACTTGCGCGTATGTAGGGGTCGCAATAGCGCCCGTTCCTCAGCCTCTTCACGTTGACGGGATGCGAATCCTTCCGCTGGGTAGATGCCGTTGTGATGCTACGTCGGCCCTGTCGTCGCTGATTTCGCATGACAGACGACAGAGTCGTGCGCGTTTGTGGCCAAGATGCCATCAAGGAGCTCACTGCCGTTTCGAGTGTCTTTTGGTCGAGCCAATCTTGAATACGGGTCTCGCAGGACTGCCGCCGCGCCAGTGTGGGTTGGTCCGACTGCCTGCCGGCACGGCGACAATCGAGGTGCGTTGGCGCTGCAGCGCGGCGTTGAGCTCAGAACGCCTCAATCCCCTTTCACATGGACCATTGTTGATAGCTTTTGCGTTTCGACACAAAGTGATTCGGAAATACCGCCTTTTCAGTTGGAAACTCGAGAGATATCAAGACGAGACACGGTCATCAGCGAAAACGTGGCTGTTCCGCGAAGCTTGAATGAGCCAAAATCATCGACGACGGCTTCGACTGGGTGTTTCCCAGGAACTTCCAGTCCATCCGCCGCCCCTGTTCACTGGCATCGCGCTCCGTGGCAACTGAGTCGTGTGACGCGCTGCGCACCAAATGTACAGCTCCTCACTGGTCATAGCCATTGAGTTGCCCGCTCGCGGCCTCATCCTCGGAAAGTCTCCCCTGACCAGGCTGACCGACATGTCCTCGAACTGCCTGGCGCCTAACACTCTTGGGGGGGTTTCCCCGAGTTCGCCCCAATTATTGTGGGCTTCTTCCAGGGAGCACTCCGGAACGGTGGGCATCGGACTGGGGTCTCGTCTGGCAGCCCAAAGTCGAGACGGCTCCGCATGAATTGTGGTCCAGTGGTTCTGGTCCCTGGGTCTCCTGCGCAGATAAGCGTTTCCGTCTCGAACTTCCGTTTGTTTGATATCGGAACCATAGATAAGACCAACAAGCTGCAGCTGCAAGCTGATGGATGACTTCACACATATACCTTGAAGGGTGCGACTCGTGGGAGTCTCAGGGCAGCTCTGATCACCCTCAGATTAACGAATCGAGATGCAGCGACACGAGACTGGAGACAGGGCCGATAGAAGAGCGCTAGAAGCTTGAATCGAACGCTCTAATCTGCCCATGAAGCAATGATGGCTGGGATTTGCATGCCATCCATCTGTTAGCTCGCGACGGCACCTAGATACCTGCCGCTAAACCAAGAATAGCGCCATAATGTGGTGTGGTTGGTGTGGTGAAGGCGACAGAATTGGCGAGCAAACGAACAGCAGGTTGGTGGCGGCGAGAATGAGGGGGCAGACAATCCCCCAACCCACCATGGCTCATGTGTCTGCCACACCGAGAACGCTGAGCAGCCGCATTGATGGCATGTTCGAAACAAGTCTGCAAATGGGATGAGCCGGGTCGCACCAACACCACCAATCCCTTATCGCATTGCCACCTGTCAGGTCGGTCCACGATGGTTCCGGCCGTGTCTCTGTCCTATCGGAAAGCATCAGCTCATCACCAGACGTCATACCGAAATTCAGTCATTGCCCTATCGCGATGGAGAGGTGCCTGTACGACCAGTCAGCCAGAAAAGTGCATCCCACGCCGCGGTACCCGACGAACTGGTAAGATCACTCCCGGAATGGATCTTTGATGTCAAATGGTCAGCAATTGGTGATGAATGCGACAGATATAGCTGCGATAGGGCATACACCGGCGAAGACGTGGTGCTGTCGTGTACACCGCGTTGCAACTGAGAGATATCAACCAGGGGGTGGGACCCAATCTCCCACCCTCCCTTGCACTTTACTGCAGAACTTGCTTCCCAGGCGCCAGGCTTCGAAGAGTGCACCGTCTTCGAAACGAAACGCACTGAACTACCTAGTGTAAAAAGACCCTGTGGCTGTCGCCTGACCTGCCGTGTGAGCTGGAAAAGACACGGAACCGCGCCGGCCAGGATCAACAAGAATGACGCTGCGCGGGAGAGCTAGGCAATGGCACAAATGGCTGTGAGCGCGAGCGTGAGTGATCGTGACAGCTAGCGTCAACCCGACGCTAGCACTTCCACGACCTCGATGTTGACCCTGTTCTCCGTCTCCTGCACGACGTCGGGGGTGATGCAAGGGTGAGGGAAACCTGGGGCGGCCAAGATCGGCCATGGCCCACCCACGCATGCATCGATGCATACCCGGGCCAGCCAGCTGTCTGCAGCAGGTTGAGCCAACAAGCCAGCTGTGCTTGGCGATGCAAGGTCGCGAGAGGGAGTTGCCACTATCCGTAGGTGCCGTGCCCAGCTCCGAAGAGCCGCTGCAACCTTGGACAACAGCCGCACAGAAGCTTGTGGCTTGTCGACAGAGATTTCCGCCTAGTGAGACTCCTCCTCCTCATCGACGTCTGTGTTGTCTAGCAATGTTGCGCATGATGGTCGATAAACCAGCAAATGCCATCCCAGCCAGAGGGTAGCGGTTCAGATTCGTCCCCAGCGTCCTGGACCGGGACCTAGACTTCTTGGACCTGGACCTCTGGCTGGCCCCCTCTCGCTGCCCAAACCCAGTCAGACAGTCCCAGAGACTCGTGCTCGCTTCTCCACTTGCTCCATTTCCACACCCAAGTTCGAGGGAACGAGGGCCGACTGGATCCTCAGATAACGTTGAGGAGGCAGCGCCAGTGGGCGAAGGGAGGGGCGGCCACTTTTTCGGAGCCATTTGCTAACGGCTTCAAGTGACACCCTGCCCATTGGCCAACCAGCACCGCCAGCGCTATCTGCACGCTCCAAATATTCAATCGCCCGGATGGGGCGCTGCCGGTGGAGAGAGTCTGGAGAGCAGATTGCCAATCCAGTTGCATGGTCCTCATTCTCCCGAGTCCCTCGTTCATGTTCCCCCTCCTGTCACCCGGAGGCGTGCGCCTGTCTGTCTGACTGTCTCGTCGTCTCAATAAACCCCCCATCTGCTGCGACTTTGACTGTGGCTGTCGCGTAGGCAGGGCTTCTGGTACCTCTTCTGGCAGCCGAAAAGAGCTTCGTACCCGCGCCTGGATCCCTCGTTAGCGCGCCATGCACCTCGGATAGTTGTCCGCCTAACTCACCTCAGCTCTAGATTCGACACCCGGTGTAGCTTTCGCTGGTTCCCGCAGCCCGGGGTACGTATCCTGAGCACGTCCGAAAGCCAAATCGCCCCCATCCCACATAATACTATGCGACAAGTAACGGGGTCGTTGTCTAGGATGGCCTGCCATATGCCCGTCCACGCCAAGATCTGCGTCTCTCGCCCGTCGAAAGAGAGAGGGGGCAGGCCCGGCAAGACACAGGCCTCATCAGAAGACCAGCCCCAGACCCTCGCCTCTTCTGTCCCATATGTAATTTTCCATCGTCAACGGACTACAGCCTAGTGACCTTCCATGCATGACTGATCCGCTTGTCGCCCTTGACAAGAACCCTTAGTCGTTGCGCGCCGGTGCTTGTCCCGTTCTGTTTTCCTTCAAAAGGACCTGGCCTCCCCCGTCCCATCTTCCCTGAGATCGTGCCGTATCCCTCTCCTTCCTTTTCTCATCCCACTCGGGTCTCACTCCCGTAATCTTTGTTTTTGCAACAGACAACCGAGTCTGTTCACCCCTCACAAGTCTTGAGTGTTACAAGCCTTGTCGACACATCATCATCATGTCTTCAGACGGGGTCACCCCCACCAAGGTGCTTGAGGCCGATGAGAAGGCCTCTGGCAGCCTTCCCGGATACGACAGCGGCAGCGGAAACGCCATCCGCGGCGACATCCACGAGGAGAGCTGGGCCACCCGCAACGGTTTGAACGCCGAGTCCTTCAAGAAGAAGGAATATGGCCGCGGTGTCGTCGAGCTTGACCGTGCCATGAGCACCCGCCATCTGCACATGATTGCCATCGGTGGATCTATTGGTGCTGGTTTCTTCGTCGGTTCCGGTGGCGCTCTGAGCAAGGGCGTGAGTATTTGTTGTGACAGACGATGTTGCGCTCTTTCGCTGACGAATCTCCTAGGGTCCTGGTTCTCTCTTCATTGATTTCTTGCTGGTTGGTATCATGATGTTCAACGTCGGTAAGTGTTGAAGGACCTTTCGCATCGCGCAACAAAAGCTAACGCGCCGCAACAGTGTACGCCCTTGGTGAACTCGCTGTTATGTACCCTGTCTCTGGTGGTTTCTACACGTACTCGACTCGCTTCATCGACCCGTCCTGGGGTTTCGCTATGGGCTGGAACTACGTCTTCCAATGGGCCGCCGTTCTTCCTCTCGAATTGACGGTTTGCGGTCTCGTCATCGGATACTGGGATAGCGAAACCAGCGTCGCCGTCTGGATCACCGTCTTCTTGGTCGCCATCATCATCATCAACATCTTCGGTTCTCTCGGATATGCTGAGGAGGAATTCTGGTCAGCTTGCATCAAGCTGGGTGCCACCGTCATCTTTATGATCATCTGCTTCGTCCTCGTCCTCGGCGGTGGCCCCAGCAGTGGTCGTTACAACACCTACCAAGGCGCGAAGCTGTGGTATGACCCCGGCGCCTTCCGCAACGGCTTCAAGGGCTTCTGCTCTGTTTTCGTTACCGCCGCCTTCTCCTTCTCTGGAACTGAATTGGTCGGTCTTGCCGCTGCCGAGGCGAAGAACCCCGTCAAATCACTGCCCGGTGCTATCAAGCAGGTCTTCTGGCGTATCACCCTCTTCTACATTCTTGGCCTCTTCTTCGTCGGTCTGCTGATTCCCTCTGACGACCCTTCCCTGCTGTCCGAGTCCTCGTACTCTGATGTCAAGGCCTCTCCTTTCGTGCTTGTCGGCAAGTACGCTGGCCTCGTGGGCTTCGATCACTTCATGAATGTTGTCATCCTCGTGTCCGTTCTGTCGATTGGTGTGTCTGGTGTTTACGGTGGATCGCGTACCCTCACTGCCTTGGCTCAGCAGGGCTACGCACCCAAGATTTTCACCTACATTGACAAGTCTGGCCGCCCTATGCCATCTGTCATCGCCATCCTCATCTTCGGCCCCCTGGCTTACGTCAACCTCAACGCTTCCGGCCCTGTCGTGTTCGATTGGTTGTTGGCGCTCTCAGGTCTCGCCGCCGTCTTCACGTGGGGCTCCATTTGCCTCGCTCACATCCGTTTCCGCAAGGCGTGGGCTTACCACGGTCACACCGTTGACGAGATCCCTTTCAGAGCTATTGGTGGTGTCACCGGCTCATGGATCGGTCTCTTCCTCTGCTTCGTTGTGCTTGCTGCTCAGGTATGTTGTTCTCGACCATTGTTGATAGATGTAAAATGCTAACCGAGGACAGTTCTACACTGCCATCGCGCCTCCCGGCACTAGCGAGCTCAACGACGCTGAAGGCTTCTTCAAGTCATACCTTGCTCTCCCCGTCGTTATCCTCTTCTGGGTCGGTGGCTTCGCCTGGAAGCGCACTGGTTGGCTCCGCACCTCCCAGATGGATGTCGACACTGGCCGTCGTGAGCTTGACTGGGACGAGATCCACGCTTACCGTGCCAAGATTGCTGCGATGCCCGCGTGGAGACGTGCCATCAACCACGTTTGGTAAGCGGGAGAATGTTTGTTTGAACGAGAAAAAGAACGGCTTCCGGGTCGCACTGGCTCAGTGTCCGGGGCCATGGCAACTTGCCATTCCATGTACATTGTAATGCAGGACCGCCCGCCATCCATTAGAGGGGTGCCTGCCGGAACAAACACGTTCCCGTCTAGTCATTTCTTAGCAAAATCAAGATACCACGAGTGTTTTCACCTACCATATGCTAGTTGGTCCGTCTCTGTGATGTTGTGAATGTCTCCGGCTGGATTACAGAAAAGCTGTGGCCTGGAAGAAACACTCCAGGGCGATGAAAGAAGCCGCTGGCGTCTTCGTGGGGGGCTGACGTGGTGGCTTGGAGTTCTTATATACCGCGAGGGAAGGGCCAAGACAGCCAAGCGGTGGTGGTGTCTTATCTCTTTGGAAGCACTGCCAGCTCAGCCATCTCCCACTCCAGAAGCAGTGGCCGGATAGGCTAAATGGCAATCAATCTTGGGAGACAAGGGCTCTGTCGAATGAGATAGCGCGGGGAGGTCTTGGGGGGCTTGGGGGTTCGTCTTGGGTCATTGGCGAGGAGATAACGCCAAACCACCCAGAAGAGCAGGTCGCAGGGGATCTCCGGGGGTTGTCGCCGCTATTGGTTGGGCTGGTTCAATCGATATCTGCTGTTGAGGACTCGTTGGCGAAGCCTTCGGGGGAGCTTGCTGGAGGTTCTAGCCGGATCCAGTGCGTCCTCCTCGTCGAAGGTGCAGGGCCAAGGGGTCGAGATAGCTGTAGAGCCATATCAATGCCGCTCGTCTGCTGGATCGCGGGGGCAGTGTCTGGCGTGTCGGGCGTGTTGAAGATATCGGCTGTCAAGGCCGAAATGACGGGTGAGGTTCCGACGATAGCGATTTGGTGTTGTGTCGCGGTGTACGTGGGAGGGGAGGCCGAAGTCGGTGGATTGCTGTTTCTTCTAAGATTGAGGTCCTCCTCGGACGTCCCCGACCATTCGAATAACTGGAATCGGACCAAATTCTTCCGGGTCTGTCTAATAAATTTCATTGTCGGAAAGTGCTATCGAAAACAAGCAACTGCGCTTTGTGTCGAGGAAAGAGCATCCTTCTTACGTTCGTTCTTTCTGTTCCCAGCCGTCGCGTGGTCGGTGGCTCCTTCCAGCTTAAAAGCCGTTTCCTATTAGCGCCGCAGGGTGTCAAAGACGCCTTAGAGGGGACGCCCTTCAGCGGCCCCAGAGTCAAATTGCCCCATAACTTGCTGTCATTAAGGCGCCCTTTGGGAACATGTCCTCCACAACGACCCGCTAACGTCAAGGTAGAACCCCACCAATCTCTCTGTAAAATTTCCCCATTTGACCCTCTTCGGGGAAGCTTTCTGTTTCTCGTTACACATGTAAATCATCCGCGTATTCGCCATCAAAACCTCGCATTCTCCTCTATTTCACTATTGAGATATTGCGTCTCTCCATCTTTCTTCCCAGCCATTCAAATACTGCGTCAAGCGATGGCATGATTCCGGATTGGGCGTTGGTGTCTTGTTCAGAACCATTGGACAAGACATCTTCAACACTCTGAGGCTTCCATCATCTGATTCGTCCAGGAACATGTTCATTCTGATCGAATGTTCCATGTCGCTGAGAATCTGGCCGCTTGCTACTGTTAGTTCAGGCTTCACGAAATCATGAAGCGTAAGGGAAGCTACCTACCTGTAGCCTTCAAGAGTGGACGACGATGAGGCAGTGTTTGTGTTACTCGTCATGATGGTGAATGAGTGGTTTGGGATGAGCCACGAGCTTCATAAGGGCCTTGAAGCGAGCTAATTATACAAATCCCGGAGATTGAAACACATGTTGGAATCTCACATCGTGGCAGAAACCCCATGTCCATCTGCTTTGCGAAACGGCGCAATCAATCTCACCAAGACGGACCGGTGCCATCCCTTCGGACCAACGAGCTGCACCGCACGGCCGGGCAACGGCGTGGAAATTAAGTGGAGACCCCGCACTCGGTCAAGTGGGTCCCCTCAGCCGCAATGCGCCCCCGAGTTTTGCGCAGCGGCGTAAAACTCGCGCCGCTCAATCCTCACTCATAAGCCGCTTGCCCCTGACATTGTCAACCTCCCTTTCGCTCACCTCTGCACCCCAGTAACAATCTATCGACAATTGGATTGAAGCACCATCTGGATCTCGGCGCCAGATGCTCATACTAGGCTCATAGTCCTCGCAGTTGGCGCCACTTTTGCTTGCTTACCCCGCCATTGACCCCGTCCCAGGGACACAACGACGGTCATGAGCCCCCCGCCGCCAGAAAAGGGCAAGGCCCAGGTCCCTCACGACGAACAATCGAAAGGCAACGACGAAAGTAATCGCAATGGCTTACCCGATGCGACAGACAACAGCCCTGAAGCTGAGGCTGCTGGCCCGGACCTCTCTGTTTTCGACCCAGAATTCGTGAGCGTTGAATCACAGCAACCGAAATTTGGCCAATCCGAGTCGGCCCAAAGTCCGACGACCAAAATCGAAGAGCAATATCGAAGACCGCGCTTTGAGGACATTGTTCCTCACTCTTCCGACAGCGAAGCTATGGCCACACCTCAAGCATCCAATGCCAGCACACTTAGTGAGACACCCGTCAAGGACGAAGATTCTTCCAATGAAGAGGGCTCATCCAGCACTCACGATGAAGACCCTGACGGAAACGAGGACCCTTCGAAGACGGTCCAGCGAATGATGGTCGACAGTGTCATGACATCCTTCATGGACTGGCTTGATGTCAAGCTGAAGGTGAAAGGAGAGGAGGAGAAGGCGGACCTTTCAAGTCTTCCTTTACTGGGGGCACCTCAGCCCATGACCGAGGGCCTGAACTCAACCCCAAGTCCTCGATTCACAGCTCCAATGCCAGTCTCAACGGGATTCGCTCCATTCAAACCCTTGACTGGTACCTTTGGCTCCGGTCAAACTTCAGGCACAGATATGGCGGCAGTAAGCTACACTATCATACATCAGAAGCAAAGCAGTATTGAACGCCCGGGGCTTTTGAAAAAGGAAGAAAGAGCAGAAGACATCGGGGCGAAAAGAGCGAAGCTGGGAGAGCTCAGAGCGACCAGGGAAGGCCTGAGAAGTCACAGAGGAATCCACAAGGAGTCTCTCGTCCAGTCCCTGGTCGGTACCTCGTCAACTGCAACATCGAACTCAGCTTCATCCCGGGACGAGCCCAGGAGACTCCGACGTTCATCAAGACCAGTGGATACACAGTCTGCGCTGAGAACCCTTTCTTTGTCGGAGGAACCTGCTGAAGATGAGCGGGACAGCACGATGCCAATGCTGGCGTCGCCTCCTCCACCACCCGCTCCCAAGGCGAAGTCTTTCTCGTTCTCAAATCTATTAAAGAGAAGTAAGAAGAAGAAGAGTGTGGAAGAAAGTGAGGAAGAGAAGAGAGGATCAGGTCTCGAAAATGTGGAAGTTGAGTGCGAAGAAGAAGACGAGGACGATGAGGAGGTCTCGTCTGGTGCAGCGGCTGCATCCGAGACGGCAACTAGCCGAAGGGGTGAAGCCGTGGAAGAGCTCATGGCATACCCGCCGGGGGAATTGGACCTCGACTCAGAACCTCGTGGAAGTCCGCCGACTGTAGGAGGGCCACCCCCCACGCCTGCTGTTTTAACAAGCTACGAGGCATTTGAAGAGAAGCAACCTCCGTCAAAGAAGTTCTCGAGGGGAGGAGTAGGTTGTGTAATGCCCACTATGGAGTATGGAAAACAGAAAAAGCTCAGATCATCCTCAACGGGCTCTGATGTCGACTCACCGGCACCAGCCAGTGAGGTGGCAGCCCAAGACGATGAGCGACGTGAGCGACGTGAGCGGATACGTGAGCGGAGACGTGAGCGGGAACAGGAGCGAGAACGTCAAAGGTTCGAGCCTAGAGGTTCAGTATCGCCTCCAGGCTCAGTGAGCAGATCTGGGGCTTCATCGAAAAGGAGGGAATCATTGGCCCAAGAGCCTCCAGGTGGAGCTGAACCACGAGCATCGGCACGAATACGCCATCCATTAGCCATGGTTTATCGTGACATGCAATCCGGGGACGATGCCTTATCGGATCAGATAGCCAGAACCAATGAGGACGTAGCACTAAGACCAACGCCTGATCGCAGCGACTCTCTGCGCTCGCGCGAGCTTTCTGAAGCATGCCTACCGCAACGGCGCGCAGTGGTGTCGAACAGACGCGTGTACAGAAAGCCGGATCTACCGGGCCGCGAAGGGAGATTGTTGGCATCAAAGCGCAGCAGATTGGATGACAAGGACAACGGAAACGAAGACGAAGAAGGAAAGGATAGGGATGGAGATGGGAATCGTCCGCCTCGCGCCAAGCTTCCCAAGGTTCAGGAGGACGAAGTCAGCGGTGCGAAGCTGGCTTGTCCTTTCTTCAAGCACAACCCGCGCAAGTATAAGAACCAGCGTCCCTGCTGTGGTCCGGGGTGGGATCACGTTCATCGCATCAAGTAAGTCTTTGCCACCGCAACACTCAGACGGGGAGCTAATGCACGATACAGGGAGCACATATACCGCAAGCACTCACTCCCCAAGTTCTCATGCCCGCGTTGCTCTCAGCCGTTTGAGACTCAAGCAGACCTGCAAGCCCACGCTCGCTTGCCTACTCCATGTGAAGTCAAGGAAACGGAGGTGTTGGACGGCATCACCCAAGATCAAGAAAAGAAGCTTCGGTCGCGAAAGAAGACCAGCGGTAAAGAGCTCACCGAAGCCGAGAAGTGGACCCAGGTCTACAGCATTCTCTTCCCAGACGTCAGAGAGCGAGAGATCCCGTCCCCATGTGAGTCAATTATCTCGTAGCTGCCAATAGGACTCAAAAGCTGACAAGCTCCAGACTATAATACAGAGGACTCCCAGACGAATCTAGGCGGATACGAGGATTACCTCCGTCGCGAACTCCCTACCCAGGTCCGCCGACAGCTCGAGAAGGAAGTCGAGCAGCAGTTAAGCTTCGTCGAGGAAGGGATGAAGCAAAAGGTCATTGAGATCGCACGCAACTTGCAACTTTCCTTGTTCAAGAGCTACCAGCAGATTGAGACCCAAGAGAGAGACACCGAAGGGCCGTCACCGAGCGCCGGCTACATTTCGAGTTCTGACTTCGTCTCGTTCACCGCGACGGATACGTCGCCGTCGACGATGACCACTGCTGGCACGACACCGGAGATGCCAGACCCGTTGGAGATTTTCGGCGGTGACCCCGCGATCCCGGATTTCAACTTTGATTTCTTATCCCAGGACCCGTCTGCTCAGTCACAAGGGCCCGAGAAATCCTCTGATCCGGCGTTTGGGATAGACCCCTATGCTACGTCGGGACCACCCACGATTCAACCGGGCATGGAGATGTTCGGAGGTCAGCAGTTCGGTATGCCATATTACGATATGGAGGGCTACGATGAAAGGCAGGGCACAGTCCGAGACATGAGCGTGCTCAGCTATGCGCCCTGAGATTCAGGCAATGAGTAATGACTAGTATTTTGAGATACCCTTCAATATCAGCACGAGATTCTCATACTGGATTCTGTTTCAATTTCCCACATGATGCTAAGTATTTGAACACCCGTCGGATACGGGCTGCTGACGCCGACCGGCTGTAACCAAACCTCTTAACCCCGGTAGGATGCTCAGTCTGATGTATTATTCTGCCCCGGCACAGGCCCGTTCGACCTCGTGAAACAATTGTAGCGCTTGGCACAGCTGGCGCCGTTTCCAAACGCCGTTCACCCATTTCTACGGCCATCTTCCGCTGAAGAAGCCAGATTTTTCTCCCGCTAGTCTTGGCTGAATGGATCCCTTCTAGATGCCAGCACCAACCGAATGATCTACATGTCGTCTGATTTGGTCCTGCGGGCGCTTCCTAGCGCGTACCATTCAGCTGGTATCATTACAGCCCAGTGTTCGCATCACACGGCAGGGTACGACATCAAAATTTGCTGTACATTGAACATGATGGACTACGAGGGTCACTGCGGCCATATGAAATGTTTTCTCATTAGTCTCGTGGTATCTTCGAACTGCCCCTAAAACCCTAGACTCCTGTCATGGCGATGTCATAACATGAATCGGCCGTTGCTGATTTACCGGATCAGAGCGCCATACACTAAACTCGACCGTCTTGCTGATTCCTCCCAGAGGTTTTGGTGTTTCTATCCGCTCAAGATCGACGTCGGATCTCGAATGCCCACTGCTGCTGAGTATATTCACCTGCGAACTCGTCCGCTTGCCGCCACGGACCTCCACCACCCTCTCGCTTTGCTGCGTCGCCGGATCCCAGTCCTCTGGCTTCCGGCCCGAGGTGAATCCTCGTAATACTGGGCGGCTTGGACAAGTCGGATCGTACACCTGTGTTGTGAAGACCAGGTTGGATGCCAGTACATCGATGCTGAGTGCCGCTCATTAGTGTACAAATCTCACGCATAGCGGAGAGGCCTTCGACTTACAACATGACGACGGGGAATAGACATTCCAATGTGTACGCAAATCGATCTAACTGGCTCGCGGCATTTGTCGCGCTCTGAGCCGTCATCTGAAATGAGTACGTGATGGCTCTCATCGTTCCGAGGATGGCAAGCGTCGCAAGTCGGACCTCGGTACTCCTCATGAGGTACTTGAACAGACCACCTTTCAATGCCGCTCGAATCGACGTCGATTTGACCTCGGCAAACGTCTTCAGTAGGAAGAAGGCGCTCACGCATTCCAACGTTGCGATGAGGACGAAGTAGGCGATGTGGAGATTATTCACCGTGCTCTGCAGATTCGTGTTTCCTCGCAGGATGAATTTGATGCGTGAGGTGGCGATCATGATCCGGAGCGCAACGAGGGCGGCGATAATGATCCAAAATAGGCTGTTGAAGATCATCCACCCCCGATCCTTCAGTATCCTGCGCAGGAGCACGTAGCTATAAAACGACAGCCCGACCTCCTGTATCTGCCGCGGTCGTTAGTCTGGTCCACGGCGTTGTTCCATTTCTCCAAAGACGAACCAGCCAGAAGAGATCCCCGAACGCTGAAGCAGCTGCCTTGTTCTTCAGCCCATACCCTTCGTCATAATATGCGTAGTAGCAAAGACCGTTTGCGATGGCTCCCGCCGCGGATGAGATGATCGGTACCACAGTGATCTGAGAAAAGGTCGTGATTCCGACGATGAGGAGCCCGAAGAACACGTTCGCAGCGCCGATGGTGCTGAGAATCGACCAGCTCAACTCGAAGTAGACTGGTAGTATTGGCGTCGACATGATGCCGCCGATGGAACTACTGCGTGGCTGCCGGGCTGGCGCATGGCGTACGCGGAGCGGAATGGGGTGGCATTGAGAACCGCAAGACTAGTTAGAAAGCGGCTGATCACAGGCTTATAGGCCACCCAAACCTTGCAACTGCACCTTAATCATGAACAGGTTGGATCCACTAGGCGCGTCTATTCCCTCTGAGAGCCGTCCATGATGCCTCGAGCTTAGACTTTAGCGACTGGGAGGGGAGAAACAGACGGAGCTCCATGGGGCGGACACAAATTACGCCTGGTGAAGGATATTGCCTGATGAGGAGCTGTCCGCCTCGGCCACTCCTTGCCTCTGCCACGCACATAGAAACCTTCAAAGCCTTTGGCCGCAGGTATGGCACAGTTTGCCGGGCTGTCTCGCTAGAGGAAACTCTTCGGGTACTGGGATGTACCTTCCGAGAAGCTCGGATTGAGCGGAGAATACGGGAATGATCAACGTCCGGAAATATGTAGTAGACGATGCCATGTGTCTTGCATAGGATAGGGATGTATCACAGAGCGCTTATCAAAAGTCAGCAAATCGGTTACACGGAATTGGAAAAGCCAACTGTTCACAAACACCTAGGTCCAGCGAGGCTTTTGGTCGCATAATCCCATGGCAAATCGAAGCCACTTGGCAGCCCCAAGATGACGGGAGGGCACATGGCACAGTCAGATGGGATGATTCGCCGAACATGTGAGGATGGATGCGCTCCATCAACTACACCACTGTATACCGACTGAGGGCGGATAGAAGTTCCGCTAACGGCAGCATACTTCCGTCGTAGAGTATTAGAGCAAATGATAAAGCGGCCAATGATAGTTTCGTGAACTTTGAGCTGCCGCTGAGCGGTAGCCCGCGTCTCACCTTACAAGTCCACATCCAGCTGTCAGAGTTTCGTGGCGCGGCACTTGCGAGTTTCCAAAAAGCTTAAAGCGACCCTACTCCTCCCGCTGCTCGGGGAACTGACATGGAAAGGTCCTTGCAGAATGATGTGCTACTCCGTACCCACTCAAAACGTGGGATTGTTGGTCCAGGGGACGCCATGGTGGCGAATCCAAAGACCCTCGGGGCGGGGTCTAGATGTAGGATGGAACCACCATTTTGTCGAACACATGCTGAGATGCTGCAGGTGAAATGTGGAGATGGACCCTGCTGTATGCGACTGTGACGACCGGTGGCCGTAATGTTAACGACAGCATGTGTGATTATGAGATGATCTGCGTTGACATGCTTAGCAAGCTCTTGGCGGAGTCATGGTGTCAGTGTACTTCATGTTATCACACCAACTCGTAATCTTGATGGCTGCCTCCATCTCCAACACTCGAAAACCTGTTGGTTCTGCGCCCATTACCTAAGTGTTGTCCCAAGTAGTGGCCGGGTTTTGACTTCGCGCACGTCTGAAGGCACACAAAGTCGAGAACAGCGAAAAAATCACGCCCAGTCAGACAAAAAAATCCTTGACGATGAACTCAGTAGCCCTTGGTATGGGCGAGCCTTTGGTGTTATCTGCTCGGGCATCGGAGCTACTCGAGGTTTCAAGTCCCTCAAGACACACCAGTCCAACTGACACGGTCGAACGCCCTTTCGTGAACGACGACTCAGCACGTGCGTCTTCATAGGGCTATTGCGAAATGGTGTTCACGATGGGAACCTATCCGAAACAGAAACCTGTCGGGTCTATTCTATGCCTCCGCGCGCCCCGCGCGCCCCAAGTGCCGCACGAGAGATGAGGCAGTATTCGTTATCCCACTCCCCGCGGCGACCTGCCATCGAAAACTCTCGAATGATTCGCGTAGCGCGTCTGCACTTGGCTGACAGAGATGGATGCGGTCCCAGGACACACCATGTTCGTTGAGTGTATCCATAGCGTCTGCGCCGCTTAGCCGTCGTTCACGGTTGTCAATTGAGTCGATCGGGTCTCCGTGGTCCGTCGTCCGGCGCGGCGGCTTTAAGCACCGCTGAAGATTTGAGTATAGGTAACATCAACTGGTTGACTGCCAGCTAAGCACAATTGATGGAAGGACGCAGGATTCAAGTCATTGATCTCGTTAATTCATATCCCAGTGCTAAGCCATGAGGCCCTGGTCCTGTGTAGAAACAATCCTCTCCAAGACGCCCACGCTGAATGTCGCAATTCCAAACGCCCTAGCTACAGATGTGATTTTGGTAGCAAACTTTTCTTGCCGGCCTTCCGGACTTCGCCGCTTTTTGTCCTCAAGAATCTCTGAAGACCTGCCAAGCTAATGAGATGAGCTGGCGCAAGTCGATAATTCCTCTCCTCCGTTCATCCTCCTAAGCCATCATGAACTCCTGCGATTGAGCTCTGCCGCCATGAGCGATGGAGGCATCGTCGAGCATCGAGAACCCATCGTCGGAACCTAGTGCTGATATTTCGGATTTCCGCTCATCATTGTCGAACATGTCCCAGTCCATTGATGAATCTCCTCCGGCTGCTGTGTTGTTCATCGCTGCTCCCGCATTGGTTGTTGTCGCATTCGCCACCATACTGGACGAGACCAAGTTCTGCGCAGCGCCCGAGATATATTCTTCGATGAAAGAACATCCACATCCACCATGCTGAAGGACCATATTCTTCAGCATCAAGATTTCGCTCCGCAGTAGAGACGCCTCGGCGTGCAGGCTCTTGTTCACATTTTCCGCAACAACCTCCTGCGACTGCAGCTCCTCGATGCCCTTCTGCTTCTTTTGCCGGCACTTGTACGCCGCCTCTCTGTTGCGGGCGCGGATGCGGTTCTTCTTATCTTCGGTTGTTTTGGGAGCCTTAGTATCGTCGGCGCCGCTCACGGATGCCGTCGAAGCGCGTCGCGCGGCTGCGGACTTCTTCTGCACCTTTGCTCCCGTCGATGATGTCGTCGTCGCTGGCGCGTCTGCCGCTCGTGCCTTGGGTTCTGCGATACGAGGTCTGCCGCGCCGCCTCTTTGGCGACTCGATTGCTTCCGCCGGCAGGGGTTTCGTCTCTTGCTCGGGGCTAATGATCAAGGGGTCGACTGGAGGAGACTTGATGGTCGAATTCGGCGGCGACAGTACGGAGCTCACTGGCGACAACAAAGAGTTGGTTGCAGGCGAGTCCTGCCACACATGAGAGCTCCGTGTTGAGGGGGACGATGTGCTGTCGGAAATGATTGACGCCGCGTCGGGTGCTGAAGTCAGGGCCGAGGGCGCGACGAAGAACTGTGGCGTAGTGTTGGAAGCTTCATTTTCTCTCTTGATATTCAGTTGTCGCTGGAAGAAACAGTCCGCTTGTTGATGGTCTGATTGAGGTTGTTGTATTTGTTGTTGCGTGGTATATATGTCTGTCGGGATGGCGAAAGAGTCAGAGAGCAGATCGTTGAATGCGCTACTCGACAACCCACTTTGAAGTGTACTCACACCTGCTGAGCCTGAATCCATGGTTGCTGAGCTCTGTGGCTTGTGATGTTGCGCCGGGGCAGAGAAGGTTTACCAGGGTATCTTGGCCTGTCAGGATGTGGTTGGCTAGGTTCGGGGCTCGGAATAGCGTCGCTCTGAGTGTGGCCGTGCTTTGTAGGTTGCCAAGGATATGGAATGGAGTACTCGAGAAATTGTATATGTAAATCAAGCAGCATTCAATTCCCAGGCTAAAATGGCTGTAGATTGGCGAACATATATATATGGCATTGCGAAGGGGGCGAAAAGAGGAGGTCCTGGGTACTTTATACAAGCCCTTCGCGGGGAGCAGGACCAGCACTCCAAGTCCGGTCTTTTGCCTGGGACGAACACGACACACAAGAACAGGCAGGACAGTAGCTCAACACGGTGGTGGACAGGCAGGCCTTTGCCAACTAGATCGAATCTGGGCTTGAGGAGTGATACCGTACAAGGGATAGGACCAATCAGGTAGCACAATTGAATCTCAACAAGGTCGAGGAGCATGAGCAGCCACAATGCCGAGGGGGCTTGTGGATGGGCATCCCTCATCGAGATACTAGACATGCCGTGCCGCGCTTGAAAAGACCGCGTACCCGTGCAGGACCAAGCCACTTCCAGGCCATTAGGACGGTCCAAAAGCACATGGAACAGTTCCAGAGGCAGAAATGGGAAGAGGGGCAGCAGCTTGTCAGCTAACACTGTACAATGACGACTGATGTCCCTCCAACGCCATCTCGACGTCCTGCTTTCGTCGTACCAAGGGAGGGGCCCCGGAGATAACCTCCGGACAACATGGCGCAACTCATTGGGCCGCCACCGCCCGGAAATCCATCCGGACCGTCGGCCTCTCTCAACGGTCAGTCTCTTCCCCACACATTGTTGGACATTGACCAAGCAATGGATGGAATGGGGAGCCCGTGGCTGATCGGCCGGGAACTTCTTAATGGCCCAGCTCTGGCGGCACCAGTTCACGCACTAACATGCCACTAGAATGGAATCGTGTGCCCAGTCTTCCTAGTGTTCCCAGTGTTTCCAGGCACATTAGACACCCCTCACAAGACACCGCTCCACGAGGTGTTTCCCATTCCCGTGGCATCCCCACCTCTTGCTCCCATCATCCCACGCAAGTTGTGCAACTCGCCTGTTTTCTGCCACCCTCCACAGAGCAGCCAAGCAACTGTCCACGTTTCCCGAGTTCCCGAACGTGCCAAATGATTGGAGCTTTCCACCCTGTTAGTCAAGAATTGTGGCTTTGAGTGGCGAATACCCTGGTCTATGTGGCACATTCAGCACCCTTGAGCCACATATCCTGCCAATAGAGGTCTTTCGGAGAGCTTTCCATCGCACACGTACTGTCTCGAAAACTCAACAAACAAGCACATGAGCTTTATCGCCCCGTGAAGATCTTCCAGCACAACGTCACACGCGCCATTATTGGACGACGGGACCATCTCCTCGACCTGGCATTACAAACTGTTCCTGAGTCACCCCGTCGGGAGCCGCACTATTGCAACCCATCATCTTGGTTTACTAATGCTAGGCCGCGCACGACCTTCGGGGTTCTCTTAGCGGGCGGGGCAAACTCCGATGGACTTTTCAAATCTCGATCTGAAGAAATCCCATGCTATCCACCCGGTGTATGCCGCGGGGATCGTCAGGTTGTCCGGAGAAGAACCTCCTGAAAATTCCTGCAATTGCCTGCCGCAACTGACTTGATTGTTGGTTTCCAGAGCTTTCTTGTTTTCTATTCTTCTTCGCCCCCCACCCTTCAGTCGTGTACCGTCTACTGGGACACGTTGGAAACAATCAATGCCGACATGTCGGGTCTGAGCGCGTTTTCTTTCGGCTTCCACGATTGCAAGATCGTGATGAAGACCAACATTCGTTGTTTTCAACTCACCCACCGCCCTAGTGCCGCCGGTCACTGAATCGGTCGGCCCAATGCAAAGGGCCAGCAACGTCATTCAGCACGCGACCGAAGGGGCCGACGCGATCGGTATATCGGCATTCGAAGCTTCAATTGATGGTCTGGACTCAAACGGGCGGTGAATTATTCGCTGTCCAGTTGTCTAGCGCACCAACTCACCTGCCCAAATCGTCAATCGCGAGCATGCCAATGCCAGATTCAACCTAGGCCGGCCGCATCTCCCGTCGCCGGCGTTGAGACCAGTTTCCCAACTAAGCTGAGACTAAGCAGAGACAGGCTGAAAGAGGAAACCAGGAGGCGCTTGTTGCTTATGCTGCATCGTGGTCTTGAACCTTGTGTCCCACTTGCCGACCTTGCGCGCCCAAACCCGTTGATGATTCTTCCCGTGGTCGATTGCCAGAGATCGGTCCGGCTGCCGTTCTTTGCACCGTTTCTGTGCCGGGACGGTGCATCGACGCAAGCCCAATTGCGGGCCCGAAAGCTCCGCACTCTTCGGCCCTCGATCGAAGCACACACTATCGTCTGGGCTTCTGGTAGATGAAGCTTATCGGAAGGAAGACTTATGATGCTGCGCCGCTCGCCGGCGGGAGTGGCCGCCTGCGGGGTGACCTTGAGGTCCATGACGATCGTCAGGTCGCCCAGATTGCAGCTCGTCTTCGGCTAGTCGGAACCCAATCATCGCTACCAGAATATGTCTAGGACACAGAAGTTCGGCTGAGAATCTGGACAAGAACTCGGCACGAGGCTTCGCAATGCTTTCACGGAAGGCCACTTCCTGCTAGATTCAGGGGATCGTCGACGGGCGCGTGTAAAACATTCGAGAGTTCCCCGCAAGGTGAGGCTTCACGGAGGAGATTCCGGAAACCAATAAGAGCGTAGGAGGAGCGAACCGCAACGGTTGTTGGCCGTTTGCGGCTCCTCAAAGTCCCTTTCCGGCCCCCAATTACTCGCTGAACGCCAACTCATCATCGAGTTACAGCCTCACCACCTCCGGGCAACGTTCAGACGACTGCCGAACGCGGTCTCGGCCCAGATCAGCCAGATCCCAGATCGCCTTCCGAGACATCCAGGGACATTCCACTCCCCAGGGTTTCCGCGTTGGGTATTTATGCCTTTGAGATGCACCCAACAACCTTGCAGAGCTGTTGAATAACTGGTCTTGGACACTTTGCTCACGAACGCAGCATTGAAGACAGATAAGATGTGACATTGCGCCAACTCGTCAGATGATCTTCTCATTAACTGCCAATAGCGTCGATCAAACCTTGGTGAATTAGAACTCTGTTTATTCATGTGGAATGGAATGTCTTGGTCGGAACGATGCTCGACCAATTCCTCGGCCCGAGGAGGCCACACAGCAGTCGTCCCGTCGGCGGCTGAACGCCCGACATCACAACAGCTCCAACCGCGGATATCCCGTCCTGAAGACGTTCTCAGGGTCGAACTTGTTCTTAACCCCCTTCAACCTCTCCAGCGTCTCCTCTCCGTAAGTAGCCACCCAATCTATGTCCGATCCGGGGGACAAATTGCGGTAGCCGTAGGGCAGGGTCAGACCCTTTTCCTTCAACTTGGCTATAAGACCGTCATTCCACTCTTTGTAGCCTTCGAATTCCGTGGTTTCACCCTGAGCATCCTGAACACCGGCGTTCGGGTTGAAGATACGGTGGCGCTTCCGCAGCGGGTAGCACGCCTCCGGGTTCGGTTCCAGGACCCTGCCGTGAGCGCTGTGAATGACGTTCGCGCACCATGGCCCAGGAGGAGGATTGGCGGCGATGATGTTGTTGATTTCCGGTGTCATGTACTCGATAGTACACACTCGTGGGTAGTAATGAGTGCCCGATGGGTTGGGGAAGGAGCTGAAGAATCCGTAATCGGTAGCTGTGGGTGTCAGCGCTTGTTGTAAACAACAGGCCAGGATGCGACATACTTTCTGCTACAGTGTCCAAGAGGACTGTTCCAAGAGACTTGATCTTACGATGAAACTCCCAGCCTTCATCGAGGTTACCATCTGTAGGTGTCCATACGAGGAAGAAACTCAGGACGGGCCCAACGCCTGGCATCGCCATGTGAGTAATCTCTGCCGCGGTATTAATAGGCAAATCTTTCTCCATCTCGCTAAATTTGTTCAAGACCTGGCCGGTCTCAGAGTTCGGGAATCCTACGAGACCACCCAAGCAGGCCGTCTCAGGATACACCTTGAGTCGAAGTTCGACCACGATACCGAAGTTGCCATTGCCCGCACCGCGAAGTGCCCAGAGCAACTCCTTTCCGTTAGGGTGCTGGTCAGTGTCGACCACCTCGCCGCTCGCGAGGACCAATCGGGCCCCCAGAATCTGGTCAACACCAAGGCCATAGAAGGCGCTGGAGTACCCGTATCCGCCGCCCATGGCCCAGCCCGCGATTCCAACGCCCGAACACCATCCGTGAGGCGTCAGGAGTTTGTGTTCATGAAGGAACTTTGACAGGGCGAGGCCTATGATACCGCCGCCGACACGGACCGACTTCCTGTCCTCAGCGACGACGGCGCTGTCAAGGGCGCGGAGATCGATCATGATGCCATCTTTCCCTTGATTTTGTGTGAAGCTAAGGTCGTGTCCGCCAGCTCTAATACCGAAGGGCAGGTTCTGAGCCTTTGCTTCTTTAACCACGGCGGCGACCTCGGCGTCTGTTCTTGGTCTGAGGATCGCTAGAGGCTGCTTTGTCGCTGCGCCATTGTAAAATGGCCTCACGATCACGTAGGATTCTGACGAGGGTGTGTATATGGGTAACTCGGGATACTTCTCGGCAAAGTCTTGAAACTGGGGCGCATCTTTCGCGATCTGTTCTCGTGTTGACCCCTCGGGGTTGGAGATACGGAATTCACCGGTTGCTTCAAGCGATGCCATCATGATTGGTCTCGTCGATATCTGTGTGCGCCAAGTTTCTGTTGCAGATTCCTTCAATGAGAGGGTAGCCTGCTTTTATTTACAGCCTGGACTCTTAATCAATCCACCAGACCCCTCACTCCAACGCAGGTCGGCCCAGACCCCGACGTGTTGGAACAGGGGTCTTCCGGACCCTTGAATGTGAAGTGTGACGGATGCTCCTCTTGAAGAACCGAGAAGCCCAATCGCTATGGTTGAGCGTGAAGTGGATCGTGACACTTGCAGCAAGGTTGCCGAGGGGCTAATGCCGCTCACGTCAGCTGCGCATGCTGCTCAAATTGAGAGATTCCATTGACAAGGCGCCAGATGCCGCGACATATTGGCAGTCGATGTATTATATTATACTAGGCTTTGAAAGGCATACTCCAAACGCTCGATGTATTTGCGACCGAAAGAAACCGCAATTGAAAGCAAAAGCTCGTTCTAACCAGGCACCAGTTTACCCGCCAAGCAGCCCCGCTCTCCCGTTGGTCCAACATATCATGCCGGAGATGCACTCTGAAAAGGGACTTTGGAAGTCAAACGGTACCCAGTCTGCGAGGTCTTTTCTCAAGTGGGTTATCAGTGCCGCTGAAGAGTCGATATTGCAACGGCAAGTTGCAGAAACGCTGCAGGGTCGCCGAATATGGCGCGCCGTACCTGCACCACCGATATGCGACCCATCATGTTGACACGCGTTCTTTTTCGGCAGTCATGCGATGGAGGACTTGATAGGATTGATCGGAAAGTTCGAAAAGAACGTCGACGTCTTCCGACTCGGCTCCCTCATTGGCAGAAGGGATTTGAGCCACGTGCAGCACCAACTTTTCGAAGACATTCACACCCTTCGCATCGTGGATGTTATCAATCCACAGGACTTTTGCGAGATTCTCCTTTGCTTTTGGCCAGGTTGTTCCGAGTGGATTGCGCAGTGAAGCCAGCTTTGGTAACAGCCATACATCGTCGTTGTCATCGAACACGGCCGTAGACCCGATGACTAGTATCCAGGCTAGTAGGAGTCTCGATGAAGGTGTTTCCGCTCGCGACAGGTCGACTGCCTGTAGCGTCTCCCGAAGCCTGTTTGATAACCAGACGAACCGCAATCTGGCACCTAGAATGTGGAGATAGAGTGTCGCAATGAAGCCGAGCATGGCCAGACGCAAAGCTTCCGCCACGGTATTGTTGTCCAGCTCTAGGTAGAGCAGCCGATACTGGATGGAAGTCATGAGTTGTTGAAACTTGATAGGGTCTATCTTCTGTTTTCGGAACAAGATTTTCACCATGGCAGAAAAGTCTTGTAGATCTTGGAATATGTAGCCCAGTCGGAGATCAAGAGACTCAACAAAGTTTCGTATAGGAGAGGGCCCTTGTGAGGGTGTAACTCCCCCGGGTGAAGGACCTAGAGTAGAGGCGAATGCCGGCTCGTAGGAAAGGTTATCGCTGAAGTACTCCGGTCTTTCTCCCGTGATGAGAGACCAACCGATATCAACGCTGATCTGAGTAAGCTTTCTGGATGGAGATAATGGACATGATAGACTCACCGGCATATCTTTGCAAAGAGCTGTAAGTTATGCCTAAAGCTCTCAATCCCGCCTCTTAGCTTGACTATTTGCCGGAGACCAGCAACATGCGCAGCTGATGCCGCATGATCTCCGAACATCTCCGCCACCATGCTCATAGTCACGATTGTGGCTACTGTTGAGTCGGCGATTGCCATTTCCTTGGACGCAATGTTCTCGTTCAAATAGTTCAACGACTTGCAGATATGGTAGTTGGTTTTCTTGCTTCGCTTGCTTCCCAGAAGCCAGTCATGTAACATCGCGACAGTGAAGAGGACGGAGTGTAGATAGGCTGGATCCACCAGCAGCCAATGGAACCACGGAGTCTTGCTTGCGTCAAACCGAACGCACCACTCAACAGGGTACATGGCTTCCTTGATTATGGCATAGACTAAGCATTAATGAGTATGACTGGATCTGATTGGAAGGGGGGTCCAAGACGACATACATTCGAATAACATCTCTTTTGAGCTCGAGTCAATCTCATCTGCAAATGGGCAAGCAAAGACGTCAAAAGGGGTACGCAACAGTCTCAGAAGACCCTCCGGTTCGTCTTCATCACTCGGGCTTGCAGGGTCTTCTATCATCAGGGGGCTCCATGTCGACTGAGGCACCGTTGGCGCGGGATCTGACGTCTGAACACTGTCCGTAGTTATTGGGGCCCTGTCGCGGTTCGGCACGACCCGCGGCCGTGTTGCGCGTGTGTTCTTTCCTCGCATGACATGGCTTCGGATCAACTTGCGGTCACCCGAGTTTGGCTTGCCATTTGAGTCTGCGATGACAAAGGCAAACCCCTTGTTCGCTGATGAAGCGAGTCAGACATGAACACGTTGACAGACATAGAATGCCATACCACCGGCGTTCTGTTTTCCCATTATGGACCGCCAAGCTCACTGCAGTGCCCCAACATACGTAGAGTCTGCGGTTTCCAGGCTGTCTGCGATGATCGCCTGACCTGAACTTCTTCCGGCTGCTGTCGGGTTGCGCGTGCCTGAAGCTATCGGAGATGAGCAATGCTAATTCCGCAAGTGTAAGTTTTAGATGAGTGGCCGACTCTCGCTGGCCGGAGTAAAGCTGTAGGCCAAGAGTTGAAGTCTACTGTTGACCCAAAAGGGAATGCAATGAAGAAGCTGAGGAGTTAAGGTCTCAGAGACAGGTAGGCTGAAGCAAAAGCCGTTTGGTGCGAAGACACGTGCCCAATGGATCCTTACTGTTCCTTCACTCATCGTAAGCCTACGCAGTCGCGTACCCCGCTCCGGTGCTGAGCGCCACAAGCCCAGCCATGCTGACACTCGATTGTTGCCCTCTTCCGGCCTAGCGGCTTTCTGCGAGGATTCGTTCCCCAATAAGATTACTTAAATGGGAGAGCAATCGAGGAAAAACACACGGGTATCCGCTTTTAAACCCTTTTGTTAAGCCCGGAGCACGCGTGGTGTATCCCCGAGCTGTTCCGGGATCAAGGCGCAATCAAGTGGGGCTTGGTGCCGGTCGGACTGGGTGACTCCCGGGCTCGGGCCCGGTGACGCTTCCGAGCATGACCATTTACCCCTTTAGGTCATCATTCGACGTCTTTTCATAAGGGCAAAACAAGAGACTTATGCCCAAAAATGGATGGGCGAAGCAATGACGAACTTCATTATGTACAGGTGCTGATGACTTCATGTCTTTCCTCAAAATATAAGAACACCACTGAGACGACAAGATGGAAAGACTCAAACACACCTTCAACGACGACATTGAACACTTACATCGCAATTCCCCCAGCAAAAGCTTACAGCAAATATCGCATACCTATACAGCCCACCACATTGCCTCTTATCATGACGAGCTCCATCAACCTCCCGCCCCTGACCTCAGGCACAATGGGTTTGACAGTGAAGGCCATGTGCGCCAAACCGCAAATGCCTCCCAATGATCTCTCGCTCTCCGGAAAGACTGCAATCATCACAGGCTCCAACGCCGGGATCGGTTTGACTTGCGCGGAGATGCTGCTGGAGCATAAGCTGAGCCATCTCATCATGGCTGTACGATCCCAGAAGAAGGGAGAGGAAGCCGCATCAAAGTTACGCCAGACGCATCCTTCAGCCAACATTGAAGTTTGGCCTCTGGACATGATGTCATACGATTCCATCCAACAATTTGTCGAGCGTACCTCTTCCCTTCCGCGCATCGACTTCGTCATCCTGAACGCCGGCATCGTGAAGGAGCATTTCCAGCTCTCGCGATACGGCCATGAGGAGTCAATTCAGGTCAACTACTTGTCAACAGCACTCCTAACTATACTTCTGCTTCCAGTTCTGAAAGCAAAGAAGGTCGATGGAAAGGCCCGGACTCTATCCATCGTCAACTCGGGCACATCCTTGATGGCCAACTTCAAGGAAGCCGACAAAGTACCTCTTTTGCCTGCGTTTGACGACGAGGCGACATTCAACAACCTCGAGCGATATCCGAACTCGAAGATTCTCGGCCAGTGCTTCATGATCAAACTCGCCGACTACGTGAGAAAGGAGGATGTCGTCGTCAATCTTGTCGACCCAGGCTTGACTAAGGGAACGAATCTACACACCAACCTGAGCGGTATATTGAAAGCTTTCATGGGAGCGGCCAAGGGTCTTACCGGAAGATCGCTCGAGAAAGCCGCATCAACCTATGTCAATGCCGCGGTGGTGAGAGGGGAAGAGACCCATGGCAGCTTTCTCATGGACTGGGAGATCTCTCCGTAAGTTTGCCTTCCAAGTTAGTAAGAACTTAGCTAACATGAGCTGTCAAGATTCGCCTCCATGCTATACGAACCAAAGGGAAAGGCAGCCACCGAGCGCCTTTGGGAGGAGACTATGGAAGAGCTCGAGTTTGCCGGGGTCCGTTCGATCCTTCGGTCCATGCAGGCAGGCTCGAGATAAGAACCGGACGATTTCCGGGGAACCTTTGGCCCGCCAGTCTGAATTGCTCTTTGGGTTGCTGCAGTTGGGTGGTATGCATGGAGTTTGGGCGTTGACGGATCCCATCGAGGCGATGTCTCTGTTGGACAACGGCCACCAATTTAGCGAGTGTGCAAATAGACGGTTCTCTCGTAGTCGAACACATGAGCTTATAGATTTCTTTGGTACTTCGTGGCTAGCTTCATTACTGTAATAGAAAGCGTTCTTCTTTCGGACTATTCCATGTATGTCTCCTTCTTGTCTTGTGAGCCCAACGAAAGTTCTTCGAAAGTTCTTCCTTGGCAGCGTCAAAAGTTCCTGCCGTCTCACTTGAAGGATCAGTCGAGAAGTATCGAATGGCAGAGCCGTTGGCGGTGGTATACTACGGCATCACTGCGCCAGCCTGATAGGCCTCGGCCAACCTCCCAAATTGCACGCATGGCGTGTTTTCGGTTCGCCTTCACAGCTCTTGGCCAGAGGCCGGATGAGATGATTGCGCAGATTGCGAGAGTTGGGGGGATGCTCTCAGCCTTAAACAGTTGGATCAACAAGCAGTTCGCATTTCCAAGGAGCAGATCAGCATAGCGTCTGTTCGCTGTCTCTGAGATTCTGGCCATGATCTAAGCGAGGAATATCAAGTCCGTACCCAGTTGACTTACATGGTGATCCTGACGCCATTTGACCCGGTGGCAAGACGCCCAGTTCGTGAACACAGGGGTCTGAATGCACCCATCCAGCTGATAGAGACCTTCACGCAGTTTGGAGGGCACCCGATAGGCTAGAACCGGTTCGAATTCCTCGCTCAGAGTCCCCTCTCAGCTGGCAACTTCACGATACTACCCGAAGATCTGGAAATAGCAATGGCATCGCGGAGGGAGGCAATCAACCAACAACAGTCTCGCACTCTCTCCATTAGCCTCTCAAGGACCTTCCGCAAACTGACGACCCGGTACGATGGCCGATTCCAGCCATGCAACCGATGCCAAGCGGTCGGGTACACTCCAGACTCCCAACAGCCTGTCAATGCATGCCAAGAATCATTATCAGTCAGGGATGATGAGGGGGGCAGTCCTCGACCAATAATTTAAGCTGCGATAGCAATTCTGCTCAGAGGCATTTGAGGAACATGGTGGACTCAGCTGGGGAGCTGAGGTTTCCTGGAAAAGACAGACTACCAAGACTTCCAAGACGGCAACATGTGCCCAGACGGAGCATTGGCATCGCCAAGTCAGGACCTAAAAGCCGCGAACCGAGACATCGTCTACGACGATTCGCGCGACCCATGGTCTTTACTACGGCTGCAATAGAGTCTTTGGTGATACTTTGAATCCAGAAAAACCGAGACACTGTAGAAAGTTCCCATCACAAGCTTCGAATGAAGAAGGCCCCTTCTACAGAGCCGGAGAAGTGCTGGAAATTGTGCCCCGGGCGAGTCAGTGTATCTCGCTGCCAAGCGCGCCACCGCGGTGAATAGGTTCGAATACGGAAGCTTCTTTTGGCCGGAATAGCCACATGACTGAAGGTTCCTACCAGTTGGTTCGGTGTTCGGGACAGTAGAAAAGTGTCGAATGAGGGGATCCATGGTTACGAGCCTGCCTTTCACGGCCAAACCTGCGGCACGGCGGCTGCACCACGAGCGCCCTCCCGAAGGCATCGATTGAGTCGCGCCGCACAAACGTTCCTGACGAAAGCTTGGCGCGCGAGAGAGGTCTTGGCGGATGGGCCTGACTTTAAGCACTTTGTCGAGCAAATTGCCCCGGAGAGATAACGATCACGCGCGCTGTTGCAGTTGCGATAACGGTGGAGGGGATTACGCCATGCGACGACGGACCGGGGAGGGGATAAGATTGAGGGACGCGCGCCTCCAGTTGGTGTTGGGGACGGAATCGACCTGCCCGAAGAAGAAATCTGGAGAAGAAACCAGTCCCGGTCTGGTTTAGACGAAGCGAAAATCTGCTCGTACGACTGGCCAGCTGTCGCAGGGAACTCGTTACAAATGGCTGGTGTCCGTCGTGAACGTGAAATGAGAGGTACCTTTTCTTCTCCCTGTTGGCAGATGGCTCGAAGGACATTCCGCCTGGATGATATGAAACCCGCCTTGCTTGATGAACATGATTTCCTTTGGTAAGGAGAGGATGCTTTAAGGATCATTGTTAGCGTGGGGGAAACCGAGGTGCTCGGTTTTGAGAGAGTAGGATTCTAGCCAAAGCAATGAGAAAATCCAGCCAATGTCGGGCCAGAAAATCAGCCGGGGCGATTGATAGGACGCGTTGTCGACCCATCTAATAAGCTGCCGATACTAGGAGCTCGTGAGGGGGCTAGCCAGGGTCGACATTGGTGGCCCCTCGCCGACCGTCAAAAAGTTCCTCCAGAAGAACTCTCCTGCGGCAGACGAGCACAGGTTAATCAACTTGCCACCTTCTGTCTGGCCGGATGATACCACTGGAGGAGGCCTGACGCATGGCCAATGGGGCATGCAAATGCCCGGACGTCTGGCCGATAAGACACGGGGAGACGGAGCTGGTGCTTGTGAGAGGGGAAAGGAAAGACAGCCGGGGCTGGCCGTTGTCTCTGGATGAACGTGCTTCCCGTCCCACGAACGTAACGACTCGACTTTTCAGCTGTTCATCTCAGGCCTGGTGAGGCGGCGATGGTGTGCAGCGAGAACACATGGCGGACAAGCTTTTTTCGGGCAAGATCTCTTGACACTGCACGGATGGCAAGTCTTGGGCGTCTTGGAAGCATATCGCGATGGTCTTGGAGCTCTTGGAAATCGCCTTGGAAAGCTTGTGAGTCTTGGTCGGTCTTGGGAGGCTTGGGAGGCTTCGGGGACGGCGCCACTCCCTCTCCCTCGCAGGGTCCAGCGGGTTCAACGCCCATCTTTGATCATGTCCGTCTTGGTGTTCTGGCCAAATTTGCCAAGATGTTAGTCGCCTATGCCGTCGACTAGTGCACAACCCTGAAGACGGAAAACAGATGCCGACGTTTGATTCGTTGGTAGGGCTCAGCCATGCGTTGCGTCCAGCCACCACACCGAGAGGATGAACAACCGTTTTCCAGCATCCTTCTATGCTTCTTCGATGCCAGCCTGACAGTGCCTCCCGGGCATGTCTCTCGGCGGCCACAATGTCTAGAATGTTGCATTGCAACTTGGTGTGTCAAGAGCTGAACCAGAGCTTTTCGGTCTAGTCAAGTCTCTTCATGTGGTATGCGTAGAAGCGAAGCGGCACAGCGAATAAGACTCGCAGATCTTCAACGATTAGGGTCTGAGGAATGCGTTCAAGGGCTCAGACCACCGTGTTCACCTCACCATCCCCCCATCTTATCGCGCGCTCCCCACCAGCCCCCAAGCTGGGACTTCACTCGCAGAAAGAAACGGACTTCAAGACGACGTCCACTTCTTCCGCGGAGGGTCCCTCACACTGATCGATCACCGCGTCAGTCCCACAAGAGGTACGACTTGCCAGACGCAGGGCGTTGAGTGTACAGTACGGTACTGCGTGCACCCGCAAGCCCACGCGCGACACAACGCACACAAGCAGCGCCGTTACGGTCAGTGCCGAAAGAGACCCCGAGATGGGCACAGATGGCACGCAGCGACGGATAGCCACCTTGCCACCAGCATCCCCCCGCCACTACTTTTGCCGGGGGAGATTGCAAAAGGTGTGGGAGCCGTAGCAGCAAATCATCCCCATGCCGGTTGATGAGAAGGCAGGATTTACGAATAGAAGAGTTGGTTCGCCGACCGACAACCTGTCTTCAGCCCGATCGACATTGAATGAGACAGGGCTGCACTCTGTCTGCGGGCGGAAACGTCGCACCACGATGAAGCCATCGCGATTGCGGCTTGAGCTGCGTCCAGTCCCAAGAACCAACGGCCTGGTTTGATTGGGAGGATAGGTTGCTTGTACTCGTCGTACAGTAGTTGCTCTCAAAAGTTCCTCGGCCGAGAGCTGTCTAACTTTGCCTTACCAGATCAAGGTCGTCCGAGGTCCCGACTGCATGGGATGACTGAAGGCCGGCGGAGACCCGCGAGTCTAAGGAAAGAGATATGCGCCATCTCAGGCTTGAAAGATGCCAACGGCGACAATGGCGGAAGCTCTTGCGCCTTGAGAGAAGGTTCCATACCACCCATGCAATGCACCAGGGATCCCTCTGCGTTGGACTTGATGCCCCGTCTGCAGGTTCGCAGTGACTGGGACTGATCCCGGTGGGTAGCCGGGAGGTGGAGGTGACATTCGTTTCCGTCCGTCCCCCCCAATCCAGGAAAAGAAGTGAAGATGAACTACAGGAGGGCCGCAGATAGGCATCTTGCCGTCCATGTTTGTTCATGGAAAGCTCATGTATCCGTACATGTTCTGTCCTGATGTGGCCAGGGCATCTTGCCTCGATCCTTCTCACGTTCCTTCTTCTTCTTTCTGCTCTTCGTCATCATGTCTCTCATCCTTCCTGTCTCATGCTCGGCTGGGCAAGCCACCCAATGCGGGCAAAGTAAAGACGCACATCGATCCCTCCTCCAACGCCCGGGAACCTTTGATATCGGCCATGTCGAATGCAGAAGGTAGAGATGTCTGCCGCCAGGGTTGCACTGCACCCTCCGGCTGCACGTCCAGACGAGGGGGGCGGCTGGAAGTCCAGCCCTGAACATAATCACCCATGCCACATCACCCCTGCCTTCTGAAGAGGAAGCTCTGTCTATCCCAGCCTATGCCGTCGCAGCATTGAGTCCCATCTTGGGGGGCAAGGGGTCCTTTCCTGAGGATCGCCTTGTGGCAACACCGACTGTCACCATCGTCCTGCCCGTTCGTTGCCAGGCGGTTGGAACCCCCGGGTCCCACCCGTCGATAAGCATATGGATGGCGAGCTTGGTCCGGTCGCCCTCGTGGCACTGGATATTAAAAGGTCTTGATGTCCTCGTCCCCTCTTTCCCCGTTTCTTCTCGTTTCTCGGTCACTGGCATATTTCCAGCCCAGAAGTCAACGGGTCCTGCAGATCAGCCCCTCCGTACCTTACTCAAGGTAAAGAGTCCTGACCCAGCGCAACCATGTCCGAAATCCGTGAACAACGGCCCGCCGCCCAGGGCGGCGTGGTCTCCAACGAGAAGGCCGAGCCCGTAAGTACAATGTCTTAGGAGGCTCACTTGAGCCTCAACTCACAGGACGGTGTACTAAGTCGCTTGACCTAGTTCGTCGACGCTCATCCCGAGGGCACCGACTACAACGAGCACGTCGAGATGGAGCTCAACGTCACCGAGGACGATCTGCTTGAGGCCAAGGAGCTCGCTTCGCAGATGTCCCTTGAGGAGGTTCGCGAGATGATGTTTAACGTCCACAAGATCCACGAGAAGGACCCCAACTTCCCGCTCGTCATTATCGAGAAGATTGAGGCTTTCCTCCAGAACGACGACGTCTTCGAGAACCCCGAGAAGCACGAGACTCTGATCCAGGAGATGAAGCTTGAGGCCGCCCTCATCACGGGCAACTCGCCCTACTCTGAGGTGCGCGCCGTCGTCGACAACCATGACGACCCCACCATGCCCTCGTCGACCATTCGTGCGTGGGTTATCGGTCTGCTCTTCTCCGCTCTGCTCGCCTTTGTGAACCAGCTCTTCTCCGTCCGCTACCCGTCTATCACGATTTTAGCCAACGTTGCCCAGCTGCTCGCTTACCCCTTGGGTAAGTTGTGGGAGAAGGCTCTTCCCGACGTCGGCTTCACTGTCTTTGGCTCCCGTATCTCGCTCAACCCTGGCCCGTTCAACCGCAAGGAGCACATGCTCATCACGATCATGGCCAACGTTGCGTACAACATCCCGTATACTAACTACATCATCTGGACTCAGGTAGGCTTCTACCCGGTGCAACTTTGCACCTTGACGATGAACCTCAACTAACAGTACTCTCCAGTGGCTCCCCCAGTTTTTCAACATGCCGTATGCCGCCAACTTCGGTTACCAACTCCTCATTTCGCTGTCAACCAACTTCATCGGCTACGGTCTGGCCGGTCTCTGCCGTCGTTTCCTCGTGTACCCCTCGTACTGTGTCTGGCCCGCGTCTCTGGTGACCATCGCCCTGAACGCCGCCTTCCACAGCGACAAGAACAGCACCGTCGACGGTCCTTTCCGCAGTGTCTGGAACCTTAGCAGACAGAAGTTCTTCTACATCGCCTTCGCTGCCATGTTCGTGTGGTTCTGGTTCCCCAACTACATCTTCACGGCTCTCAGCACCTTCAGCTGGATGACCTGGATCGCGCCCAACAACCGCAACCTGGCCACCATCACCGGCTTCAACAGCGGTCTTGGATTCAACCCCTGGCCCACTTTCGACTGGAACATCCTGTGAGTACTGCCATTGGGTTTAATTCACGAGAACACTTACTAACGGGCGCAGTCTCTTCGACAACACTGATCCCTTGATGGTTCCCTTCTTTTCTACCTTCAACAAGTTCCTCGGAACTCTCATTTCCGGCTTCGTCATCATCGCCGTCTGGTACACCAACACCTACAACACCGGATACCTCCCCATCAACTCCAACAAGGTCTACGACCATTTCGGCAAGCTGTACAACGTGTCGCGCGCTGTCAACGAGCACGGCCTCTTCGACAAGGAGGCCTACGAGGCTTACTCCCCCCCGTTCCTGGGCGCCGCCAACACCATGATCTACATGTTCTTCTTCGCCATCTACACCGCCACCATTACCTACGCCATCCTCTACCACAGACATGAGATCGCCCTCGGCTTCAAGGCTCTGATCGGCAGCTTCCGCAAGAACAGCGACATCGAGAAGGACCAGGTCCTCGACGTCCACAACCGTCTCATGAAGGTCTACCCCGAGGTCCCTGAGTGGTGGTACCTCCTCACCCTCATCGTCGCCATTGCTCTCGGCTGCGCCGGTATTGCCGCCTGGCCCACGTACACCACCGTCGGCGTCGTCTTCTACGGTATCATCCTCTGCCTGATTTTCGTCGTTCCTGTCGGTATTATCAAGGCCATGACCGGTATCGAGGTCACCCTCAACGTGCTTGCTGAGTTCATCGGTGGTTCCTGGGTCGAGGGTAACGCCCTAGCCATGAACTACTTCAAGTCGTTCGGCTACGTCACCTGCGCCCACGCCGTTTGGTTCTCCAACGATCTTAAGCTTGCGCACTACGTGAAGATTCCCCCTCGTCATACTTTCTGGGCTCAGATGGTTGCGACGCTCGTGTCTACCCTCGTGTGTCTCGGCGTCTTGAAGTTCCAGATGACTAGCATTCCGGGAATCTGCACTGCCGATGCCAAGTTCAAGATGACCTGCCCCGGCATCAACACCTTCTTCACCGCCTCTGTTCTCTGGGGCACCGTCGGTCCCAAGAAGATCTGGGGTGCCGGTGGCCAGTACACTGAGACCCTCCTCGGTTTCCCTCTTGGTGTTGCCGTCGTCCTCATCTTCTGGGGTCTCGGCAAGGCCTTCCCCCGCTGGAAGTGGATCCGCCAGATTCACCCCGTCGCCATGATGTACGGTGCTCTCGTCTGGGCTCCCTACAACATGTCCTTTGTCTGGCCCTCCGTCCCCATTGCGTACTTCTCTTGGGTCTACCTCAAGAGCCGTTTCCTTGGTTTCTGGTCCAAGGTAAGTTTTTGTACCCCCCTCTTGACTACCACGTTTGCAGTCGCTAACCCTCTTTGCAGTACAACTTCGTCCTCTCCGCTGCTTTCTCTTGCGGCATTGCCATCTCCGGCATCATCATGTTCTTCGGCCTTCAGTGGCAAGATATTGAGGTTGACTGGTGGGGCAACAGCGTCGTGTCAGAAGGCTGCGAAGGCCTGGCCTGCCGTCTCAAGACACTCGCGGACGGCGAGTACTTCGGCCCTCGCATCGGCGACTTCCACTAAGGGATTCCGTCGTTTGCGAACTTCGCGGCCTGGCCGTCGCGGTTGTGCTTTTCGTGTGTTTTCAGCGCATGTATGATGTGATGAAAAAGAATTTGAAGACCAGAAGGAGCGTGGCGGAATTGGCGTAATTTGGTGAATGTAATGAGACGAAGTATGGAGACGAAATACCCCCCAAACACTCCTTTGCGATATAGCGGAAGACTTCAATGAAGAATCTTGCTCTTCCGACCCGAATCTCGTGACTCTCTTGTGAAATCAAAGTTGCGACTCATCAATCGGCTATGATGTGAGGTGACCGTGCTTTGATCGTGACCATTGACTTTCATGGAAGCGACGCCTGGCATGGCGATGTTGGTTGTCTCGTAGTGATCTGAAGGGCGCGATTGGGCAAGTTGGTTCCCGCAAACCCTCTCAGGATTGAGATCTCGTTTACAGGCCGGGCTGATTTCTTTGATTGTCGGACTTTTTAAAGCGGAAAGCAGTAAAACCTAGCCATGCCGTCACGAAGCTGAAGGTTGGCGGTCTGTTTTAATATCATCTTCGAACCAACATCGCCCCCGCAACGGTTGCCGGCTCGGTGCCGCACCGGCGTGGCTGTGCTAGATAGCTCGGCGATCTGGCATAACCAGTGCATACTGGGGATGATACTGGCGATGGGTGACTGGTTGCAAGAGAGGCCTGAAGATTAGGTTGTGGAGTATTCAAGATACCTGAACATCGTTTGGGGGGAATTCTCGCCTTTTCAAACAAGTTCACGTTGGCGTCAGCAGGCTTGAGGATAGCTTGTGTTTGAGTCGGTAAATGAAGTTGCCGAGCGGGCTGTGGTGTGGTGGCCACCGATGGAGCCAACGCCTGTGTAACGTGAGATGTGCGGAGCAGCCTTTCAAGATGGCAGCCTCTGAGTTATAAAGACCCGGCGGTAAGAGAATTTCACAAAGAAGAGGTTTTTCTTAATCAAGTATTATTGCTAGAATGGTCTAGTCTTATCAATACCGCAATTTCGACCGGCTCTGACGGCACAGCTGACAGGTGTAAAGTTCGCCCGGCTTACGACACGGAAAGCGTACCCGAATCTGCCTGCTAGTCACCGGAACAATACCATTTCTTGGTTAGGCATATTTCTCGTTTGGGCACTGAAAAATTCGCCATATCAAACTGTCTTTATTCACATCCACTTCTCTTCTCTCTGATTACAAAGAGACCACCTAATTTTCCTATGTGTGGGTGGCTACATTTCCTGTGGACTTGGTGACTTTTATGAGGACGACGACCAGAGACAGCAATGAGGAACGACGACGAACGACGACGACGAAGGACGACGATGACAATCCTAATAATGACAAGAACTACCTAGGATAGCGACTACAATAGCAATGATGATAGCGAGCACACAGGAAAAGTAGTCGCTCTAGCATAGAAAGGTTGGGGGTCTGGTTAGAAATTTCCAGGTAGCACAGCTTGCAACTGACGTACTGGGACCAGCTCGACCAGTCAGTCGAGAGCTTCAGGTTAGACGCCTGTAGTCAAGCAGGCTTCTTGATCCTATGATGAAGATCAAAACTTCCTCGCCTTCACCACCTCACAAGAGAGTATCACACTGAGTTTGACTAGGCACCAGAAATAAGCCTAAGGTAATCTCAGGTGATAGAAAGAAAGAGGTCTTAGGAGACATTCAGCGTAGTATATTCGAATTGGCTCAAACTATTGTTACGGTAGTTCTAGAAGATGCAAGCTCATCAGCGCCGAACTCCTTGACGTCCTGAAGAACTGCGCCAATTCTTCTCATACAGCCTGGCCGGTCCATTGCGGGAGTGACGTAAATCCCGTGAGCGCAGGGATTCTTCCGCTCGGGGTCTGGTCTTCCTGGTCCGCCGTAGGTGTAAGCCAATATCAATGCGTACACTTCCATAGATCTGATGAGCTCTGCACTGGCCTCATAGCTTCGGTTGATGGTGTCCAGCATGCCGAAGCAATCATCGCCTCCCTTCTCGCTTCGGAACAGCATATGGCCTGTGGGCCCCTTAGCATCAGAGAGCGACATCTTGACCAGGGGCGCCTCGAGCTTGATCCAGCCGTCTTTCACGCGACCAAAGGGGTTGTCCCCGTCGATTTCAACCTTGGCTTCAAGAACATTTGCCACTTCTTCCGTCACCCCAATTAACCCGGTCGCCGGTATTCCGTCGACTGAGGCCCAAGACCATGAGGGTGCGCGGTACTGCTCGATGGGTTTACAGCGCAGAGCCTGCCAGCATAAGCATTCGATCAAGGACCCACGCCAAAGACCGGCCAAGTATTCATCTTTGAAGCCTTTGCTCAAGGACTTAGCAATGCCAGAGAATGCTGGAAGCTTGTCCAGAGGATTTGTCAACTCTCGCGGGCCGTACTCCCAGAGGAGTTCGTGCCAATTTCTCGTCAAGGTGGAGGAGTGGTCGAGTCCTTCCCACCTAGGATTTGTGGGATGGGCATTGTTGCGACGCTGATCAACGTACTCCACAAGCTGGGTGTCATCGTTGATGAAAGGTATGCGGTAGTTCAGCTTCAGTCCTTGCTCTGCTTCAAACCCTTCGAGACATTCCCAGTACATCTGCTGGCTTGAGAAGTGCAGAATTCGGCGAGCGAGGACACGTTCCTGGAAGCCCCACGCTCTCTTCGTGAGAGGCTCCTTTTTCATCCGCATATGAAATTGGTGAATGGTATCGTGATCGAGGGTCAAGGCCGTTGCCAAGATGTACTCATCTGGAGAAGAACCCTTCCGTGGAAGTTTGAAGTAGGTTTGAGGGATTCGAGCTGACAGTAAACCTCCATTGGTATCGCCGGACTTTACAGCGGCAAGCGTCAGATACGAGTTCGAGTACACAGCAGCCATTTGCGCTGACTCTCGTTCCCAGTCCTTCAGGTCATCCTGACAGATACATAGGCTGTCGATCCAAAGGTATCTTACCCCGACCATTCGAGTCAGAGTTACAGCGTCTCGAAGAGTTTGCGGAAGTTGATTGATATCAATACCGTCTCTTCGAGCCTGAATGGTCTCACTGGTGGTAACAAAGTGTTTCTCCCCCTTTCCCCAACAGTAACTGAGGGTGACATAGCGGTTACAGAGGTCAGGGTCCGGCTGAACGAGTTTAATGATTGACCCAGAGTCTGACGTGCCAACGTCCAAAAGGCGAGTTGGCATTGGAGCTTGCTGCGCTTTGCAGTACGGGTGCTCATCGCAGGCTTTGAGCCACTTGAGAATGAGGTTCAATGTGGTTTGGTTCGGAACCTCTTTCAGAACGCGGTCGCTAGAGCCGATAGATAGAGGATCACCTATGAGTTGTTTCTGTCAGTCACAAGATGCAATCAGAGCGTCTTGGGAATCCAGACACTCACCTTCATCAGAAGCAAAGCCGATCGATGCGACGGGCATCAAGCAATATCGACCCTCGTCTTCAACGCTGCTGCAAACAACCCAGAATCCATCGCCGCCAGACTCGCCACGTTGAGTCAACCACATGTTCCAGTCAGGAACCCACTTGTATGCACCCAGATTTGGACGTTCTAGTGTCTTAATCTCCTCCAACAGCGCATCGACCTCCTTCTCAATTGCCTGACATAGAACGCATCCGTTAATTGATGCTTGACGGAGCGAAGCAAGATCGGGATGGTACGGAATACCCATACATGGAATGGGTTTCCCTTTCTCATGATCGTCCAAGATAATGTGCTGGAATCTCTGTTTCCCACTTAGAGTTCTCGTGGTTTTGTCGTCAGGAAAGGGGGGCAGGTCTTGCAATGGAAGAGACTGACAAAAGCTACAGAGAATCATGATGCCTAAAACCCCGCGAAAGGTGTGAGATGATATCAAAGCCGAGAGCACATTCGCATAAGTCGTTTCAGATCACGGAACTACTGCAGTTGAAATACAATCGGTATGTGTAGCTTTGGTGGCGATAGAGACGCGGATCATTCCTGTCTCATGCCGTCAGCAGTATCATGCCCCTCCATGTGACTACTATTCACTGTGACTAACGTGAGGGCCAAGCCATGGATGCTTGGGGGCTAGGCCGGCCGCCTGCAAGTCTGCCTCGGCGGATCCAACCTTCAAAGATCAACGCAAAAGTATGGAAGACCATTGTTCTTCGCATTCCTATGTGGCCTCGCATTTACTGCGCTGGCTATGAAGAGACACTATGCCGAGAGCGAACCGCTGAACAAGTTAAATCATCATTCTTCTCGTCTCCGTCAACTCTGTTGTCTCTGTTTTCCAAGTCGTCCGTGCGACTCTCCGTCCAGTCTCCGTCCGGACGGTAAGGCTCTACCGAGAAACCGGAACTTGAAAATACTAGGATGGACGGGGAAAGCCAGACACCGACAGAACAGGCAGAAAGGCAGCCAGCCGGGCGGCCGCTTATTTGCGCGCCAAGGAAAGAGCTGAAGACCCCCTGTGCGCCAGGTTGCCGTTTTGCTGCCTGCAATTGGGCAGTGCAGGGTTGATCGCTGGTGCCATCATACCTAAATGCTGACAGACAGTAGGCGAACTGGAGGAAAGGGACTTTGGTTTCTCAACGTGTCATTTGGCAGTGCACACACAGCCATGGGTTATGGCGGCTGCGTCTCCTGAATTCAGCCTGCTCTTCATATTGAACGTTCTTGTACATTCTCGAAGGCTAAGTACCACTGTCGCCCCCTGGGTGGTCATGTACCAATTAACCTGTCTCATACCCCGGGAGCCTTGCCATAACCTCACGTCTTACCAATACACTGGAGTCGACATCATTAGCGCCGAGACTCACGACTGGTGGGCGCAAACAAGCTTTAATTAAACTATGGATGCTCCTAGCCTGATCTAGCGCCCGTTGCAAGGGCTTTCTGGACCCCACGTTCTTAAATACCGTGTTCCTGCGGCACAGTTACCAATTTCCTTGGTCTTGAGCAACCAGAAGGGTTGCTTAACCCCTGTCATCATTGCCGTGTCGGCGGGATTTGTAGGGATTTGATCGTTTTGCAAGAGTAAAAAGGATCTTCATGCTGGATTGCCAAGACATGCGATGTCTCCTTGCACGACCATCCATCAAATAAGCCAGACGGCGTGGTGCTCCATAGTGAACCTAGCGAGTGGGAGCCGGAGAGATCCAGCCGATACTTATGGAGACCTCTTCGTCTCTTCCCCCCAGGGGCTTGAAAGGTAAATTTCTGACTTCAAGTTTGTCGATGTCACATAGAGTCTTTCGGATTCTGGTTTCTTGCCCATTCCCACCCGCCGCATAGTTGGAAGGATTTGCCATGGATCAACCACGACAGTCTGCCCAACCAGGACTCGAGGTCACGTCACACTACGACACCACTCCAGTAACTCTCGAGGCCCACCGCTGGACATCATCATCACAGAACGGTTCAGCTCCAAGTCACGATATATCTCACGAGCAAAAGATACTAGCGGGCCATGGGTATGAGTCAACGGCACACAACAGCGGATATACGAGCGCATACTACCAGAACGAAGCAGGAAGCACAGCTCAAGACAAGGCAAAGCCCAGAAGGCCTTGGCTGCTCATCGTACTCGGCGGAGTGGTGACGTTCGTTCTTGCAGGTGTTGTAGGCGGTATAGCAGGCTGGAAGATCACATCCAACCAGAACCAGGAACCAGCCCTAACTGTCCCGGGCTCTGACGGTAGCACGCCATCAACGAGCGCAACCAAGATAGTACCGAATTCAGGGCTTGCAGCTGTTGGTTATCGTTATGGAACTGACATAACCCTACACGTATGGTTTCAGGGACCGGACTCTTTGTTGAGACGGTTGCAGTACATGAGCATCTACCAAAACTGGACTGCACCATTGGAGGTCGACGCAGCGCCCAAGGTGGGCTCGCCCTTTGGGGCTAGTCAGTTCTGGACGAAGCCAGATGAAGTATGTGCCTCCTCACGTCACCCCAAGTTATAGGTGCTAATCAACGAAGCCACTTCCGGTCATCCCCCAAGCCGAGCTGTTTTACATTGGATCAGGGGAAAAGATATTGGGCGTGAACTGGCGAGAGGGGTTCACACGTGGAGGCCTAAGTGACAGCGTTAACAATGGGGGATGGACAGTCGGCAACACCGGTACCCAGATGGCTGCTTACTGGCCCTCAACCATTCTTCAAGCTTCAAATGGGGATGTTATGGAAGTCTTTTTCAACTACAAGTCTCCAGGATTTCAAGAGCCCAAGAGGGTCGGTATCACAGCTTCCCCTGGCTCGGCGCTGGCCATTCTACCCCGAGAAACTACCCACTCCGCTGGCGATCAAACCGCAGCTTCTAGTGCGCGTATTATCTACCGCGATACCACCGGACGCCTGAAGAACTTTGACCGATCCTCAGGCGGCCAGTCTCTCACGTCTTCGGGCGAGATTCCCGTGACGGTCGATTCGAACTTTACAATGGCTGCCTTCGCAGTCGCGAGGGGCGAAGTAGGCGGGCAGAAGTCAACGGCCGTCAACACATGGATTTTGTACCAGGATTCCAAAACTGGAAAGATCTCATACGTTTATGAGAACGACTCTGAGGGGTGGAAAGGCCCAGAAACAGATCCGGTATTCGAAGGAGCTGATAGCCCAACCCACCTCGCATGCGTCACGGCTGCATCATCCACGATCCCCGAGGTCCCATTGGAGGCGGCACACGATTTGAGCCATTGTTTCTTTCAATCCGGACGCAAGTTGAAACATGTCCACTTTGATGGCAGTTCGTGGACGGATATGGGCTTCATTTCCATACCTTGAGGAAGCATAGCGACGACGAGGGCGATAGCGATCACACAGAAGTATGGTGGGATTGACGTGATGCTTTGGCAAATTCTTCTACCACGGTAGAATTACAAGCTCGCATAACAGAGCTTATGAAGTGAGCGAATCTGAATTATAATGAGACTTTGGGTTCAACGTATCTGAACTCCATCATGGATATGGGACATAAACAAACAGTAGCTTTGCTATCCGGGCCGTGTACGTAATTCAATATTATTATCACCCGCCATCATCCCTTTTATCTTTGACGTTGTCCTCTTTTTCGTCCCTGTCGTCGTCCCTGTTGCCGTCCCTGTTCGTCCTCATCCATCTCTTGTCTCTGTGGCCGTCCCTCTTATTGTCTACCGGCCCCTTCCGGGAGGATAGCCAAAGTCATAATTAGGTTACAGAGAAAATAAAACAGCTTCCCCATTGTTGTCAACTATGGTGCGTTATCCTCAAGAATAGAAGAACCATGTCTCGAGTCAGTGCCCATAGCCTCCTCTGGCATTGTCCTTCGGGGCCAGGCTGACACTCAGGTCTTGGGCGCTGTAAGTTCCCAACGATACAAAGCTCCTCAGTTCATGTGAGCCATCGGGGGAGACAATGTTGCCGTCATCGTCCACGGTCATAACCTTGCTAGGGTGAAACGCGGCTAGGATGAATGTAACCAGGAAGATGAGAGTAGCATCAAAGATGTAGAGAAACACCTCAGTTGTTTGCAAACTAAGACACGATCAGTAATCGAAAATGACAAGTTCAAGCTAGAACAAACTCACTATCCATCATAACCTTGGATATACTCAATGACGCGAAATAGAGAACGAACAAGGACTAGTACGCTGACGCCGTACAAGATCCAAAGAAATTTGTCCCAAGAGACGGCGTGTCTCAGACGTTGCCCTCGGATTCTAGACTCTTGAGAGATGCGCCGGTGAAAAACTCCAGTGACGGCAATGAAAAGAGCAAAACCAATGAGCTGAATGAAAAGGCCAACGATGATGACATTTTCGCCCAGTTGAATCTTACTCGGCGACTCGGCATTTGTGAGAATACCTCCACCTCCGCTTTGCACCAAGAATGACAAAATATCGCTCGTGATGAACACCTTTGTAAGAATTTCAGGCCTAACGGGACTATAGTCGCGTCCATTTGCTAGGATAATCAGCCGACCTAGCATACCATAGATGGATGCTGCCAACAGCGAAGGGGCGATGAGTAGCATCAGGGACTGCAGCGCGTAAGGGATAACCTGCCAGTTTGGTGTTTGGGCAGCCGATATAGCACGAGACACATAACCCAGGATTTCGCAGACGATGCCGACTATGAATGGGATGAAGTAACGAGTTTGTTTCTTGTAGCATAATATCGTGTGCGCGGCGAGGGTGAAAGAGAACAGGACGATGAAAACGCAGGCTGCAGCCATCGATGGGTCGTATAGATAGAGAGATGCCATAACCTCGCTGTCGCGTCGGTGAAGCGTTGATGCCATGGTAGTTCAATCGAATCAGGAGTGTGAATGAGGTATAGAAGTTTGTTTCTGGTGATTGATCCAACAAGCTAAAGATGTTGCGTCTTAGGCTTTTTTATCTCACTAGTCTTTTATAATAGAAATATTCTTACTACATGCACCACAGATAATGTTCAGACATCACCGGCTTCAATAATCAATGGCGGACTCAAATGCACTCCTTTCCGCCATAGCCAACTCAGCCTCAAGTCTAAAATAGCATCATGGTGGATTTAGGCGC